TTACCTCTATGTCTGATTCATTTTCATCGCTTTGATCGCTGCCCTCCCTGTGATCATTGTTGATTTGACCATCACCTTCAGGCTCTTCAGAGGGAGTGTTGTTGTCGCTCTCCTTCGACTCTCTGCCTACTTTGTCAGCCTCCTCTTTGATTGCATTAGGTCCTGGACCCACTGGGGCATCAAAATCTTCAGATGTTTTCAAAAGTGTCACTGTTTCACAACCTTTCTTCACATCAGGCCCTGAGGACTCTTGGAATGCAGTTCCAGCATTGTCAGTTACTTCCTTTTCCACATCCTTAGAGATGGTTGCTACGCAATGAGAAAAAATAAAACTAAATGAACTAGTACTAGGCAAATTTTTCAGATGTGTAAAAATATCAGTGACTCACTGATATTGCCCTCAAGTGTCCCCAATGTCCCTGATATGGGTGTGCTAATAATGTTGAGAGTAAGGGTAAGGGTGAGGGTTAGGGAAAGGGCAAGTTTGCACGGGTATTCAGAACACCGAATAAGGGCATACTGTATCACCCAATGCCATATTTTGACCAAAAAAGGAAATAGTCTAGTAATATTCTCCCAACTCACGTAAAATCGCAGACTTTGCAATTTTCAAAGCACCATATCTACTGCACATGTCCACCATATCACATGAGTTTTGCAGATTAACCCCGTATTCCACAACAATCTAGCTTATGGGCAAGTTTTAAACCTTAACCCTAAAATTTCAATTTACAATTTTTTTCCCAAATTGAAAATAAACTTGTCTGCTATACTGTCAGACATGTACCTAATTACGGTTAGGGTTAAAATTCTTGAAGTGTTTTGTACTTATACAAAGTTAGGGTATCCCACCTAGCTGGGGGTGCATTCATGTTGCAACAAATTTGCACCAATTAGAAGGATTAAAACACTATGGCTTCCCACAGCTGCCAACCTGGCAAATCCTTTATCAGTAATACTACCAATCAGTGTAAATTTTTGCTATCCATCTCAAAGATTTGTCTTATCCTCCCTGTTTTCTCCTTTAATAGCAATTATCATTCACTTATTCATTTGCTAAAAGCACACGCGTAATTCACCATAACCAGTTACTGATGACCAAATCTAGAAAATTTTGTGTTCAATGAGGAAATGACTTCAAAAATGCAGCCCGCTAAAGGTTAAGGCACCGTTACCAAGAAGACCTGGCGACGAGGTTGAGTTGTTTTGGTTGTGAAAACAAAAATGGGGGACACTTAAGAACTATACAGCTGGAATAAGGAGAAATAATAGCTAAAAACATAGTAAAAACAGCAAGAAGACAACTCGGAGGGCAACATCTGCTACTTGGAGATTATATTTGTGGAGCTGGACAAACCTAAACTTACACTATGAACGAAGATGAACTTAACATTGATGCAAGTAAGCATGTCTTAGCTATGTTTTTAAACTAGGAATTATTTTGAATGGATAATACAGCAATTAATAAATAAGGCTGAGTAGGATATGAAGAATAAAGCAGATCAGTCGTACCATTGCTCTTACCCTTGTTTTAGCAATTCCAGGGCAAAATTAGCCAAACAGTAGAAATACAGTCTAAATACATCCAAGGCTTTCAACAGGATTCCAAAGAAGAATTTGTTGGCAAAACTAAGTCCCAAATATTAACCCTTCCTAGCTGTGAGCCCCTTAGACATTGACTCTACATTAAAATGTTATGTCAGAAATTACACCTGAAGTGCTTCACAAAGAAATAAAGGGCTCATTATTGCAGACAAAAATTACAAATTGCAGATGGATCAATAAAACTTCAATAAATGTGCAAGATTTGACTATTTTAGTCAGTGATGAATTTTAATATTGCATAATGATTGATGCTGTGGAATTTTTTTTTTTTATCCATTTTATCTTTCGTAGAAAATTTTTTTTAATGTCATTACTTTAAATTTTATTTCATTTTATTTAGGTGTCTTGCATGATGGTAACCCTGTTGCAGGACTGTAAATTTTTTAATAAATGTTGAAATTATGAATAATTATTTAAACAGACAAATACGTGGGTTGATGAGACTGTTTAAACATCAATTGAACCATACTGAATTTGTTACCAAAACTGCTCAACCAAAACAGACTTTTTAGAAGAGAGTCATCTTAGGGTCCAATCACCCTACCTGCTGACTGGTTACTAGTTCTCACTTCTGGGGTTTGCTCTGAATCAACGTTGTCGATGATGAGAGGCTCATCACTTTCTTCATGCTGAGTTATTGCAGTATCGGCAGGACCTTCCACCTGCTGCTCTCCTGCCTTCTTTACTAGTGAAAGTTTTTGTAATTCACTTGCAGCTGTATCTGCACCCTCAGGTGAGTCAGGTTTGTCCTCGATACAAATGGACTGTCGCTTGGCTGGCTTTTCCTCTGGGACTTCACTTTTTCTTTTTCTTTGCCCATCTCCATCTACTGTTGAGCAGGGTGGCACAAGTTAAATGGTAAAACTCTCTGCTCAAGGTATGTCAGGTATTAGTTAAAAATATTGACCAACACCTTAAAATTCTAATCTTTGTTTCACAACTGATGCACTTAACAAGTCCGGAGCCTGAATTTTGAACAAAAGTCAACTAATCTTGAATGTACTGCGGAAATATAAGGTGGTCTATGAAAATGCTGTACCCTGTGAGAAGAGGTTTCTTTTCAGTATTTGTAGCTCTAACAAAGTCACGTGAATTGTTGTCAGTTGCATAGTTGGTTTGTCATCATAAACAAACCAATTTTATACAACTGACGGCAATGCAAACAACTTTGTTAATGCTAAAAGCCATGCATAAAATGCTGTGACATAGACTTAATTAAATGTGAGTTAAAGGTAATAGGCTCCGGCCAAATCAATCATGGGCTTGATGCAAAGGGCATAAGTGACAATTTTGCTGGAAATAAAAATTGATTAATCAAAAATCAAAACAAGAAGTAGGAAGTACAGAAGACAGGATCATTGAAGAAATTAAAAACGTAATATTGACATCTTTTCAATAAAAGCAAGTAACTATACATTAACCCTTTAAGTCCCAATAGTGACCAACAGCAATTTTCTCCTAACGATATCCATACATTGTCATGAGATGAGGTTATGAGAATTAATAAAATGATCACCTAAGAGAAAATACTTTGATCTTTTATCAAATCCTCTTAACTAACTCGTAAAGGAAATGTATAGAGATCAGTTTGGAGAATTTGTATGTGGATATTGGGGCTTAAAGGGTTAAGCAATGAATCAAATACTATCATGAATGAATGGTGAATGGAATTTATAGTTTGGAACTGTAAAAAGTTAATTCGCGACTTGTGTAGGGATTTATAGACCTGCAAAGTCTGAACTGTTGGTATTTGGATTTTTCAAAAACTGTACATCACATAATTATGTCAACTCCCCCAGATCATCAAGGAGTCCCATGAAGAAAGCATCAATATAATTGTAACGATGTTGTTAGTTCCTGGCCCTTGGGGCCAAGGAAAGGTAAAGCTCCTAGCAGATATGCGCATTCTATTCTGTAATCATATGTAGTCCACAAAGCTTTTTCCTGTGATAAAATGAGTTGTGTTCTCCAGCTTCTGTCAAGTTCATTAACTCACAACTATATTACACCAATCTAGCAGTCTCCTGTATGGGCCATCTGGAGTCTCCCGAAAATAATCACCTTTTGAGCTTTCCTATGCTTTAGTTTGGAATTAAACAAAACTTTTCCTTCAATTCAAAACATTCTTAGATTTTGCACGTATTTCATAAAGCAAGTTTTGATGGTCTGTTTGTGGTAGCTAATGTAAGTCTTTATAAAATGTCCCAGGCCACACCCATGCTATAATTTAGGGACTTGATTGATTTGTGTTTATAACAGGGGAGGGGTCATTGATATTTTGTGGGGGAGGAGTGTTCAGATTTTAGATCTCCAGAGGTTGGCATATCTGACATCATAGCGGAGCTCTTGCACCAGCGGAGCACCATGGGTAAGTAAATCTACCCATTCCAGAAAATTTGGTAATCATTTGACCGTACACTGATCGCTTCCAACAAACCATCTGCACCACAGGTATACCAATGTAAAATAACTCAATCAACAGGTATGGCAACCCAAATGCAACTCGAGGGGTTTTTTGGAGGGAAATCGCATAGCCACCCGCGTGCACAACTAAAGTAAATAAAGACAAAAACGGAAAGTGGAAATTGTTTCTGTATCCATGTTGTCAAAAGTATTAAGCTTAGAGATTAATTGTCATGCCCACAAATTTGGAATATAGAGCAAGAGAAAGACCGAGAAAAAGAGAAAGTAGGCGGCAGGCCATCGAAGCTCAACTATAAAAAGGGCGACAGAGATCTAGAGTGAGAGATAAAAAAAAAAAACACAACATGAAAATTTTGTAGCGGTGGTGACAACATGAGAAATGCTGGCAGCCACCAATGCAAGGCAAAAATGAGCAGCAGTGAAAAAAAAGTGAACGAGAACACGCATGACACTAATCCTCAAAAACATGTAACTAAGAAGTTTCTAGAAGTTTCACATTGTAGTTGTGAAAAACAGCAACGGCAAAGAAATGCACAAAAAAAGTGTGCTGCATGTGCAAAGTTGCTTTTTTGCTCATTAGACCTGTTGTTGTTTTTTCACCATTCTTGTTGCCTGTGCCGCTTAGCATTACATGATTTTATATCTTGTTTGACCAAACTTTTAATATTATCAAGAGCTTCGCTTTTAGCCCTGGCTAAATCTATATAATTATCCTAATCAATGGACTCTGGACCATGGAATGTATTGATCCATGCTGCATTGAATGAAAATGATTTAAATTATTAGAGGGATGTACAGACCACAAACTGCATTCTACAAGTTACTGCAAACGACTCAACTAATACAAAAGCGTAGCTGTCGATTGAGTAGGGTTGTGTCAGTGAAATGTTTCACCCAGATATGTTTAGCCTCCCACTCAAGCGGTCTGTTGGCTTCGTCAGGCGTTCATACCCCAGTGAGGGAGGCTAAGAAAAGTTGGACTCTAAAGTTTGTTCTTTAATGATCCTGGTTCTTTATTCTGTTCAAATGATAGTAAAAATGGCCCATAACCTAAACTTATAACTCGATTTTCAAAATGGTAAAGGTTAGAAAGAGAAATTATTGAAAACAAACCGCAGAAACAACAAACATGAAGAGAAAAACCGAAAGAAAAGTAGCCCGGAAGCTTCTGTAAAACAGCAAACAACACTCACCAAGAGCAAAATCTTTCTTATTAAACCTTTTTTATCCACACGATTTAAACTGTAGGACAGCTTACTTACCAGCTGAAGAGTCTGCTTTGTTATTTACAACAATATTTGAGTCTAGACTACTGAGGTCAGTGGTCGATTCATTGTTGTCTTGAGGCACTGGAGTGGATGACAGGCAAAATGTTGCGCGACATTTTGAACATTTCAATGTCAGCTCCTGGTCTTCCTCAAGGACACCATCTTTACAGTGAGGGCATTTCATTTTATGCGTTTTAGGGAATATATTCCCTTCAACGTCGAAACGTAGACATCTCTCAAGCAAGAGAGCTCGATTCTAAGAAAGGCGGAAGTGAGTGGGTTCCTGGAAGCAACGCCTGGATGATATCATTCCCTGGGGAGGGTAAGTGGGGGATTTTCAGGAGAGGTATTGGGCGTCAAAGTCCGTCGGAATGTATGGCCCATCCACAGATCCACTTTTAGAAAAATAACTCGTCTCCACACGTTCCATTTTTGAATCGTTTTTGCCCGTCCACACGAAAATGTCCTTTTCCCGCCCCACCTCCAAGGCCAGGGAAAAGCGCCCTGGGGACGAGGTTGTTGTGTATCCAATACCTAGCCTGCGTTGCAGCAGGCCCACTTATCGCGTAAACCATGTCTTCGACGCAGGCCATGCAACACCATAACGTAGACGTTTGTAAAAACTTCCGTTTTCATCCATCCCAACGAGTACTGCAAAAACGGTTTTTTTCCAAAATATCTACTCTGGAGAGATTTTAAAAAGATGTGTTTTCGGTGACCGTTTTCAGCAGTATTTATACGCCAAACCGGAGAAAAAACCGCTGTTTCAAACAAACAAACAGATGGGCCCTAATACTCATAAAGACGTTGAATACCGAAACTTTAAGGGGATTAGGGATATCGGTGTTCATCTCTGAACTAAATCAGAGTTGATTTCTTCCGATTTTCACAGTACAAACTCCGACACCTTCGGACATTTGCAAAAAGTAAACTACGATTTTCCAAAGAAAAAACTGCCATTTAGCTTAAACGCCAAACGGGTGCTGTACATTTAAGAAGACCGAAGACGTCTCTCATGTTTTCCCAGTAATGAGTGTATGCTTTATATTTAACAAATCATATTTCGCCAGTTTTTTTTTGTGTGTGTCTGTCCTCTTATTGATGATAAATATTATATAAACGCCAATGAAATACCAGGTGAGCTCGCGAAAACTTGATATCTTTACATGTGAAAATAACATGTTTTATTATATGGAGGAGAGTGTTTTACTGGGAACTAAACCACTCGTAGATTCCACACGCCACTTCATCTGGGGTCCGTGTGGTTTTCGTCCATTTGATTTTTATTCCAAATTGAAAATTGAAAATCAAAAATTCACAATCGTGATTTTCAATGTTTGATTCCTCAAGAATTGAAAATCACAAATTTACAATCTCAATCGTCAATTTTTGTTTCTAAGAAACAAGAAATTGGAAAACAATTTTCAATATTTTGAAAATCAAAAATCAAAAATTGAAAATGGCCAGGTGGCGGCTTTCATTTCTTGTTTTTAAGGAAAAGGAAAACTAAACGATAATCTTTAATTTTGAGATTTTTGCCTGGTACCGAAGTTGAAAATGTATTTTCAATTTCCACTTCCCTAGATTCCAGCTTATTAAAAATTCAAACTTGACAAAGCTATTCATGTGTAACGAAACTGCGGGAAACAGTATCAATGCTGATGAAATCCGAAATGAAAATCGTTTTTTGATTTTCGTATTTGAGAAAAACAAAAATTGCCAACCTACCAAAAATCCCTGTGATGGGAGGGGAGGGTAAAGCCGGAAGTGGGGCGACCGAAAGCAAGATGGCCGTCGTCTTGTTACCAAGCGGTGTTTCGTGTCTTCGTCGAGCTGTCTCTAGCGGAAATGTTACACCAACAGCAATCCGAAGCCTGCCTGTACCATGGCCAAGAAGTTTCAAAGAAATGCGCCGAATATTTTTTTCACGGTAAGTGTGCTTTTGTTTTAACCTTGCAACATCCAAGGCTACGCTACGCTAGAGTTTCACTTCTGGTCCCAGTTGTTCAAAGGCCGACGTAACCCGGGTTTCTTTTTACTTTTTTCAAAAGCATTTTTTCGGACAATTTCCTCTGATATTCATAGAACATCGAATCATCAACTTTTTGACAAAAAGAATTGAACTGAATTTACTTTATAAGCTTTCATATTTGAATTCAAATTTTGCACTTTTTAAACCCTGGGTTATCTTAACCCAGCTTTGAACAGTCCGGCCCTGGTCTTTAAATGTGTCTAGTAGGCGAGTACTACTGGCGGCTGAACCTTAGTTTAGCGAGTACAGTCAACTCCCTTTATTTCGGACACCGTAGGGACCTCGAGTTAGGGTCCTCACTAGCGAGAGTCCGTAATAGTGGGAAATTATTTCAGTCAAACATCTGTAACTTATTTTTGCTCGTGATTTAGCTGCTGTCCGTATTAACGGGGTGTCCGTTATAGCGGGGTGTCCGCAAGGCGAGAGTTGACTGTACGTGTTTTTCCTACAGTTTGATTCTGGCCTACCCTATTTCCATTTGTTAAGTTAACTTAAGCCTTTATGAACATGTTATTCTGAATGCTATTTAAGCTTACTCTTACCCAGCTGGACTCCAGACCATCAAGTGTAAGAATTACTTTGAGGAGGATTCTCCTGAACATGTAGTGCGTAGTTTGTTGAGGAGTTTCGGTCTGAAAACAGATATACACTGATTTCTTGGTCTGGAATCAGGTTTAGTTTTAGAGAGAGCTACGGGTCTCTTTGAACTTATTTGTAGTTTCAATTCCAAATGAATAAGAAAGAATAATATGCGAAGTGGAAACGGATTTTAAAAACTCTTTTTGTGGGCATTCTAATCTAACTAATGTTGGCGTTCTTATCTAAATAACGATGACATATAGGCCAGGTCTGTTGGCGTGGGAAATGGCATTTTTTTGTTCTGAAATAGGGTCAGGATTTGGAGAACCAGGTGGCACACCCTTACCAAGAGTTCTTAGGAGTACCCCTCGGAATTAAAGTATCAAACAGTGAAAAGTCACATATTTGTTGAATAATCTTATTTCACTTTATTTAGCTTAGAACTGGAACAATTTTTTGGTGTACTGTGTTAAGTTAGTGCATCACACCAAACCAGTATATCTACACCTGACAAGATGGAATCATCAAATATTAAAATCTATATAAACCTCTGTAATGTTCCTAAAGTTGAGCAGGTTGTTATATTTGGCCTGATTTTTTAATTAAAGTTTAGTTTTCTTGTCTTAAACTGTAAACAGGGTCTAACCTGTTTCGGTTCTGGCAGCACACCTTTTTTAGCAACAATTTCAAGGCTGCTGCCTAAGAAAAATTTTAGGGAGCCCTTCGGGCTCCTAAAGTTTAAAGTTAGGAGCCCGAGCCACATTGTTAGGAGCCCAGTTTGAAATCCATGTATTGTTTTTCCAAGATCATTACATAGGTTATAGAGGTTCTTGCACACTTTAATAAGAATTCGCCGGGCCTAATAAATAACACGTAAACAAGAATTAACCGAATTATTTACTTTCATTTATTAATTTATTCAATTAACTTCCACATCTGTTGTGTTCAATGTGACCTAGAAGAGCCTTCAAAGAATTTTCTAAAATGTAACAAAGCGGGAAATATATTTTATTGTTTTGAAAGAGACAGTTTCCAAATCGTTATCTATATTAATATAAATGTTCACATACGGAGTCGTAAGAAATAAACATTGCTTACCTGTTGCGAGAATTCCATTGTAGTCACTGGGCTTAAGACAAATTGCTGAAACCTTTGTCGATTTTAGCGAGAAAAGAAGAACCTTTGCCGATTTTAGCGGGAAAAGCAGAACCTTTGCCGATTTTAGCGGGAAAGGGCGCTAAGCACGTGCAGCAAGGCAGAAATACAACCAACACAAAGTTGATCATTACTTTAATTTCTTTATTCAAGGTAAAGACATCACATTACGAATATGAAATATCATACTGCGTTCTCTGGCGTGTTGTTTTTTAAAGTCTCTTGAAAATGCTGATACGTTGCAAACTGGTACATGAAATCGAACATCAAGCACGTCCAGTCGATAGCACGCAAGATAGCTTCCCATTCTCGCCACAAAAAAGTTATCAAATCGACGAAAACCCAAGCAAACGATGAACTGCACGAATGTCAACATAGGCAACAAACAGCCCATAATTTTGCTATTCCATATTTGGAAGTCAAATCTCAGACCCAGTCTTCAACTGCCATCCGGACTCGGAAACGATGGCTTCGTTCGTTTCGACAAAGCTTCACAGTTGAACACGTTAGGTTTACATAATTTACGGTTTATTTGTGGAAATTTTATACTGCCTAATCGCATCATCGCTAACCATATCAACAGTTCCACTGTTTAAAGTCCTACTCCAGCTAAAGGAATATAATGTACAAGGAGGTTAAGTCTAATGCCGTGTGTTAAGTCAGGCGCCCGCGCGGGCTCCTTGTACCGAAATTTGGTCGCCCATGCTCTTACCTTGGGCGCCTCTGGCGACCGGACGCCCGTTAGGCAGCAGCCTTGAATTTAAACTTCCCTTATGTAGTGCCTCCTTCCCTTAGAGGCTCCCTTCTTGCTATTTATAACGGTGTCAGAGAAGGAGCTGCTTCCCCCAACTGTCCTAATGTTTGTTGTCAAGAGATTTGCAGGCATTGTGTGTGGCACGAAAATGCTGTGTTTTCTTACTGCGCACACTCTTTTTTGCAACCACATTTTCTGAAAGGGAATGGACGGTTGTTTGCCTTTGGATATTTTAACCAGGACATTATTATAACCAATCACTCATATCTTAACATCTGCTATGCAGGATAAGTTTCTGGTAACCTGAATTTTAATACTGTTTAATTATGAGGCTAATTGGTATGTGATGTCACAGAAAGTTGTTACTGCATTGCGGAAGGGAGTTTGATTATTATTCACAGCTTCGTGAAAAATACTGTTAAAGGATGGAAACTGCTCATGGAACTGATAACATCGTTGGGACATGAGATCTACATTTCCTTCCAGAGGGTCATTTCCAAATTTTGGCCACTGTGTTAAACTTCCTCCTCTCTGCTCATACATCTGCACTGCTTGCTCAGTAGATGGGACATATAGCTCTCTGGTATTGGCACAGATTGCTTATTAGTTTTCATGAGCTCATCAGGAACTCCCTTTCCTAGAAATACGTATGTAAGATCAAGACATGGGTAGTCTAAAAGCAGTTAACTAACATACATGTACTTGCAAACAGAATGGAAGTGAAAGTATTGACTGACAGAAGATGTGAATCCCAACACAAGGTGGCTGTAAGGACCTAAAATTCTTATGTACAGGGACTCGTTTCCTTCATCACAGAAATATACATACACAGAAAAATAAAGTACATTGTGCAAAGGTTATATGTATGAACTCTGTTGAAAGCATCGTTTATATTCAAAAATGCAGTGTAATAGGAAAAGAGAGGAAACAACAGTTTTCATATGTGAACCAAAAAAAAGGGGCTGGTTAATACTGTATAGAGAGTCTGGTTTACCTGGAATTGGATGGTTGTTCCATGCATCAATAACTTGTTGACTTCCAACTTGGCATACTCTTGAAGTGACCCAGGACACACAGAACTTAGTGGCCTCATCATCTATATTAATGTTTTCATCATTAACCAAGGCATTCAAAATTCGTTTCACTGGGTAATTGACTCGAGCATTCATTTCAACCCAAATTCTTTCAGCTGTGTGATTCTTAAGGATAAAGAAAGAAATTAATTAATTAATTAATTATTAATGTTACAAATGTTGCACATTTTAAATCACTCTTTAAAAGAAAATCTCAAAAGTATTATTGTATTCTATGCTTATCAACTTTCCATTTGTAGCTGTAGGTTTAAGATGACCACTGTTATTTAATGTAAAATACGACCAAATTACCAAATGTAACATTTAAGGCTGTTTAATTAACTAAACAACAATTTACCTGTTTTGAGTTGGTCTGTACATATGGTGCACGAGAAGTGTTTTGTCTGTGTGGAGATAGAATGTCTTGAACAAATAAGGTCAAATAGAATTCAGCACCCATGTCTACTCGTACCTGATCCCACACACCATGAAGCAATACCGCAGGCCTGTAAATCAAATAGCTTCATGAGTTATTAGTGGGGAATGGAAATGCTATTTAGTTTTATAAAAAAAAGTAATAAGTAAAATTCATGGCCTGAGGCTTACTTGTTTAGTATCTCTAATCCAATAAACTAACCAAATTACACCACAAGGCTACACAGTGGAACCTCCATTTTAAGCACGAAGTTGTAATAGTATAAGGAAGTCCTTGGCCCCAGCACTGGGAAAATATTTGAATAAGAATCTTGCTATACTGAAAGCCCAATTGATGTAGCTAACTTATTCTTGCAATTTCCATGCACAGGTAGATCTAATGTACTGTACTTTACATGTTGTGTTGATGATGTAGGCAGGGCTCTTCAGTTCTAGCCAGAGGCTTTGGATGACAAAAATGTAACTGTTCAGGACATTGTCAAATAAAGACTCCTGAGCTCACAAATCTGGGAGCAAAGTACCATGCCCATATACAGCATTTGCACAGAGGACCAGGCAACATGGTTGTTGTCTACATCCTATTCCCCCTTCATAGTGTGCTAGTCTCTTAGGCCCCCCCCCACAAATACCCTGTCAGGTCCTTAAAGGCTCCTTCCATGACAGTTATTAGTATATCTGTGTAATGGGATAAGTCTCTTTTTGCTAACCAAGGAATTCATTGTTGCATCTTGCATATGGTCACTCACCTAAACACGTGTTCATAAATGAGGAGGTTATTCTTCACTGGCATAAGGGCATGGCTTACGACTCTTCCACTATACCCATCAGTAGCACACACATGAGTCACCCCATACATGGCAATTTTTTCATTCTGGTCCATGTGGATTTTGTGCCCAAAGTATTGTGCATAGTATGGCAAAGGGTTTGTTGCACGTTCAGTCCTTGTTAACCTTTGCTGGTGGTAAACTGGGGCAACAGATGCTAGAGAGGCACCAATACGCTTGCTGCAAATATTAACTCCCTGTTTCCGGAAGTAACCTTTGAGCATTTTGCGTCCCCAAGTAGGACCAACCTGTCAATGATATCAAATTTAGCATTTAAACAAACTTTGACTAAAGTCATTGATCCACTGATTTTTTTTCAACTACTAAAAGTTTCAGGGATACATTGTACAACAGATATTGCGTAACCCTTGTGCACATGTCATTGGCTTGCTCCAGGGGTAGGTATCAAGGCAAACCAGGGGGATTGTAAAATGGGTGGAGCAAATTTACGAATTTCTGGAATTTAACTAGACAAATAATTACCCTGGGTCAGGTTATGTTAGTTCGGTTACACGTACATTTTAATCATTTATTTTAGGCTTGGAGAAGCAATATATTTTCTTAACGAAAAAAGTCATCAATAAATGATCAGAAAACAGCACCTTAAGAAAGAGAGATGACTCAGCTGGTTCTTTTTTTCTGTAGGGGAGGGGCAAATTAACAACAGTGTCAAGTTGGAAGGAAAGGTGCGGTGAAATTCGATTGTTTTATTTTTTTTTTTTACCAAGATCCTTATCATTCTTCATGAAATCTTGCTCTTTCTCATGTGGTATCACTAAAACATTGTCAAGAAATAGTGCCAAGCAAAGTAAATTTTTGCATGCATGTTCATTACAGTCTAAATATTACATGTAATAGTGATGTTCTTGTTCTGTTGCCAAAAAAATAAAATTGACATTGATAAACTTAATAATAAGTAAAGAGGAAATTTGCGGAATTGTAGTGGGTTAAGCTGAAACTACCAGTACTTATAAAGCATCATGAGGTAAATTATTTGTAATGTCAAGTTATATTGCATAGCCCATCCCAACGTATTCCCTTGGTTGTCCCTGGGTACTACCCCTGGGGCAAGGGGATAAATATTTTTAAAATTTCTCAGTTAAGTTAACACAAGGGGTGTTCCTTTTTTTTCTAATTCGGAATTTTTTTTTCTTCTTCTAAAATGAAGGTGACAAAATTTTGAAACTTCAGACAGATTTTTCAAAGGTGCCAGCAAGAAATGAACCCTTCGGGTGCGAGAAAGCAATAATTTGATACGGTTAATTTTAAAACATATTTCTTAGGTTTTCATGACTCAAAATAATTATCCTTTTTGAATCTCAGCTTCGGTTTTATTCTTAAAATATTCTTAAAATTTTGCAAATTTTAGCCTCGATATTCTTATAAAATATATTCTTACAGAAAAAAAGTGTATTGCCGTTTCTATGTTACCCCAGTCGCCCATTCTCCCAGGGATATGAGCTACGTACATTTGCGCTTAACACATTCTAATACATATGATATCTAACCTTTACATCTAACCTTCTGTATAGCTCCAACCGTTGCTGATGCCAAAGCTGTGCTATCCAGACCTGACCTGTAGTGGATGCCATAATTCTCGCAAAATCGTCTGACCGAACGTTCACTCAGGCCACGATTGATTCCGAGACGAACCTTCAGAGCCTCACTGATCTCACGATGGGTTTTTCTCCCTATCACGACCTGTTCTCTAATCCATTCCGGATCAATTTTTTCCATCACGAAATACCGTTGTTGTCAAGGCTCGGAACTCTCGTGCATTGCAGATTTAGCGCCAATATGTAACGCTTTACTTTATTTGTTTCTCTTGCCAAGGAGACTGCCGAGGATCACATTGGTCGCCTTTCCCGCCAAGCACGTTATTACCCAATCATAGATGGGTATATATGTGACGTACGCTACCAGAGTTCGCAGTTCTACCGTTCGATTTCATGATGGCGAGAAAGTACGAGCTCAGCAGAGAGGGGATGATTTAAGACTTACATTTTCCAGTTCGGATATTACATTATCCAGACTAGCTACCGCATTTGAGGTGAGTGTCACTCTTCTGCCCCCACTTTTCAACACCTTTGCCTACTTTGTGACCTCAGCAGAGTCCTACCGTTCACAAGTGATTATCACAAGCCTAATTTGGAACCGCTCTTTTGGGCACTTCTAAACCTCACGTATGCTTCGGCTTATGTTTTGCTGTTTTGAGTAACTACTGGTAGTGTGATCCACTCAAACTCTCAATCAGAACCTGTTCATCAAACTGCCCATGAAATTCGCTCAAAGCGGCTTGCATTTGTCGCTGAAGTCTTCTCTGACCACGTGCGCGCGTTTGCTGTTCCAAAAGAAAATTTGCCAGTATTTGCTGATCCATTATAGTAAAACCGTTTTTTTGTGAATGATGATTTATTAGACGGCTTTTGTCATTTCGTGATATGTCTGATAAGGGAACCATAACTAATAAGCACGTACTATGACTTTATGTTAGAAAACATGTTCAAGGGTAATTCAGGGACACTAAATCTCCCGAATGAGTGACTGAAATCGTCCTGTTAGCTTTTCTGCGCTTTAGTGTGATATTTGGAAAATTTTTTACTCAAAATTTGAATTTTTTTAACCCGTAGTACGGTTTCTGGTGCATTTTTCCACTATATATAGTCACTGACAAAGATTTATAATTTGGCATAAAAATCGATTATCCCGAATTTTGATAGTATTTACTTTATGTTAGATTGTCCTAAGCCATTCACATTGGGGGCTGGTTCAATTTGTTGGAGGGGTCCGTTGAAATTCGGGAGGGGGTAGTAAAAAAGAGAGAGTCTCCAGATTTTAGATATCCAGAGATTTTCTGGGTGATCAAATTTTTGAGTGCAAGTGGGTTCAAACTGATTTTGTTCACAACATTAATTTTATTTCTAAAGAAAATTTTTATTACATTCACATGTTGTTAACATAAGTTGCATGATTAACAAATGTTTGTTGCTCTTATAGTTCTCTTGAGCAAAGTCACAATAGTCATACATGTATTTTCATAATTATAGTATAAACAAGGAAACACTATTTAAACATGATTAACTTTCCAACACTTGGACTTTGACTCAGTATACACTACATAGGTGCTCCCTCATTTTTATATAACATTTAATAATGATAAAATTAATGGTAATATCGTTAACAGAGAGCAGGCAAAATATTTGGTAAATAGGTACTTTTAGTGTCTCAAATAGATATTCCTTAATGGAATAACTTTAAAGACGACCACAAGGATTGATTTTTTTAACAATAATATTTTAATCTCCTTAGGTGTCCCCCAGTTCTCTTTACATAAAGGAAGAATGGGGGGATTGCACATATTGGGCAAACGAAAGTGGTCGTTTCAATCTGTCAAACCTTGCAGATGGGACTTGCTTAGTGGTGATGGGGCAAAGTAAAAACAGTGTCATAACATCAGAAACTGGAAATTGCCTGTCTTATGCAGCACCTGCAGACACAGGCAAATCAAGATTACCATTCAAGCCTTTCTTCAGGAGAGGAAAATCAAATTCAGCATCAACTTTTGGTTGCAAGATTATCCTTGCAAAAAAGAATGGCAAGAGTTTCACTGAGTTAAATCAGACATACATAAATGTTAGTGAAGACAGTGCCAATGTGGAAGACATAACAAGAAAAGTGCAAGAGAAGTGGGGTAACGTGGTACTGGTAGCTGGTAATGGTCTTCCCATTCAGGATGAGGAGGGAACTAGGGGTAAGGGGTTTATTAAAGTTATCTTTCAGCAACATATTAGTAGGCCAGGCTGTGAGGTACTAGTAAATTACTATTACTGTATACAGTACCTAGTTGTTGGATTCATTGCCTTTTACCAGGCAGATAATCCAATAATATATGTTCTTATGAAAGTAGCAAGGATAAATCCCTGACCTGGTGGCCATTAATTTGACTGCCCTGCTACTAATTTATTATAACATGAGTATTTTGCGTTGAAGACCTGTGGTGAAAGAATTTGCCACAAAATTAATAAGAAAAAACATAACAGAAAAACTTCATTGGTGATAAATTTATGTGGCTGAACCTTTTATTTGAGATTGAAATAAGACTTGTTCCAATGTTGATCATAACCCACACAGTCAGGAAGATACTGTAAATACCATCAATTGAAGGTACAGTAGCTGGTTTCTAGAGTGTTAACTCTAGAACAAAAATGTTGGGTATCTGCTGAGATGCCTTTTTTAAATAAATGCTGCAAAATCGAGTGCGGATAGTTAGTCTCAGGACTGTACAGCAGTACAACACATTAAAACATTTTAATTTCCTTTGTTTTCCACTTATGCAAACCTGCTTCAGGAAGACTGACTTATGAGCTAAAATGTTTTAAAGGTGCATTTTTTTAAACTGCTAATGATTAACTTGTTTAAAGGACTAGTAAATGTAGATCTGATCACACTTTGTCCAGCCTAAGTGGACATTGTTGCACCCTGAGAACGGTCTAAAACACTGCCAACCTTAAAGTTTAGCCATGTACACTAAAATATTTACAAAGTTAACAGAAATACCAAGACATAGAATCATGACATGCATAAAGTTTCAGGGCAGTATCGGAGGGCTCAGATTACCAGGTTATAAAATAACAATGTAACAATATATGAACTTGACAAAATAGGCATAATAAAATTAAATACAATGACAAGTTTACGTTTAACGGCAATTGAAAGTCATCATTGTGTAACTTGTGTAAATAGTTTATGTAACTTATGTACGTAATTTTTTTCATTTTAAAACAGGATCAAAATTCTGGAAGTGCCCAAGTAGAAGAATTTTTGCCATAAAAGACAAAAAGAAACTGCAAAAGCAAAAGCATCCAAGAGATACCATGAGAGTGAACCTAGCTCTGAAGAAGAATTTGGAAGAGAGAAGTGTGCTCCTAAAAAGAAAAAAGCTGACAAATTTGTTAAACAAGAAGTGAAAGAGATAAACGAAGAAACCAGTATGCTGAGGGAAGAGCTACAAAACAACAGTTCCACTTTGGATGAATGTAAAACTATGCTACAAGAGCTGATAGTGGTCAACAAGTTTCTACCTCTACCCCCCTGTTTAATTAAGTTAGTTTCTGATGCGTTTAAGTGCAAAATATGTCTTAGGGCACCAATGACTCCCCCTGTCATTGCAACAAGATGTTGCAATGTACTCATTGGCTGCAGCATATGCACCAATGAGTGGTTTTCTGGAGATGGGGGGCTGGATAAGAGTTGCCCAAATTGTAGAGAGCCAAGGGGTTATGCACAAACTTTTCAGTTCAAGGGTATCGACGATTTTTTGAAGGGATTTAAAAAACTTATGGCAGACCCATCTGCAGGGGATGAGGAGGAGAGTCTCGAATGAAAAAAAAGACATGCTACACAAAGTCACAAATAACTTCTTTACACTGTTGTGTTAAAAAGGGCTAGCTCACAATTTTCGCCAGTTTCAAGGATGCATGGAAGCACAAAATCGGAGAAGTTAAAGTGGGCTGCATTGAATTTTACTTTGAAAAGATCAGCCCAAGTTCAGTAAACATGAAAAACTCTCCATATTTGGCATCTCATACGTGAAGTTATTTCCCCATTGTCTTTATACATGGTTTACATTCACATGAAGTGCCATTTTTCTTGATATAGCAAGGGTTCGGGTGACCATAACTAGTGGTCTTCAGTGTTGTGTTTAACAAATCTGCATCAATGAGCAGCTTCCTTTGAGTGCAACAGGCATCCCTGGAGACCCTTGGAGATTTTCTTAAATGCCCAATCAAAAGGAGATCAAGCCCCACCTGTTGTGAGTAACAGTACCTGTGATAAAACTAAGAGATCAGTTGGATATCACACCAACAGTACATTGAGCAAGAATCTTCTTGCAATCTTGGCAAATGTCCCAAGGTTTTTATGGGTTCCTGGGTACTGGCACTCTAGGGCAAGCCCCTAACTGATGCCTTTTTACAACTGTTCCCCAGAAACAATAGAACCTGTTGTTCTCTAGTGTTGTGTTAACATGAATGAGCTACTGTAGGTGCTCTCAGCAAAGTCAGAAAATATTGAGTTACAGGACATTGAATTTCAAATATTTTTGTCACATAGTAAACAATATAGTTTTTGTGCAAAAAACCCCCTCCCCTTCCCCCGCCCCCCTCCCCCTAAAAAAGGGCTCTTCTTGGCCCAAAGTACAACATTTCACAAACATTACAACTGCAAAATTAATTTTTTCAGGGCATTTGAGTAATGCATGCCTGACCACCGTTTGGAACAGATCCATTATCATCTGGTGGACAAAATTCTTAGGTTCAACCATATTCATTTTGTTTCATTTTTCATCATTCATCTTTCTGTTCCATTGTGTTGTTATGCTTCATGAGGGGTGAGATTTCAGTTGCTTTAAAGAATGCAAAGTAGAGTACAATTCCTGGAGGTACTCAATCATATAGTTGTATTTTGCCATCAAGTACAGGTCCTCCATACTTTTCAGTTCAAGTGTACCATTTCTTTAGCACGGACTTTTCAGTAGCAGCTTCTGAGTCTGAACAGGAAAACCACTGACAGGTTCTTCTTGTTCACCCATTTTTTCTGCAAGGTACTTCATGAAATTTCCCTCATTCAATTCAACAGCTGAATCAGAACGTGAAAGATAATTTTAATATATGTGAAATATTTGGTTGATGCAAGAGTCAGCGTTTATAAATCACATGCTTTACATTTTTTGGGGGGGGGGGACGGGGGTGAGGGTTGATATATAATATCTACACTGTGCCTAACATTGTTCCAGTTTTTGGGCTTAATAAAATGAAAACGATTCAACAAACATGGAATTTATTCACTGTGTATAATCGTTTCATCGTTTGATTACAACAGCACTACCGCCAAGGGCATACGGAAGCTGATTGGTTAGGATAAATGGGTAAATCTAAGTATGCTTTCATTAGGCAAACGATCGGCCCTCCTCAATAAAGAAATTTTACACTACATGGTCTGGAGAGCAGAATCACAAGAGAAGTAGCATACAAGGGAGACAAGAGGACTGCAAACTAGCAAAATATTGATTAACAAAACCTCTCTGATACAAAACATTTTATTTTCGGTAGAATCAAACTGTAGGAAAGACACGTACTCCTTAAACTTCAGTTTCCGCCGCCAGTAGTTCTCGCCTGCTATAGACACATTTTAAAACTACCAGGCCCGGTTGTTCAAACGTTGGATAGCACTACCCGGCCACTTACTTGCATCTCGTTGAATAACACAAGAAACTATTGTGTTTATGCCTCGTTCTTTAAGGCGTTCGGACAAGGGGCTGGGTATTCTGCAGTTACTACCAAGCGGATAAGTATTGAGGAAACCAATTGCGTTACAGAACTAAAACTCTCTACCCTGCGTAGCGTTGCCTTGGATGTTTAATGTTAAAACAAAAGCATACTTACCGTGAAAGAAACATTCAGCCCATTTCTTTGAAAACTTCTTGGCCATGGTACAGGCAGACTTCGGATTGCTGTTGGTGTAACATTTCCGCCAGAGACAGCTCGACGAAGACACGAAACACCGCTTGGTAACAAGACGACGGCCATCTTGCTTTCGGTCGCCCCACTTCCGGCTTTACCCTCCCCTCCCATCACAGGGATTTTTGGTAGGTTGGCAATTTTTGTTTTTCTCAAATACGAAAATCAAAAAACGATTTTCATTTCGGATTTCAGCAGCATTGATACTGTTTCCTGCAGTTTCGTTACGCATGAATAGCTTTGTCAAGTTTGAATTTTTAATAAGCTGGAATCTAGGGAAGTGGAAATTGAAAATACATTTTCAACTTCGGTACCAGGCAAAAATCTCAAAATTAAAGATTATCGTTTAGTTTTCCTTTTCCTTAAAAACAAGAAATGAAAGCCGCCACCTGGCCATTTTCAATTTTTGATTTTTGATTTTCAAAATATTGAAAATTGTTTTCCAATTTCTTGTTTCTTAGAAACAAAAATTGACGATTGAGATTGTAAATTTGTGATTTTCAATTCTTGAGGAATCAAACATTGAAAATCACGATTGTGAATTTTTGATTTTCAATTTTCAATTTGGAATAAAAATCAAATGGACGAAAACCACACGGACCAGGTAACACACCCCACCCCGTGATTTGGCATTATTGATGCGTTCGCCTAACTTTCTATACAAGATTTTATTTGGAACGGCCAATCTAAACGCTATCTCCGATTCCTTCATTATCGAGCCAATCTCCTTACCTAAAGAGATTCGGCGAGAATAAAATAATCGGCTTAAAATTTACAAAAGTTACAAAAAATAAGTGCACAAAAACGGTTTTCAGTGAAACCTCTATATAACGAAGGGCCAAGGGACTGGCAAAATCTGTTCACTATAACGAGGTTTCGTTAAATCGAGGTTCTTTTTCACATACAATGGGACCCCTTTAATACGGTCACCAGTGGGCCAAAACAATTTGACCGTATTAACGGGTGACCGTATTAACGAGGTCATTTTTACAAGAAAATGTATGACTGTTTTGCCAGGCGGCCAAGAAAAAGTGGCCGTGTAATAACGAGGTGGCCGTAAGCCAGAGTTTCATTGTATTTTGCTACTACTGGGGAAAAAAATATTGTTCGTATTAAATACTGAGGTCTTCGTTAGAGCGGTTTTTGTAGACCCTGAAATGAAAACGCGCGAACAAAACAGAAACAACAAACGAACGGAGATAGAGCGATTTTATTGGTATTGAACGGATACAAACGCGCGTGGCTTTTGGTTGGTCAAGCGAACGCTCGGATACCCGAGAACTTTCTAGAAATCATAGAAATCAATCAATACTTCGCTTTGACGCGATACTGCAACACGATTGGCTAATCGAACAATGCCTTCTCCGCATTAGGGTCTTCCTTGGCGGGAAAACGAAGAGTCCATGGGGCGCGATCCATTCAACCAAAATTTCCGGAAATTTCGGTCCAAAACTCAATGGATCGGTTCGGTCCAACCGAAAAAGTTTCGAAAAAGCGGGTCCATCTTTTCAGGTGGACCACTTTTCCCGGTCGGACCGGTTGGAATTTTGGTTGAATGGATCGCGCCACATGTAACACTAAAAACGTGATCTACATTTATATACAATGTCAGATCCCTAGTCAGATCCCGAGGGAAACGGTTAGTTTTGTTTTCTACTTATAACAACACAAATTTAATTCTCAAAACCACTGAATAAATGATATTTACAAAGTACTTTCATTACATTATCTGCATCATTGTTTGTTTCTCCTCTGGGATAACTTTAAAAGTCGTTGCTTTTTAGCTTGAGGCTTCGTGTTTGTGTTGTTTTGTTCATTCACGAAAAAGAAAATTGGAAGTGTTTTTCACGCCTTCTGTCACGCCACTTTCCACTATGCTTGGATCACGTGCTGTAATGTATCCCGAGCGGGGTTCATTGCTTCATGTATCGCTATCGGGATACACTTGATTTTAGTCAAGGCCACGTGACCACTAATCAACCAATGCCAGTCCCTGTTTAGTTGAGTGAAAGTCTAGGAATATAACAAGGTTTAGTGGTTTTGAGAATTAAATTTGTGTTGTTATAAGTACCGAGTTGACTGTTTTGGTTCGTTCCGTTTATTCTTTTGTTGCTGGTGAAGTGAAAGTCTAGAAATATAACAAAACATTTAATGTCAGGCCCCTCGGGAAACCAGTTAGTTTTGTTTTCCCTCGAGCCCTGGAGGGACATCTCGGGAAAACAAAACTAACGGTTTCCCTCGGGATCTGACATTAAGTATATAATGTAACTTTTGTAATTTACAATATATTGGTGAAACTAAGCGACATCTCAAGGACAGATTTAACGAACACAGACGTGCAGTCGACAACTTCTAACATTAAGTCTAAACCCACTACTGTTTCTGAACACTTTCTTTCTCACTCTAACCATTCTCATACTGACATGCAGTTAATCACGCATTCGATAGATAAGGCCATGACTCTTGAACCTCATTGCCTAAACCTCCGTGAAGAATTATTGTAATCCATATCCTCATATCCTCATGTATCCTAATTATTTTTCCTTCTAGTTTTTGTGTTGTACGTCATTTCCGCCTCTCCCTTTTAAACAATTTTTATTGCGACATTCTCCATCTGTATAATATTGTGATTTCTACATACTGAATTCACTAACATCTGTAAACCTGAAGAAGGCTGGTATGACTGGTATGGCCAGCCGAAAAATTGTTATGAAAAAACAACAAGTTGTTCTGAATCAGCTTTGCAGTAGTCTTTGGACTTCTCGGTTTTAGTCCATGTTTTGATCTTTTCGTCCATTGGCAGATAAAACAAATAACGAACTCTCACCGAAACCATTTTTAAAGGTCATACGAAAATCGCTCTATATAGAGGTTCGTTATATGGTGGTTCCACCATATAACAAAACCATGTATCAAAACCGCTAATGCGTTCACATGAAAATTGTCTCGGGATGGGAAATCACGAATAAATAAAAACTTGTGAAAAATCACTTCTCACGAGAAAAATGGTAGCCCAAATCACGCTTCACGAAAAAAAGCATAGTGAACTCTCTGTACGTCAAGCAAAGCAGAGGTGGAATAATTTTTCATATCATTTGAAAGCCAAATTCAATGATTGTTTAATTATTCATTCAAAATAGTTCCAAGTTCTTAACACTCTTACCTCCTTGTAGACTTATATCAGGAGCCCTGACTACAGTTCAAAATATTTTGAATACCATTTTAAAGATGAAAATTAAACTTCATTAATGTACAACAAGTTGCTTAGTCCTTGTTTTATGTATTTCTTTTTATTGCAGATTATTCAACACAGTAAAAAGCTCTATCTGATTGTCCGGTCAGTTGGTCGCATACCTAACAGTTTTGTTGCAGAGTCCACATGTAAGTGGGTAGACATACAGGGTAGACGAGTGCTTCCACCCCCTAGATTTGATGACAGTGGACATAAATTAACTGCAGAAAGCATACACAAGAATGATTTAAGGCTTCTAGCGGATGATGATGAGTGCAAGGTTTGTCAAAATTGACCTTAAGATCAGAAAACGGGGACAGCAATGAGAATGTCAAAAAGGAAATAGGTTTAATAAGCAAAACAACAACTTTGCACTTGCATCACACTTTTTTGTACATTTTTTTTGCCATCACTACATGACCATGGAATAAAAATGCATGATTTCAATTTTATGGAGGACATAAACAAGCAAAAAATGTAATTTCCGTTCTCTTTCTCAACTTGGATATGGTTCTTAGGAATTCAACTCCAGGAGAGTTCACCTACATTTGACAAAATAAGTGAATGGGAATAATCCGGTGAAGATTGAAAGCTGGAAAATTGACTTTTTTAGCAACTTTTTGGCACTGTTGCCGTCCTCAGATTTTAAGGTCCCTAGCTGCCACACTCTATCGTTGTCGAATCGTATGTTAAAGCCTTCCAGTACAAAGTAATTAACCCAATTCTTTACACAAATACGAAGTTGTTTAAAATAGGTTTTCGAACAAATGATTTATGCACTTTCTATGACAATTGTAATCCGAATCATTAACCGATTTGTTCTATCACTGCTCTCGTTCTAAACAGTTTTGGATTGAATTTGAATTATATTGTGCCTTATTTCGAATCAACGAATTCGTCTCTGCTTATAGAAAATGCGCTCTTTGGAATTTTGACGAAAAATGCTTACCCCTCACTTCAGTTGCTGAACTATTTTATAATTATTGGAAAACTCTATTTGTGGGACTGTAGGGGCTAACAAATCCTTCCAAACATTTATGGATTTAGGGCGAAGATCATCGCTAAATATGAAACGGAAGGAAAAATCATCAACAAAGAATTGTTTAAAAAAAGTGGATACTGACGCCTAAGTTTACTGTCTTAACTCCGTATCATTTCATTGCCCTGTTGTACTTTTTTCTAATTTCTTTTACCCTGTAGTAATTTAACAATTAATTTTGCTTTACTCTGTTAATGTCTATTGTTAAAATGCTTTTTTGTAGTATTGTAAATGTAATTATTTAATGTGATTATCAATAAATATATTTTTTTAAAAAATGACGGGCATAAGGCTATAAAAACAGGGTGTCCATCTATGTACCTTTACTGCCTCCTGTGCCTCATGTACTACAACTGGAGTGATCTGTATTGCTCCCCCCTCCCCCAACCCAACCAAGAAAATGCGTAGACTGTAGGATAACAAACTCACCTTAAAACAGACGAGCAAAACCACGGCTTAAGTATGTCATTACAGTACTCCTCGCCTGCGAGCAAGCTCTCCGGGACACTCTGCAGCGGGGCGGGAAAAGGATAGCCTCCCACGCAGACGTTCTTAGGCGTTCGTCACGCGTGACGAACCCCTAAGGACGTCCGCGTGGGAGGCTAGGAAAAGGAAGGACCAGCGCGAATGTAGACAAACATTGAAAAACACGTGACAAGGGTAATGACGTCACCTAAATCCTATTGGACGGCCCTCAATACCATTGCCTGACCCTATACCGTACCTTTATCTTGTTGCATTGGTTGTTAATCACGCACACAACATGACTTGCGCACATCCATGGCCTTTTCTTGCATTTTTAAAACATCTCTTATCGTCCTGCATTTACTCCGACGAGGTTTGCAATTTTGATTTCGAACTATGACGTAACAAATTTTTTTGTCGCATGCCACTCTATAGATCTTTCAAAACAGCGTAGGGGGCTTAAGTGGTTTGCTGCCCAGAGTTGTGCTGTTGGTCTTATGTGTCTTATGTGGCCTCAAACTTTCCTCAGACGTTTATCCTCAACCTCAACATAACATTTTCACTCCCGTTTCTGTTTTCGCTCCCTCGATTACGTCTAATAAGTAGGAGAAGGAAGCCGCTTTTTTAGCAAAAATATCACAAAGCGCGGGACCCGTTAAGTATCGATGCAGCAGTTGTGGTTTTTGATATGGGTAATGCTGAAAAGTTAACACCACTGATATTTTTATTGGTGTTATTACATTTATTTACACCTGGAAAGAAACACGGACCTTTTTTTATTGCGTCCTTTCTATATTGTATCGTTTTAAAAAAAATCAAAGTAATAAAAAAGGGAAAATTAATTGGCTTAGCCTCCAACCCAGATGTTCTTAGGGTATTGTCAGGTGTTCCTTCCCCTCAAACTTTGAGGAGGATTGCGTGACGAGCAAAATTTGCAAATAGATAGTTCTAAATAAGTGCCGCCCTCGAGTAGGCCCCCTACGGAAGAGTGAAAAATTCGACAAGCGCACGGGTGCTCTTTCGTGTAAACTTGTAGGATTTTTAGTAGTTTCCTTTTTTCCCATCAGGTGTCGATTCAATAGGATATTCTGGCTCCTACCCAGTTTCCAAGTTGACTATTAAAGACCAACGGTTTGGAGACGTCTTGCTGGACCTTTTCGCCTTCTCAGCCCTGAAACCACGTGATTCCAAAACATCTTCTACTCCGGCCATTGCTTTTACGTTACGCATCAATAACCCAGCCAGGAAGTCTGTTCAAGTATCATTTATGTTAAATCTGCCTCTAGGTATACAGCCAGACACAGTAAGACTTGGGAGCCCTGACAAAACCATCAAAAGTACGAATGTTATACAGTGCTCGAGGGCTTGTATTGATAACAAACAATGCATGTTGTGGCAAATGGCCAAAGAAAACAAGACATGTCAGTTGTTCTATCGGGTCCCCCCTCATGCTTGGCACACAGGGTTTATTTCCGGTCAGAAGAACACGTGGACAGCTCATGATTCAATGCTAACGCTCAAGAGGCCTGGGAAATATCCTCAAAGCGGCAACACAACTATTGCTACAGGCGTCAAGCGAGTTAGCCCCTCTTTTATGGTCAGTGACAGTTTTGAACAAATTTGGAAGCAATTTGAGGAACATGGCTATCTTGGGTCAGCATCTAAAACATTTGGGAGCAGTTTCCATGGCGCTACACCTGTAAATGTTACCTTGAAGCCTAGGAAAGAGAGAACGCTTACTTTGGTTTTGGGGTGGTTCTATCCCAACAAAGATTTCTCGGGTATGCTTTACATTAACAATTACAGTTCCGCATTATGCTTAAAACGCACCATCAGAAAGAAATTGTAAATTTATACAGCGTAGATCCTAACGGAACCATTTCAACAGCAAAATATGAAAATAGCTCTTGGGGCGAAGAGGGTCAACTGACACTTGTAGTGAAGCCGTTTATCTGCCTAGATCAGAAAAATATCCTGGAGTACGTGTTTTATTTAAAATAAGGGGTTGCTGATATCTCCATCCTTTCCTTCAGGAAGTGGGCGACGATTAGAAATGAAAGCGTAGCAGATATTCCCAAAGCGAAGTCTGCTGGAAGTTTCCGGGAATTTCTTAAAATACTCTCTAAGGCTAAAACCATCCCAATGACTGACTCGAAACAGTCTATAATGGCGTTTAATAAGACTCAGTTTTCCAATACACAGAGCAAAAATAAACCCTCCGCATAATAAAAAAAAGCAACCTTACGTTTTTCTTTATGTCCTATTCTACACAGCGGAGATTGTTGGTAATTACTATAGTAACCTATTCGAGCACAGTGAGGAGCCAGCCTCCTTCCTATTACGTAACCTGTCCCCTACTCTGCAAGCTATTTCTGCGTGGCACGCTTCTATGATAATCGACAGCAACAGCAAGTCGGTCCAGACCCTCCCAGTGGGGTTACAAGATGTCTTGGTAAACGGGTTAAGTTTCTGGCGAAGTGGCCTCTACCTCCGTGACAGAAGATGGCGGCAGTTTGAATCTTTAGACTGTATTGATATTGATTCAGTTCATCACGATTTTCAGAGAGAGATTCCTTATGTTTTGTTCTACCCTGACTTGGTTGAGAATGTAATACGTGCTTGGGCAAAGTACCAGAGTGATGACGGCCATATTGTGGAAACTCTAGCTGCTGGTTGTTATTCCCCTATGTAGCTTGAGAAAAGGGTCGATATTTCACGACGCAACCGGTGTTTTCCCCGCAAAATGACGTCTGAGGCGGGAACGTGCGAGTCCAGACATTCCATACCGATGACGTGTCACTACCCAGATCTGGGTAGTGTTACTGACTGGTTGGAAATTTGCTTTATCCAATCAGAAGGCGTACCACTACCCAGATCTGGGTATGACACGTGATCAGCATGGAATTTTTCCGCTCGTTTCTCAGACGTCATTTTGAGGGGAAACCAGTGATGGCGTCGCGAAATGTCGGCTGTTCGCTCAGGTTAATTTATATTTTTCTGGTCATGACTCATTCCCTTTTCCTTCCAAACAGGACAATTTCACAAACGCATCGTTGGACTACAACTTACTATATTTAATTGATTTTCGTTTTCTTTGTCATGATTTGCACAAGAAAAGACTGAACGAGTGTGTTAGTTCGAGTCAATTGGAATGCTTGGTTATATGGAGACAAACCTTCGATATTGAAATTTCTATTGTACAGACCTGTAGCGCAGCCTCTTAATCCAACATCGAATAACAATAGTCAGAATGGTGAAAAGTTGTACCATACCTTGTTTATGGCCGCAACAAATCACGTTGCAAATTCATCATGGTAGCTTATGGGAAAGTTAAAATGGACAATAGGTTATTTTAACATCCTTTTTTAAAAACCTTATTGATCTGTGAACAATATTGACTTGGCACTTTTCTCTTCTACAGTGGTCCTCCAAATCAGCGAATTATGGGCGATGTCACTACGGTGTTCATAACAGAAACCTACCATATTTATCTGTGGACCAATAACAGCGTTTTCTTAAAAGACATGTGGCCGCACGTGGTTAAGGCGATTGCTTGGATGATTGACGGAGGCCCAAAAGGGACTGGTTTACCTTACAGACTACAGTGTACATATGACCAGCTCTTTCTCAATTTATATGATCACAACACCTTTAACAGTTTCTTGGATGTCCTGGCTCTTCGAGCGGCTGAGGAGCTGTGCAAGATAATGGACTAGCTGGATTTGCTGAAGGAAGTTTCAACAGCACTGGAGGTAGCAAATTATCGAATATCGGAAGAATTATGGAGCGAAGAAGATGGTTATTATCACGCTTGGTGGGATAAGGAGAAAGGTTCACCGTCCTGGCTGATGAGTGATTCACTGTACACTCAAGTCTGGGCCTACACTCTGGGGCTAGGACACTTGGACGATCCAACAGGGTGAGGATGTAACTTCTGGCTTCAGGATAACCTTTTACTTCCGGGGTTTGAGTTCAGGGTAACGATCACAATTTTTTTGCGCTTTTCTTAAAATTTGCTTGACTACACTGAGCGGCGAAGGTTTGATGACCTAAAAATGGTTAGGTACTGTTACTAAATGTCCTAATATCTAATTAGGCGCCTTTTTCACTTCCACAGTAAAGCCATTTCCATTACGCTGCATAATGCACAATAATGTTAGTCACAACAGCGTAGAAGACACCACGTACTACTACTACGTTCATTATAGAGAGTTGTAGGTTAGAATACTGTTAAAGGTTATTACGTCTCTCTCCTTTATAAAGTTAATGTTAGGTATTGTACAATAGGGCCATTAAAGCAAACGCATTTTATTGATTCCCTGTGTACAGGCTCAGATCTCATTTGATGAAAGAACTTGAAATCAACGAAACGCCATATGAGCTCCGAGCGATGGCTACTGAACCATCCAGCTAACAAGAGCGTGGGCTTATGTCCCAAGAATATCAGTACTAAGAAGTTAAACGAGTTGGTGGCGCTACACGAGTCAATCTGGATGGGTGCCAGCCCTGAGTGGACGACTCTTCGACTTCATTTGGGTAAGCTTGAATAATTGCCAGCAAGAACAGGGTCGTCTTGCTTGTTTCGGTTGCTGTCTAGCACATCATTGACGGAAAGTTGATAATCCCATGGGGGTAACCACTTTGAAAAAAAGTTAAGGAATTGTAGGTTACAATTAGCCAGCTAGAAGACTTGACACGTTAACCTGAATAAATTGGTCTTTGGTTCATTCGTTCGTTCATTCATGTAAGAATGTAGGTAAACGCCATCCATTGCGCGCGGTTATGGAGGAATGTAGCGAGGTTAAGCGACTAAGCGGCTAAGCGAGGTTGAAAAGAGAGCTTGCCACACCTTAAAAAGGTTCTCACCCAGTAAAGCTCAGTGATGATCGTTAAACAGTAACTGTTTCTCTGAATTACTTCTAGTCATTGAAATAGTCTGAAAAAGTATTTCCCTGCAGTTGATGTATTTCCTCCCTGTCCCACTAAGAGAAGACAAAGCGTTTCTTTCATGACAGATTTCGAGGACATATTACAGTGCACCTCTCTCTTAACAGACACTTCTAGACGAATTACACTTAAAAGAGGACAGTGAGGGTTTTTCCCGCAGTTCTTCAGTTATATTCTTTGACTCTCTCAAACGCGAACAGCTCTGTAAGACGGATACTCGGTGACGTTTCAAACGGTGCCCTTCTTAGCGAGAGTTGACTGAAGTAACTCTTGAGTGCTACGCTAATGCAAATCTTGAAACAATCTTATTTCAGGTTTGGACCCTCAGAAGGCGTTACTACAAGCTGAGAAAGCCATAGAAAACGTTCGTTCAGAGCTGAATGACGAATGGGATTTTCATGGACTTTACTCGGGGAATGGGTACGGACTTGATGGTCTCCCATGGTGCACCTCGCACTATGCTTTTCACATGGTACTTTGGCACATTCCTTTTGCGATCTCGGGCCAGTCCTTCCCGGCGCCAGAAGCAACGCTTTCATTTGAACCTAAGCTCTCTTGTCCGTATAACGTTCCCTTCTATACATCGTTTGCCACGGGGACTTTGCAATGTACCTTTGTCCAAAAACGAAATCAAACCAAAATGAAGTTTCAAATTATGTCGACCTCAAATGAGATGTTTCTGCAACAGCTTGCGGTCATCGGCTTTCGATATCAACGTGCACTAACGCTGAAACAGGGTGAAGTAGTCATGTGGTTTTCACATTAATTTCCAAGGTTGCTTCAGTTTGAATTGCCTTTCTTTACAACTGATTGATGAGTTGTAATTTATCGCAAGAGAAATTCGTTTAGTCTCAATTGATACGTGAGTGTAATAAAAAACAAACAAGGATTCCCATCTAAGAATTATGGAGATCATCATAATAATAAGGGTGGTCAAGAGTCGTCATTTATAGTGTTGAAATGATCTTACCCTATGGCATATTCCAAAGTAATTTACATGGTCAATGGGGTGAAACTGAACAATATCAAATGTCCAAATTTTATTTTCAATTCTGTGCACAATATAAAAAAGATTGATAATTAGCAAGTTAGGGGAGAACAGTCGTTCTCGTACAATACACCAAACAACTACTTAACTTATGAAACTAATAGTTAACAGCCAAAAATTAAATAACTTGACATAATTGACTTTTAAAAGAATTCTTAATTCTCGTTCGAATTCTCAGGGATTTTAAATTCGAGCCCGTAAAACTGGACAAGTCAGTAATTGACAAGTAGATGAGACTCGCAATTCCTTTCATTCTTCTACAAGTACAATTTCCTATATAAATACGCAAATTTATACTCTTGCAAATATTTTCTACTATTTTAATGCGCTTTATTACTAATCTTTTCTCCACCCATGGGTAAGAAATGGTTTAAGTGACCATTTTTCTTTTCGGATTTTTTAGCACTTCCTTTCCAAATACCAGGATAACAAATTTGGAGAAGTACTGGACATGCAGCGAAGAGTGAGAAAAAAAATTAAAAGGTTAAGTTCCATGGGTGCATATTTGAATTATGGGAAAGTCTCTGGAGTAAAAACCGTTAATGATGATGATGTTCGAATCATATAAGAAACCAATAAATGACAAGGGCACGCATCCCGCCACTCACTCTTGACAATTGCATTTCATCAGTGACAGATCCAAAGGGAGGAGAGGGAAGGGGACGAGACCTGTTATACCAGCTACGTTTTGACCATTTCTAGTCCTAGTCAATACTGTAACTAACCATCTGCTGAGAAGGGTCATTACTTACACTCCAGTTAATGTAAGAAAACCGATTTTCAAGGAAATGTTGTGAATTAAATTGACATTATAATTCAAGCGTTAGCAGCGTCTCGCTTGTCGTGATAATTGTCACACAGTTCAACAGAGGTTCTCCAAGCATTGATCACGTGCTTTAGCTGCACTTCCGATGGCAATGCGTCCAGTCCTGGCACTGGTTCATGTCCTTTGTTGTCAAGATGCCACTCGATGTATTCACCCAGGCTGAATAAAAGGAGACACAGCCGTTGTAAGATGATACGCAAATTATTCAACATGGGGGAAGGAGTTTTTCATGTCATATCTAACCACCAGGGGGTGGATTGAAAAGAAAATCCAGAGCAAACCAAACACAAGGAACAGCCGAGTTTTATAACTCTATCAGATAAAATATTTCTTTGAATCTTCGGTGTAGCTTCTTAGATGAGCAATAACGGTAATTAAGGAAGAGGGGGGGGGGGGGGTTAGGGGCAACGTGGGCGTTGGACTTGCAATCCAGTGGTCCTAAGGTCGACTATCCCTCTGACCACTATCAAGAATTGCTTCTCGACAATCCAATATAAAACTCCTCGTTCACGCTGGTAAATAGCCAACTACAGATCAACATTCCACAGATGACTATGTCAACCATAGACACACTAGTGACTAGTGGGAAAAGAGGCAATCTCTCCAAATTTACCTCATTTCTTCTTCTCCGGGGACTGCATCACCTCTTAAGTTCAGCAAAATAAGCTCCAGGACCTCACAAACAAAGCAATCCAAGTCAATCCTCCTCATTCCATTGCTAAACTTGATCATCTGGCCTCGGGACATGACCTGCTTGTAGGTGTCCGAAATCTGCTCAAACGGATCCTGCAAAGGCAATAACAAAAAGTTAAGTCTTAGGCATTGCTATTTGCATCTCTCTTACAGTACTTAGATAAACAACCGACAAAATTCCGTGCCCCACTCGACCAATCAAAAGCAAAACTTAAACCAATCGTGGCATGCTAGGCAAGTGGAAGTAAGCTCTCTATGTCGAGTAACGAGCGAGGCGAGTCGCAAGAAATTGCGCAGGTGAGCGGCAAAGCCCCGTGCCCTCGCGCCTTCTTTCGCGAACCACTCGCGCACGACTCCCCCAATACAGAGCTTGTTCCTAGCTACTTTGCGTCTTGGAAGTCTAATTGCTTTTATAGGCTGTTTGCGTTTGTTCCGATTACACGGAGTAACTACTTTCTCGTTTATTTTACGACTCAATTCAAAAGTCGCCTTCCAGTCTCCTTGGTTTTTGTTTTTTGTTTTTTGGGGGGTAGAACGGAGGCGACACTGTTTCTGTTCAATGATAACTTGGAAGTTTAATTCCTCAGCTCAGCTGAATGTTGTTACGAAGTCCTTGCTAATGTCATGCAAGTTACAGGTGGAAATATTCATATTCCTTACCTCGCCTCGCCTTATAAGAATTTTGGCTCTCTCAAGGGTGAGAAGTCGCCAGAGAGAGATCACGTGACGTAACTGACAGTACTGCTGCGCCTGGAAAGGAAAATGGCAAAAAAAGAAACTTAGATTCGACCCACGAAGAATCTTTCGGTAGCCGAGCTGTGCGTAGAATACTAATGACAGGATACCCGGAGTGACATACATTCAAAAGGGAAAGGGAAGAGGAAAATCGGGCACACAAACGCGAAGGTTGCTGCATCAATAATAATAATAATGATTAAAATCTTTATACAGGAACACGCCATCACCCATGGGTGGTTTTCAGACGAGAACTGTTACTAAATTAAAACTATGCTAAACAAGAAAAACAGTACGTACGTAAAATAGACAATAAAAAGTACAAAGTCTCATTGATCCTATCAAAATGATGCTAAAAGATGTAAAATTCAATTCTTTACCGTACAAACTTAACTTTAGTTGTAGCTACAATTTATACCTTCAAACTCCGTAGAGTATTTTGTTGCATGCGTAGCACCCCTCCTAGATAGTTACTGAGGAGCCTTTCAGGGGCTCCCCCAGTGGAAGATAGAAAACCAATGGCAATGTCCAAAGATGACAGCGCGTCACAGATGTCAGTCAGGGAGCGAAACTCGCTTATGACTTGACGGCTTACTGCTGAACTCAGAGGAACCTGTGAAAAGACAAAAATATATTCGTAGTTTAATTGAACCGCACAGTTCTTTAGACTTCCTCTGGTCATCGATATTACGATAATTAACACCACGCATTGTATTGACTACATTCAGGTCCTAATATATTCGGCGGTGAAGGTACCTCCTTCAGGCGCTTCCATTACTGCAAAACTCTGATTACTCACGTGACTAGGATTATACCACAGAACGGCGTACCCAGTGATATCATTTATAGGTGGGGTGTGGGACATAAGATCGTAGCTGCCTAAGGCACCTTGATATGTATATGTCTAATGTGATTTTCATAACGTCGTAAAGCGCCCATTCATTCGTTCGTTCGTTCATTCATCGCCCATCCATCCATCCATTCTCTCATTTACTCTCTGTTGAAACTACTTTACAATCAAGGCATATGCCACGCGGGGTAATCATTTCTCGTACAACTACTTTTAACATCGTTATATCCCTAGAGGCTAGTCTGCAGGCTAGCTCTAGTATACTAGTAAGAATGATGTTACCTGACGAACTTTACCCTTTACGGCAGCAAAAACAGAGTCCAGTTGGATATCTTTACTGAATGCAAACCTCTCATCCTACAAAATAATTGAACAAATTGGGCTTTTAAAATCAAATATAAGAAATCGACAATAAACGCTTAACACTACACTCTTTCTTAAAGAGTAAATGAGAGTAAGTACGCCACCATGACAACCTATTTGTGTGAAAATAAATATATATGTGAATCATTAACTAGGCTCGATTTCCGCCGTCTCCCGGGTCCGGTTTTTGATCCTCCCTCCTTCGGGGGGATGAGTGCGGGGCTCATTTTCCCGAACAGCGGGTGGTAATCGAGCCTAATCATTAACTTGCTAAATAAATATACAACCTATTTGTGTGAAAATAAATATATGTGTGAATCATTAACTAGGCTCGATTTCCGCCGTCTCCCGGGTGCGGTCTTTGATCCTCCCTCCTTCGGGGGGATGAGTGCGGGCTCATTTTCCCAAACAGGGGGCTGGTAATCGAGCCTAATCATTAACTTACTAAATAAATAGAAATAATGAATAAAGAGAGAAATCTGACGAAACACTTTGACCGATATGCCAGCGTTCCACACTTGCACACTTGAGGTCTCAAAATAGTCTCCTCTGACTATTTTGAAAACTAGAGCCCGGGGGGGTATCACGGCTCCGAAAGTCCAACCTCTTTTTTCTCTTGGTACATAGATTTACTGACGAGCAGCTATGTTTACTGAGCGAAAGTCTTCAATTGCTGTCATGAACATTCACCGTGACCGTGGTGCTGTCACTGTCAATTTTTCCTTTCTTTTCTTTTCCTCTGACTCGCTAACCTCTTGTTGACAGTTTGAGAAATGAGAATCCTACGAAAAACGTCACAAAAGTTGTTCTTCTTCAGGTGACATACGCAATCTATCTTAACTACTGTATAATTCAACTTTCTTAGCTTGAGTGACTAAAATGGTTGAATAGGCTTTTATAGAGTTGTTTGACGGCAGCGGTAACGAATGCCCCTGCTGCAGTTTTTTACAATGCAGCAATGCATTCCACTGTTGTTCTTTACAAAATGTGGTTTACCAACCTGATCGAAAATGATTAAATTTAAGGGTTTATAGGAAACGTAAACACTCAAAGGTGTTTACGTCAATGGTTATAGGAAAAATTAACACGGAGAGATTTCTCTATATAAACACAATAATAGTCCGGCAATGGATTGGTCTCCCCAATCTTTCAATCAAAATCCCACATGGAAATTCTACCGTTTACCTTGAAATCAACAAGAGGTTTTCTCCTGATGAACCTGTCGATCAGCTGTCTTTCCAGTGCATCCCAGTTGTACTGTACCAACGTTCCCCGACCCACCTCCAGAGAGTAGTTGCATTGAGCCAGGATGAGCGGAAGTAGATCTCTCTCAGTATCATAAGCAATCAGTTGTGATGTGGTTACGTCTTGTAGCTGTATGTGAGGCAGATCCCTAAAGATCAAAAAGGGCAAGTGGTGTTAGTATCCGTACTAACCGTAAAAACATTTAAACATTACCCCGTTTCTCGGCACGATTCCAGGATGTAAACTTTGTTTTTTATTGTACTAGTAGATATTCGACATCTATGGAACAACTATTTTCTTTTTTGCGTATTATTGCATTTCTTCTGTTGTTTTAGTTACAAATTCGGCTACTTTGTCTTTGGATAGCCGTGAAAGGAAAGTTCAAATAATAACTTCGAGCAGCTTTGAAAACAAGCCGCTAGCTTTAATTAATGTGTACCCTTATTCTTCTGATTGGTATTCTTCGTATAAAATAAGAAACTCTTCTTCAGTAATTGAGCTTTCTGCGAAAGAAATGACAAGCGAGTTTCGCACATGACTTCACCGTCCTCTGTTTTGTTGTCCGAATCTTAAATTGAAAATTTTCGCGTCTTTTTCCCGTCATGGCCCCAGGCCGCCCGTATACGCATCCAACTGTCCCAGCCTACAGTAGTGAACTATCTTAAATTCCCTACTTACTTGACTTCTCCGCCGGTCAAATTCTGGTACCGTTCGTTAAACTCGTTATGCAACATCGTGAGAAAAAATACCAGAGCCGTGGAGCAGATGCCCAACCCAGAAGTACTGGGCAATAGTACTGCAAGAGGACGCGAGTTATCCATGGACATCTTGCATAAATCACTTGGAGGACGAAGGCGCCCTGTTTCAATAAAAGGATTGGTTCGCGTTAGATCCCCGGGGGACACTCCTGGGAATTCTTGGTGGGGGTGTGCCACCCGGTTCTCCAAATCCTGACCCTATTTCAAACTACAAAATGTCATTTTTCAGACCTTGCCTCTAAAATCCATACCCATTCTCAGACTTGGCCTTTAAGAAATTATGTCATCATTACTTAGATTAGAACAGCAACAAAAAAGATTTCTTAAAATCCATTTTCTCTTTCTTTCTTACTCATTGGAATTGAAACAATAAATACGTTCACACACTCCCGTAGTTCCCTCGAAAACCACACCCGATTCCAGACCAAACTGAGCAAAGTCTATACCCGTTTTCAGACCAATACGGATTTAAAATCCTTCCCTTTTGCGGCGGCACATACCTATATGGCTTGTATAGGGGAGTAACCCCGGACTTAAGATGTTGTTCATTTTTGCCTTACAGGAGTAGTGTCACAGGGACACCCATTAACAGGCGGGGAGGCCGCCCTACAGGGTCTACACGTAACAGTGAAGCCCGCCCATCTGAAATTACCTTCCGACACGGTTTTTTTGGTAGGGAATCTCCCTATAGAGTGGTATCTACGTTGCAGGATACAGAGTTTCCGCCCATAGGTTCTAAGTTTCTTCGTCTAAAAGTTCAAGAGTCGAAACTGTGCACTATAATTTAAATTGACAGTTGTCCCCTGTAAAGGATGGGTAAAATAAACTTAATCTTCATAGCGCAAAGATATAATCATCACCTTCCCGTTGTTTACAACGATCAAGTTTGTTTTTGCAAAAAAACATTGACGCTAGCTTCTTACGAGGGATATTAAAGGGTTAGATAGCAAATCTAACTCATTCCTGCAATTCACAAAATTGTAAGTTACTTCAAAGTAAGGCAGACTGACAGCTCTAAGAGACATACCTTGCTGGTCAAGACTCAGTCTGACGTGATTCCACGCATTGTTAAAACTCATTATCAGGGAAGTGAGTTCATCTTTAGATGTTTCTGTGGAGAATATTACGAATTAAACCAAACAATTAATTCTGGCGCGATTTTACTGGTTATATTTGGTCACATTGTAACAGAAAGGAGCGCAGATATCACGTGATACAACCTACGCTTTTTCAGTAGAGGGAAACCATAACAAAGCTTTTATTTTTAACTTCCTCAATTCAAATTGAATCAGAAAGACCAAACTCGTTTTGTTCATACAAATACAAGAGAATCAACAAAATATTCTACGCTGTTATGCTTTGGAAGCTGAACAAAGGTACGAGATATTAGGACCGTTTAAACGAGGAAAAAAAAGACGCGTCTTACATAGGACGCGTCCTTAATAAGACTCAAACTATCCCGTATAAACGGCACATTTCGTTTGAAATTTAGCTAAGACGCGTCTTATCTAAGAACAGCCCCTAACACCTGTTCTTCGATAAGACATGTCTTTGCTAAGTCGAGTCTTAATGCGCCCTTTATACGAGATAGTTTGCGTCTTATTTAGGACGCGTCTAATGACAGATGGGTCTTTTTTTTTTCTCGTATAAATGGCCCTCTTGTTTTCTGCATGGACAATTTAGGTAATCTCATATTCTTACAATTAACTTACTAGAAGGAATCTTCTTTAGGAAATTTCGGATTGTGATATGCTCTGCTTCTGCCCTGTCGATTCTGCGGTGGAATTTTTCCATGAGAAGACGCTGTAGCTTAATGATATCTGGCAAAAAGCGGAGGGCACGGAGATTGTGTTCCTAAAAAAAGGAGAAAAGAGATGATCCCTATTGTCTACGGCTTGTATTACATCAATAGGTATCCGGCATTATCCCCGAGTACAAAGTTACATAATTTATCGAAATGGGCTTAAATTGTTCAAAGGGGCCTAGACAGCTGAGCAGTGTTTTCATTGCAGCCTGTGAATAGGTTCTATAGTGGGATAAAAGACAAAGAGAAAGCTAGGTCCCCCTGGGTACTGTTCACAGAATATTTTTATTGCTGCAAGGTGCCACACTATTATTTACTTATTACTTTGTCTTTAATAGTAACATTCCTTTGCAGTCGTTGATTTTGATGGCAAAATATTCTGGTGTCGGTTACCAAACCAATCAAGTTAATGAGGCTATGTCATGCTATTTGCTATCTTTTTAAAAAGCTTAAACTTGTCTTAGCATCAACTGAATTCCAAAAATAATGGTCCCGTTTTGTTATTTAAGAGTAGATTTAAGATTTAGGCAATGGAACTGTTTCGTGTTGTCCTTTGTAACGGATGGCAAGGATGGTGAAACTCATTAAAAAAGTTTGGCCAACTTTTTCAATTTTGAATGCTACGCCTGCAAAAAATCACCCAGAAATTATTACGGTTTAATAGTGCTCCCTGATGACACTTATTTAATATCTTCTTCATAACTCTACAAGAGCACTTTGTGTATGGGAAAAGTCAGTAAATAAAGACTTGCACAGCATTGACCTAAGACAGCAATATCCTAGTAACAAAGCTCCTTAAATGCAGACTAACTTACACTCACCTGTCGTAAAAACTCCGCTAACACTTTGTTCCTTTCGGGATCGGTAGAGGCCACCTCTTGTTGAAAGGTGTGTGACAAGTGATCGAGAGTCACCTGAGTTCGATATCTCCACAGGGCGGGACATGTGGGAGTGATACTCACAGACAGATCATCAGATGGGGTGTCCACCTCAAACAGCTGGCGCATCAGGGGGTTGTTGCCTGAAAGAATCGGAACAATAAATTTAACTTAATGGGGTGCTCTACTTTTCAAAACTACACGACGCGGAATCACATCATGTTTTTTATATGGCCAAAACGGATTTAAATCAAACAGTTTATGAAAATGTAAATTAACTAAAAACGACTGAAATAGATATTAAAGTACACGAAGACCCGGTTAAATTTATCGTACCCACGATATTCCAGTTACCGGTTGCAAGCTCTACCTACTGAGCTATAACTGACTCATATAGTAGCAGGACGTACGCTTGGGGTAGTCACAGGACTTCGCATGTAACGAGAACAGTGGACACTAATGTGACAGATGTATATCAAATAAATCATATAAGAACTACGGAAATGAAATCAAATGAAGAACGATCCTTGCAGTTGTGACACTAATCAAAGACAAAACGTTCACTAATTAAATTTTTTGTATCTTGCAAGCAAATGAAATAAGAGTTGTGTCAGTTATAGATTTAGTGACTCACTAAATCTATTCAGTGTACACAACTCTTATTTTAGGTGCTTGCGACATGCAGGTATTTAGCTTTGCTTTGATTAGTGCCCTATGTCTTCTTGAGATGCGAAGTCCTGTGACTACCCCAAGTGTACGTTCTTCTTTGCCTCCTCCCTAGGCCTCATTATTTCTCGCGGCCAATGCATTTCGGGTCACGTGGTCCAAGCGAGGTCACCGAATTGAAATGACAGAGAGAGCCTGGGAAACGCTGTACTGGGACTAGCCAACGTCCTGCTCACTATATGAGTCACCCATAGCTCAGTGGGTAGAGACTACAAACGGTGACAGGAAGGTAGTGAGATCAATTCCTGCCAGGGGCTTGGATTTTTTCCGAGCACTTCTTCGTGTACTTTAATATCTACTTCAGCTTCATCGCATTGGATGGCTAGTTGGTTCTCTAAAATTATAAACTAAAAGCAAAAATATAGATAAATAAACAAATAGTTAATTAATTAATGTACACGAGGAAATAACACGTAAAAACGTACCTAGTCGATTGTCTCCAACCATCATTCCCAAGCAATTTTGGATCTTTCCCTCGAGGTTCTTAAGAAGTGAGAATCAAATTAGAAAATTCCAAAAGCATCGGCTAAAATGATATTATTATTAATTATAATATTACAATAAAGTAAAGTCGGCATACCGTAAGCACTGGAGCCACCACACTGTTGCTGAACGCTGTTTCCCATTCTCTTCGAGCATCTTTCGACCTCATATCAGGGGCGACATTCACGTCTGCTTGTCCTAAAATAGATGAAAGAGATCTGAAAACGGGTAAAAGATGTCTTCGTGTGAAGCGAATGCTTTTCTTGCATGACACATAGACACTTAACCTGTAGGAAGCTGCAAAGTTTATTTTCTAATAACTCAAGTTGATTAAAATAAGAAGTGGTTATTTCTTCTCTTTGCCACGCTCTTTTCAAATGTCGCTGGATTTTTTCGTCATCCTCTGCTCTCTCCCAAGAATGCTATGGATTTACTGATGCCCACTCCATGTTTCAAACACTGGTGTTTTGAAAAAGCTCGCAAGAACTACTCTAAATTAAACGGATCTCGTTAGGTATTTTAAAAAGGTTTAGTCAGTTAAGTATTTAATCGTTTCAGTTGCCCATATTATTTATATGTTTCTGTGCCCTTTCAACACAAATAACGTGGGCATTTTAGGTCCTTGAAAAGCGAGAACAAAATAAGTCTCGACTTAACAGCTATTCAAGTGATGCGTGGTAGCTGCGAAAGCTAATTCCGAATAGAACCGCGTAAGTGCGAATACCTGTACGCAACGCAGTCATTTATCACATTTACCATTTTGAATTTCCAGTTTAACTTAATGAACACAAGTAACGTTAGGTAACCGTAACAAAAAAACCCTCTGATCCCTTAGCCATGGTATGGTTGTCAGTTTTGGTCTGCGTTTGACTATGCTTTCCAACTTACGGTTAGAAATAAGCGCGGTCATTTGCACAAGAACCATGTGAACGCAAAGAACTGTATCATCCACACTTCGTCCAAGGCTTTTGGCGAGAAGCTGTAGGTCCATATGGAGGTGATCCCATAAAAACTGCGCCAAGGCCGCGGGGGGAACTGTGGGTTGGATGAGGGCACCCAAACCCTAAACAGGGACACAAAACAGGGATAGTGAGAAACAAGTTATCCATTCATGCTATCATAAATATTACAGCAGTCAATGTTATACTCCCTTCTAGATGACTGGCATTCACATTTGATTTCATTTGATTTCAATTTCGGTGGCAATACATAGTTTAAAGGCGCATGGCTTAACTGGGTAATTCTAGTAATATTGTATAAATCAACAACGCTTGGAAAATATATTAATCCAGATACTGAATAACGAAATGCGACAATTGCTTTATTTATTTGTCAGAAGTGACGAGCTAAACGGATTACATGTAGTCTAGGAAAGGATTTCAAAGCAACTAAGGAAATAGCCTGCTTGGCCTCTAAAGTTTCAGCGCATTCCTTGAGAGCTTTCTAGCTGCTTCTCTAAAATAGAAGCTTGTGTTAGCCTTTTTCAACACTGCCCCTACACTCAAGACATAAAAAGCGACTTTTAATCACCTGTGGTTGGCGGATGGCTCCTTCTATCATAGCACAATGCATAAGAACCCTTGTGACTCCCACAACTACGGACGAAAGGTTTCGTTCAGGAACCAAACCTTTGGCCCTTTTACTGGGATGACCAAGAACGTGACCAGTCATTGTGCGGTCAGCCCTACAGAACAAGAATAATATACTTGTAAAAAGACCTTTCACGATCAATGTGATGAGTCGATTTGAGTACACTAATTTCCGATGTTTCTGGTTTACCCACTTTTGAACCTCGCACTTTATCTCTGAAGGTCAGGATTCTACCCTTAGCAGTAAGCCGGCAACCAGTTAGCTTGTTGGATTAGCGCCCATCTGCCGAGCGGAAGGTCGCGGGTTCAAACCCCGGCCGGACCAACACACAGGGTTTTCAAAATAACTGAGGAGAGAGTGCTACCTTTGTCCAACGGTTGGACTTTGTAATCTTTTCGGCTAAGGACGATAAACCTGAGGCCCCGTCTGACAGTCCTAGTTCACATAAAATTTTGTGGGACGTTAAAGTACCCACACACTGTTCGTTAAGAGTAGGGGAAGTGGTCCCCGGTGTGGTGGTCTATCTCAAACTCACTTTCTAATCAGGGCATTCATAAATCATTACTTAATTAATTATAATTGCGCATTAAGCAGTCGGGCTAAAGTCCCCCGCCCAGTTTTGCAAATTTTCCATGACAAGCGCTGAGGGAAGTGGATAATATAATATCATAATGTACAATTGCAATTACAAACCATATTAACCTAGGCTCCAGTTGTTCCAAAGGAAAAAGTTGTCCTCCTGTTGAACTGGTTGAAAAGTGTTAGGGATACTAATTGCATTATCCACTGTATAGATCCCTCTCTCTAAGAGAGATCTATGGCAGCGAGTAGTTAGTAGCGAGCTGACAATGCTGGAAATCACCCAGAGATGAGCTAGCATTTAGTCCACCTAGAGGGAACTTGCTTATGCTGAAAATAGTGTTAAGCCCCATGCAGCCGCGTGAAACTGCAACCTTTTACCAAGTAAGATAGCCGGGCCATTTCGGAATGCCACGATTAACTTGAACACAAAGGCTTCGCTTAAGGATTTACGCACGTCGTTAGGCTCTTTTTAGTTCCTGTCATTTTCTGTTCATTTACACAAGGTCGGCGCGGAAACGACAACAATAACGATACATACCTCTGAGCTGTGGTATTTCCTCGAGAGAGATGGTATCCGGAACCACCGATATTCACTTTACACTCAGGACAAACCTTCACTTCCACAGGGCGGCCACACTGCAAGGTAAGGAAACAGGATAACAATGAAAATAAAACAATAACATATGTAAGGAGCATGAGAAATACTCAGTTGCCTGGTATGGAATCCGGTCTCTAGAGCGACCGCTAAGACCCAGGAAACTTGGCAGAACATTGTTAGGAGAAAGAGAAACTTGTGATTTGACATTTATGTAAAAATAAACCATGAAAACAGATATGTAGAGTTGGTGACCACGGTACCAGTCTTGTTTTAAACTTGTAACTTTTCAAATGGCAGTAAAAAGGGTCACTTACGTCTCCAATGTAATAGGGATGTCCTTTGGGGCACTCTGCAACAAAATAACACGGGAAACCAAGTTTATTTCACCAAACAGAGGATTGTCTGCAACCATCATTGCCGTTTTGTCTACAAACATCCCTGATCACGAGTCTCCAACTAAACCTCTTTATAAATCATTGACGAAAATACAAAAGACTGCGCCTTCCGCTCCATTATTCTGGGCTCAAACTCAAGGTTTTGAAGCCGTTCAATAAACTTGCAGTTCGTATTCTATCAAATCTAATATCAGTCGGTAACGCCTCGAATTTTTGAACTGACAGAAACAGAACACCCCTACTTTTGCTTAACATACATTTAAAAGGAGCGACCTTTGGATACCAACAACACCGACATGCGCAATAAGCGCAATAATAGCTGACAACTCACCAAACTACAGATGGCAACGTCACGTTTCAGTGACGTTTGCGGTTTTGAATAACAGGTAGAGAGGAAGGGAGGAAGGTTCCACGCAAGTAATTGAGCCGTATATTTCCATGTTATCACGTAAACAAGTAAATTTTTTGTGGAGCAAGTCTTTCATGTTCATTAATGCCAAAGAGCAAATATGGACCTTATTGATGATGTTAAAACAGCACTGATGCTGTTCGAACATTCAATATGGCGGCCGGTTCAAGTCAAAACGTGTTGAGGTGGTATGTTGCTTTCGGTGGGTTTCTCTGCACAAGAAATAGCTTGTTATCGGATTCATTGTGATCTTACTCATTTTTGCTAGTCTGTTCAAGCTATTTTGTCTTAAAAATGCCAGTCATCAAACTGCGGTTTCACGTCTGCTAACTGCCTGCACAACTTTAATTTACCACTTTGATACTTACGATACCAGATTCCACGCTCTCGCATTCCCGCCATTGCTTCTTGCAGATTGTCATCAGGCATTGTGGGTAGGTATGCGTTCTAATACACAAAACGATGGCGATGAAGATTGCAAGAACGAGTAAGTGACGTTTTCGCTGGCTTCACCGTTCTCGGTTCTTAAGTGCCCTATTACCTCAATAGGACAATTGCACTATGACGTCATTTTACTACAACTTAAAAGAGTCCTTCAGTTTGTTGTTTTCTTGTGCAAATTAGGGCTATTGATATTTAAACCTAAGCGGGATTTACAGATATTTAAGAAAGCAAAAACGAAATGTAGTCAAATGTCGTCATCGTGAAAATGGCCCATTGGACAAAGCAGTGTGTCTGGTCATGGGTTTCGCAATCTAGCCAGGCCTGCATTTGTTACGTTTTTTTATTTCAACTTTATCTTAAAACTGCTAGGAGTACATCTATTACATTCATTTTATTTGCAATTTATATTGCATTTTGACAATCGGTAGGAACCGACCTTCAAAAACAAAAAAAAAGAAAAGAAAGAAAGAAAAGAAAAAGAAAACAGAACTGTACCATTAAGGCCGCAGGATTATCCATTAGTAGTCGCAGTGGTTCGCAAATGGTCACGTGATTAATGGACTGAAGCACAGTCGTAGTATGAATTACAAGCTCTGACAAATTATGCTCTAAGCCTGAGCGACCAGGCCTGACTCGAACACTGGGAATGCCTTCTGCACCTTGTGTATTATCGAGAAGTTGAGCGGCAAATGGTTGGATCTGTAGAAAGCAATACATCAGAAAGTAAGGATAAAGAAGCAAACAACAATAACAAAACAACTCTCACAGCCTAACCACAAAAGAAAGTTGGGAAGAAAGGTAAAAAAAAAAAACTAGACCAGAAACTTTCAACCAGTAGGATAGAAAAGTTTAAAGAAAGCCACTGTATGTAGAAACAAATCTTGGGATATTAAACGGGTCTTTGAAGAGATTAAACAAGGAATGGGGTCGTATTCATAAGCTCACCTAAGGTATCGTTGAGACCGAAAGCCTCTTCCTGAGAAATAATATTTGCGCATAAATCTCATCTTAGGAAGTTAAATTCTCCGACTTTAGATTTTCGTTTACGCTTACAGACCGCAATAGCTCATTCCATGACTCACATTTCCAGACAAATATGTGCCCTCTTGTATGAATTCCTGAAGACACTGGTGGGCCTGTTTAACCAAAAAGGAAGAAACGTTTACGAGGATACAAATATTCGTTTTATTTGGTGTGACGAAAAAGACGTGTAAGAAACATGAAGTAAAATGCTTTAATTTCTAAAAGGTGTTAGTTTGTATCCAAAAAAGCGCCAGTAGTCATCGTTAAAACCTCGGAGCTATTCAAAATATTAATTAAATATGACTCAACCTTGTTCGAGCAAGAAAGTTGTTTTCTCAATGCAGCTACTACCAGCACAAATCCAATTGGTACTGATTTTACAAAACTAAATTAAAGTCAATCAGATGAGTGGGATAAAAACAGTTTTCGGGGCCAAAAAAATGTATCTGAGAGAAAGAGAAACGTACTTAACACGAAATGATAATGGTATCGTATTTATCGATATTATGCCCCAGCCATATTTTAATAATTAAAATTTAAAGTAAATTTCGTAAATATGACTTAGGCATAACATCGAAAAATACGATACCATTATCACGTTACATTTGTTTTCCTTTTCTGGAACACGTACCTTAGTGGAAAGACGACGTTCTTTACCAGTGAAGCCATAGCATGTGGTAACTTCACGGAATAAAGACAACAGCAGCATAGCCCCTCTTACAACGTTTGGTATGGCAACGGACTGAAATTATGTCACAAGAAACATAGTGTACGTCTCAAAAAAGTGTGAAACTGCTTTTTTTGCTTTTTCAGTCACAGACAAAAACCCACGCACAGGGGCGTCCTCATTCGCTACTCATAAACTACGGAGAGATCGGGAAAAAGCTCTCGGCGTAAAGATTTCAGGGACCGTCTTTGGGTGGACAAGCGTTAATTACAATCGATCCATGGCTATCCAAAGACGACGATTGACTAATAACTGCTTACGTTGGTTACGAACACGATGCCGAATTTGTTTGCCCTAAAGCTTGTGTGAGGTTGTCACCTATTGCGATTAGCCCAAATACTTTGGTTTTGGATTCAGAACTTCCAACTGAAGTACACTACACTCAACAGCAAAATAAAAAGTACAAAAGGAAAAATAGCTGATAATGTTAAACTAAAGTATTTCAGATTTGTTTATACCTTCAGTGCGTCAGTCAGCTCTCTGTTTGTTCCACCAAGCACTGTCTTAGCCATGGCTTCTCTGATCTTCTTGTATTCTTCTCCATAAATCACGAACCTATCAGGAACATTGTCTTCGTCCTGGAAAACAAACAATCAAACCAGCAGACAAGTAAACACCAACAGAAAATATCTTGTGAAGTAAACTCACGCGGACTCGTAAATTTCATCTTTTCCAGATAAGGGCCCAAAAACTTTACACAGCTGGTATATGGAAATCTTGAAAAATAGGCATTACTGACAAAGAAATTAACAAACAAACAAACAACAATTTACTAAGTAATATTTAGCATCGTACTCAGGAGGACCTTGGTCAATTATGAAATGTAAAAATAGTGTTACTGGTGTTAAGTTATTCCCCCAATCAGGACTTTTTTTCTGAGACTTTCCGACATGTACTCTTTCCAAGACTAGTGCAGGGGATTCTCTGAACAAACCCACTGAATCGTACAATTTTTATATGCCTGTACATGCCTGACCAAGGCTGTCCTTATCCGAGAAGCCACTTGCAGATGTCACAGCAAAGACAGCACATTCCGATCCTGTCAGTCATATTAAGATCCTGAGTGTTGGACCGGCGCCTACTTATTTGAACTAATCGTGTGCTATGTAGATCACGTTTCAACAATTCTCATAATACACACATTTTGATACAATTGCATTGTCACGTGGGTTGCAATATGGTAGATTTCCCACGTTTTTTAGTTCAGAAGCCAACTATTCAGATGTTTCAAATCACAAGTATGCAGTAAACGTTCCTAGGTTACAGACCAAGCTGTGTAATGGGCGAAAACTACCTCACCGACCCTAAATAGCGAAATTAAAGTCAAACAGAAACCAAGACTTTCTACCTGCTTGTTTCTGCTCTCAGGTCTCAGGTGGTACAATCCACTCAAGCTCCTTCCTACCACAGAGCACATGAATTGCCTCCACACCAAATCTCCTTGCCAATTGTTTGAGGAGGAAAAGTCGGGGAGCTGGGCTTAAACTCTTGTAACACAGTCTCCTTGCAGTTTCAAAGAGCGTCTCCAATTCCATCCTCATCAGGCGATCATTCCAAGGCTCTGTGTTTTCTACTGTGCTCTTGTACATAAATTCGGCAGTCAGTGCTAAGGTGTAACGCGCTTTTGCCACGCCTTCCAGCACATCAACATCAATTTCTCGAGTGGGACGAAGTGCGCTTGAAATCAACAACGGCGTACAGTCATCACAAAGTTGTTGTGCCAGTTTTATCATCACCAGCAGAATATTCGAGGTTTTAGAATACTGACTGATCAGAGAATCCTAAAGAACATCGTAATGGAGATGTGAGATGCAAGGTATTGTCAAGCTATTGTCATACTTAAAAACTCGTTTGAGATTTGTGATATCCATAGAAAGGAAGAGAAGCAACCTAGAACAGAAAATCAACTTATCCTTTTATACTTGAAGAGATCTGTGGCCAGACGAAAAAACAGGGAACGCTTTAACACCTAGTTAAATTAAAGACGGATGGCGCAGTGGTTAGACCACTCTCCTACCACCAATGTGTGCCATGCTCGATTTAGCCCGGTCTAGAATGAATTTCCGTTGGTTCTATTCCATGCTTTCATAAACGTAGGAAGAACACAAAGGTAAGCTTGCTTTTTTGCTTTTGCCAGGCTTCTTTCAATCCATGAAAGCGTTTCGCAGCGCATGGCATGGTCTTCATACATTCACCTCGAGTTCTAGTTTCCTCAATGCAATGACTGTTGGCAATTATAAGCAAACTGTGAGTACTATACTTTTTGAAAAACGTATTAATTGAAAAACCTCTCTAAGGAAGAGACATATGTTATTCATGTACTTGTCCTGCCCCGCCACGTCTAACTTTCCAGCTATACGCGGGGCAAGCTATTCAACTACTTGTGCATGCAAAAAATACAACTGTTGTCGTTGTCATGAATTCAAAGTTTACCTCCCGGCAGTGTACAAAAAGCTGACAGACTTGCAGCAGATGGCCAATCTCTGGTTTCAGTCCTCGAGCCTTCGTTAAATAGAGCGACAAATGCTCCTTGACTTCCTTGTCACTAAGCAAAAATCATGCAAACCGGTTATATATAATAATAAAGAGTTTCCTGCTGAATATAAGCCCCTGCTATTTACGAAAACATACTAACCAAAGTAGTTATTACTTTCAGGAACTGTTTACGTTTTAAAAGAAGGAAGGGCTAGGGGTGGTGTTGATCCCGAGGGACAGATAGTAAAGCTACGCAGAAGTTGTCTAATTTCTGCAGTGAAATGCAAAGAACGAACAAGTCTATGATGTCAGTGGTAAGTATTTGTCATAGGATCATGGCTGAATAAAACACAGTCAAGTCCAACTTTAAAACAGAGTGTCCTCTCAAAGCGACTTGGCAAATAAATAAATAAATACCGTAAACAGCCTCTTATTAGCCACCCCTTAGCTATAGGCCCGTCTACCTGAGAATTCGATTTATTAAGACGTTTTGAAGCTTAATTAAAAAGCACTGCAAAGCGTATTTTGATCACCACTGCAAAAGCGTCTTTCGTTTTTCTCTTCCTGTTTCCTGTTATAAGCCCCTCCATTTATACGCCCTCCTATAAACCCCTAGCCTCCCACGCAGGGCGTTTTTAGGGGAGCTCGTCTTTCATCCCTTCCCACAAACGCCTGCTCAACCGAAAACAACCTTCCTTTCCCAAGCTTAGCCAATCACATTGTACTTTCCAAATCCTGGAAAGTTGACCTTGACCGCAGGGTAATCTGATAATTACTCGATCTGCATCAAACACTGGGAAAGCTTTCTGACCTCTAATAAATGTTAGATTCAGAGCAGCAAAAGTATGATTTAGTCAAATTTTAGAATACTCCATACACTGCATAAACCTTAGCGAAGGAAAGAAAAGAAGGAAAACGGTAACTCTAGGGTCACGTTTTAGTCGTGTACATGTTTAGCCTGTTAACACTCTATTTCAAAACTGTTGATTGGTCACTTACCACGCAAACAAAACAATGGGAGAGGAACTTATGCGCATTTGATCATATTTACATGTATTTTGCGCAATATAAATATTAAATTATTATTATTATTATGTTGTTTTCGATTGAGTAGGCGTTTGTGGGGAGGGATGAAAAACGACCTCCCCTAAAAACGCCTGCGTGGGAGGCTAAAAAACCCCTTACGGACAAAAACAAGCCCTAAGTAAATATGTGAAAACAGTGTTTGCTCGAAAAAAAATCCTGCATTAAATTACACCAAATCATGAACCACTGGCCAATGGAATGTTTCCTATAAGTGAAACAACAGATTCTTTCATGACCCACCTGGTCCTTAGTAGTTGCTGTAGAAGAAATGACCTCACCACAGGAGTTGCATCAATACCATGCTCAGGGAAAGGAGAGAAGTCTTTAGTTTTGGAACTAGCAGCTTCAGTCACGTAACTCATGAACATGTCGAACAACTCAGGGTCCATTACACCTTCACCATCTTCAGCACCAAAACAAAATAATGAAACAAGCTCCATGAAGAAAGAGTTACATCGGCGACGGAAGTCGTAGTGTTCTTTGACCGCTTTCCTGGAATTGATGTAAAACGAAGAATTTTCCAAAACAATCTTAATTCTTTTTAAAGGAGTCTCTTTTCCGCAAATAATTTCCAGGGACAAACGTGTTCAAACTGAAATGGGTTGTAGCTGAACGACATCCTTAATTAAAAGCGAACAATTGCTTCTTAGGCCCTGTTTACCTGGAGGTGGGGGACGCCAGGTAGGTGAGGTAACCCGCCTGTCCATATAATCTCTCATATGGTACTGGTAACCCCATCTATCATGTTAAACGGATCAAATTAAAATGAGAGATTATATGGACAGGCGGCTTACCCCACCTAAGTAGGTTACGTCACCTACCTGGGGTTCCCCACCTCCATGTAAACAGGCCCTAAATCAACTGAGAAATAAGGAAATATTGAGTACTGAACACTGGCTATTGGACAGATTTGTCGATTTAGTGGTGATGTTATTGAAAAATTGGCCGTCTCAGACACCAAACTTAAGTGGCGCCATTCGATCCTTCCATTGTCACGATAATATCTGTCGCACATTACCAATCAAAGCTGTGATCTTTTGAAAGTTAGTTTCATGTTCGTTAGTTTTGCAAGATCTGGTCAATATGCTGTTTATAAGGTCACCCAGAACCACGGGCTTCAAACCCGGGTGAATGATCTAAGCTGTAAAATTTGTTTTTCAGCAGTAAGGTAAGACAAGTTTGTTATTTCCTTTGTTGCAGGTTAGAAGTCACACGCAGGTCACCAAGTTTGTAACTTTCTGTATTTAACTCTCCAAAGAGAAACTAACCACTTAAGTTAAGAAAAGAAATCTAACCTTATAATTTTGGTGGATTGAATCCTAAAATCCTCAGGGATTTGCTGTTTACACATAGGACAACTTCGTTCCTGTGATGTCCATTCAGAAATGCAAGGTAGGCAGATGACGTGACTGCAAGGCATTTTTACCGGGTCCCTCCCAACTAAACCTTCCAAGCACACGGGGCAGGTGTTGACACCATAACTGTGGAAAAGGAATTCATGATCTTGATTAAAATAATACCACCGGCATATTAGGCATCTACACTTGGTTGTTCCAAGCACAAGAATAGAGAATGCTTTTATCTCCAATATCCGCATACAAATTCTCTAAAACGATTTCTCCATACAGTTACTTGAAGAGTTGAGAGAATTTGTGTAAACATCAAATGCATTTTCCCTTGGTTAATCATTTATTCTCATAACCTCTCTTCAATAAGAATACTTTAATAGTAAAGTTACTTTTCTTTTCCGTCATTCTAGGTTTTAAAACCGTAAAATCTCATATCAAGAAAAACATGCTTCCCTTGCGCATCGCCAACAACCGACAGTCTTACACACACTCATACCTGGTATAGCGTTTACTGACAGCCTCACTACAGTCAACAAGAAACTTCTCAATGACTCGCATGGTGTGCGGCTTTGCAAAGTCTGTATCCTCTCCCAAGGCCTATAAGAAGAGTGTTTTTATTGGACACTATAATTAACAATTATTCCTCGAGCCCGAATGGGCTCTGACTCAGAGGCCATGAGGGCGAGAGGAATAATTGTTTTAGTAAAATCCAACTAGTTGATCTAAAATATCGAGAATAAAAAAATTTTATCTAGTTAAAGCTAGACTTCAATCCTTTTTTGCCGCCAAAAGGCCTGCGCTTTTCGCTACAAGTGGGCTATGACAGGAGCAAGATGCTCTCTCGCACCAAAAATGTAAGCTGCTATGTGAAAACTGTGTCCGAGAAAACCAGTTATAGCGTAGTCCACTGACCAGAATCAGATCTAAACCCTCGGTGTTTAAAACTTAATGGAACACTCCTGCTAGTTTCAAATTAAAGTGACTGGCTTATTTACATCTAGGAAAGACGAGAATGCAACGAGACCTTCTATTCTCACCCAACCTCGTTCCCAGGCTGTTTTCCTACTCGTCCCCGGGAGACGAGTAGGAGAGAATCCTGAGAACATGGTTGATTCTCACCTTCCACAACTTAAATGCATTTCCGACATCTGCTGGATGACAGGTCGATGAACTTGGGCAGGTGTGTTCTATAAACAGTCTTACAGCGCTCACTCTTTGCCAAGTTGACCTGTTGTAAAGGCAAAGAAAGAAGACAATAGCTTGGAAAAATATATTCATCGTAATTTGTCTATGAAAGGGTTCGATCATCGTTTGTGTCAAGGTGGTCCTTTTGTTATTGAACGCCACGTTTCAACCGCGTAATGCTGGTCTTTGTTCGGTCTGTCAGTGTGGAAGACCAGCAGAAAGCGGTCGAAACGTGGTGATGGATACCAAAATGACAACCTTATTTTTATATTACTAGTAGGCTGTTAAAAGCTTGTGGGTGACAGACCTGCAATCATGAAGAATCCGAGTTGTTTTAGGTCCATACTGTGATTTGTTATAAAGCATGTTCTCAGCACTCGATCTGATGGCCAGGACTCTGTTGCACCACACTAAGCGGGTCTGAGGATCAGCAAACTCATCGGCTCTTGGTTCAAGCTGTGACAAGCACAACTGAAGGGCAACTGCATCAAGAACCTAACAAGTGGGTACAAAAAGTGGCTTTAAGAAAACAGTCATGGGTAGCCCTGAGGCACGCGTTGTAGCAGAGTCACACGAAGGATTTCTCAAAGTAAACGCTTTGTTCAAAGAGTAGGATTTCCCGCTTCGCAAATCATGAGGTTAGTAGCCAGAGGCTACTACACCCTTCCACAGCGTAGCACTGAAAATTCGTTAAATAGACAGTCAGGAGTGTCATTAGGTCATGCTCGAGTTGAAAGCTTTCTTCGTTACATTCAATGTTGGATAAACTTTGTGAAAACGTTGTGGAGTAGGGCGTAATCGGTAGCATGACCATGAAAGAAAGTGTTAGTGGAGTCGGCTTTTCAAACAACAACAAAAACACTACTTTACTTGTACCAAACAGTATTACCATGCTGATTAAAGACGATACATTAACAAAAAGAAAGAGGAGTACAGGCGGTCCCAAATAACCATACAAGTCCATTCACCGCAAAAAGCAACCTTTTATTTTTTCCATTTATTCCATTTCGTTTCTGAGTACTGCAAATACGTGCATTATGTCACACAAACCATACGACAACCGCTGCCTTCTTCACAACAGAAAGTATCACAGGCAGTGTAAGTTACTTAATATCTTTTCGGAGACATGTCCAGAAATGCACGCGTTGGCAAAAATGGCGAAAATTTCGCCAAAGTTTGGCGAATACTCATATGAGGTAGCAAAGGGTTCCCTCTGAGAGTGGCGATTTTAGCCAAATGGTATATTTGGCGAATAAGGCGAACATTCACCAAAGTCTTAGCAAAATTTCAAATGAGATGGCAAAGGGGCAGTTTGAAAGTGGCGATTATAACGAAAAAGGCGAATTTGGCGAAAATGGCAAAAATAGCGCACTCTCGCCAAAGTTTGGCGAATGTTCCTATGACGTGGCAAAGCCTCCCCTTTGAGAGTGGCGATTTTGGCGAAAATGGCAAATATTGCGAACGTCCGCCAGTTTTAGGAAAAATTCAAATGAGATGACAAAGTGGCCCTTTGAGAGTGGCGATTTTGACGAAAACGGCGAGATCGGGGTAAATGACGAATATGGGCGACATTCGCTAAAGTCTTAGCTACAAGTCAAATGAGATGGCAAATGATTTACATAGGGTATAAAGAATGAATAAATTCTCCTCAAAATGGCTATTATAACCTGTGGGATACGAACGCTTGATACTGCCATTATCAGAGACGTTTTCAGAACGAAACATACATCCATTATATCTTTGGCGACAGTTCGCCGTTTTCGTCAAAATCGCCACTTTCAAAGGGCCCCTTTGCCATCTTATTTGAATTTTTGCTAAGACGCTGGCAAATGTTTGCCATATTCGCCATTGTCGCCAAATATGCCATTTTCGCTAAAATCGCCACTCTCAAAGGGACCCTTTGCTACTGAAATTTTCACCAACCCGCTGGTGATTTCTTTTTTTGCCAGATCCGCCATTTTCGCCATTGCTTGCATTTCCGGACATTTTTTTCCTAGAACAGCATTACGCCGCAGGCGGCATCATGGCATTTCCTTAAAACATATGTGAGTGCAGACCAAGGTCTTGCTGTACGATTATAATTTTGAAGGAAATTTAAAAATTCGCAATAGTAAATCATAGCTTCCGGTACGTGCCAAAAAAGGAAAACCGTCAAGTAGACTGCTTGCTTCTGTCCTATGCGCTCCTCCGAATGTACAGTCACGGGGTATATTCATTAACAGACTATCTAACATATACCAATTCTTACCATCTCCTCTTCGTTGGGCGGAATGACTTCTAGAAGGCGGCTTACAATGTTCCTCTGCGCATGAACCAGTTGGCTGAAATTTGCCAAGCGTTTCTCGACAGTGTCATACGCCACATGGATAAAAGGGATGTTGAGCCTAAATTCCTCAGAAAAATTTGACTCTATATACAATTCACGTGCGGCTGTGACAATAGCCTGACAGAGAAGCTAAAACAAAAACACAAGCAAGAAAGGTTTGTGGTGAGCTCTTAGCAATATATTGTTGCAGTGTCTCCAAGAAAGACTAGCTTAAGTCGTAGTATAATGCACGTCTTTATCATTGACTTTAGTCTGTAAAATACGTAATGCACGTCGCCGAGTCCCAGTCGATTTGATGGTTCGTCTACTACCAAGGAATAACTTACGAAAACTGGTTTACTAACTTGAAACAAATGCCGCCGAATCGAAGTCAGCAGTTACCAACAACTAACAAAAGACTTACTGACGGACCCAAGCAACACTGACGACGGCAGTTTGACTTATAATAAACGACCGTTTCCACTGTGACAAAAACGTAATGAAACGCACCAGTAACATTTAGAGTCTTCATAGACACTAACATCACGGCTTAAGGTGGCTCGACTGGATTTTTTGGGGTTGATACCTCCCAAGTTTGAGCATTAACTACGTCGGCATGAGTAAAGATATCGAAAAAAGGTTACCACAACTGTATTACATAAAGATGAAAATTTCTTATGATCTGGGTTTCATGGCAATCGGAGTCGCCATGGCAACGTAATGACGCCATTATCCTCCAAATTACCTCCAAAAACTGTATCAAAAGCAGCTGAATGCAAGTTAATAAAATCCTTCTTACTCATGATCGCCCAGAGCAATTCCCCTCTTTTTTGTATGCAGTTTTCAATGGAATCAATCCACCATGAGATGAAGCCGCGTTCCCAGAGCTTATCATTTTCTTAATATATTAGCGAATTGAGCGGCTAGCATGCTATTTCACAGTTTTTATGATTCTTAAAACTGCATTTCAAAATATTTCGAAAACGCTCTCATAGAATGTCTTTAAACTTTGCCATAATGGAGGCAATTATGGCAGGTACATACTCCCTTAAGCGATTTCTTCAAAAAACTCCTGGTACAGAGAAACACAAGGATAAATGAAAAACGTAATGGCCTCATTACGTTGCCATGGCGACTCCGATTGCAATAAAACCCAGATCATAAGAAATTTTCATCTTTATGTAATACAGTTGTGGTAACCTTTTTTCGATATCTTTACTCATGTCGACGTAGTTGAGGCTCAAACTTGGGAGGTATCGCCCTAAAAAAATCCAGTCGAGCCACCTTAACTGACAGGCGACCAATAACAACCGCGACGTAATTGACTAATCATACCCATAACCAGAGTTTAATACCATCAACTGACGAGATACAACTCACTCTAACCCTGAAGATGACCACCGCACATATCGAAACGTCAGGACTATAGTATAGACGATCATTTTCAATCTACCAATGGAATATCGTGTAAATAAATCTTGCTAAGTTAACTCGTGAAAGCAGCTAGATGTTAGGAAACTACCAGTAAAATTCTGCATCGTATGTCTGATACCTTTTCCTCTTCAGGGACTAGTGGCTTCAGCATAGTGTGAACAAAATCGTGAAGATAACGCTTCACTGCAGCTTCTTCGTAACCTTCTAACCAAGACTCGTTAAGAAAACGGCCCATTGAAGAGTTATTTACAAGGTCTTGTAAACACTGTTGGATTGGCGTGTTTGATCTCGCTAATGACAAAAAGACACGATAGTATCAAGATCAGATCGTAGACCGTTTTCGGAAACAATCTGAAAAAGGAAACAACTCTTTCCAAAAAAAAAGCCTCACCTGCTATGCTTGAAGCCTCTCTCCACATGGCATCAATTCTTTCCTTAATTATCCAAGAGAAAGGAAACTGTAGTTCAAACGACTGCGTTTCACGCCCCGAGGTGACCACCGGAACACGTTCCCGTATGATGCCACTTTCCAGTGACAAAAAGCCATCATAATCAAGTTTGACCATTTTGTCACATTGGAAAAGATCTAGCCACAGACTTGACAGCCAATTCCCTCCATCCATCACCAGGTCTAGGTTGGAGTCACGGTCAACAAAAGCGATTACTTCAGAAAGAATTGGAATAACTGATGAATAAACTCTCTGCCACAGGGCTTTCCTGAATGTTCCATTTTCTTGGATTCCAGTACCGCTTAAAGCCTCAGAGCGTAGCCAGTCAATTGCCTTATCTCCAGCCCGCTCATCCTTTTCTTGAAGAAGTTTGTGGATTCGTCGAGCCAAAATAGTAGCAAATGATAGATCTAGAAAGCAAGAATAAAAGAGTCTTGCCGATATCAAGGTGAAAGCTATGATTTAACTGTAAAATATCTCCGAAGTTATCAAAACGCTTATCGTCAGGCATCGGCAGTTGTCTAAAGCCAAATTCAAACCAAGCTTAAATATGTTTAAAACTGAAGCAGTTTAGGTCAACACGGTTTAAAATTGTCTCGTCCATAAAAGTGCTTACTGACTGAAGTTGACTGCAAATTTAGTGTAAATTAGAAAACATGTTGAATTTCATTTGAATCCCGTGTAAAACCTGGTTTAATTAAACATGTTTAGTTGGCATTAATAACGCATAAGGAATCACAACGATGTTACCCTGTTTCATACTTTGCCTGAAACTCACTGACTTTACATAATGTTGTGGGACTTGAGACAGTCACAATAAGGAAAGAATTAAAATCAATTAGCGCCACTCTTACCAGTTCCATCCGATCTACCATCTGGAAGAAGACTCAGCATAAGCTCAATTCGCCGTGTTGATCGTGAGGGGCGCCATGATTCATCATCAATTCTTGCAACAGCTGCTTGAACACAGCTTCTCAAAAGGCTGACGATTTCTACTCTATCCACGATAGCATCACCAGACGCTAGATCTGAGGCTTCCATTTCAATGTCAATGTCTTCTCCACGCTGTTCGTCGACTTCCATGTCATCTCTCGGGGCCTCAACGTCCATTTTGTCCACCCGTGTGGTGGTTGGTGCAACATCAAATAAATCACTCACCGATCGATCCACCATAAATTGAATGGCTGGGATGTGACCGGTTGGCGGTCGAAGTTCGTCAATGTGAACAGATAGCCACCTTCCTCCCTGAAAGCCAGCAAATGCTTCACAACCTCCGACAAGACGAGGAAGTTGGATAATCATAACTACATGCACGAAAGATGAAGGATCATGTCCAACATTTTCTTTGAAATCTTCTTCGGCAGTTGTCCTTTGTTCAACCAGAAGGTGGCGAGCACAGGGTATCAAATTGCGATTTACATCGCCAGCATCGCATTGCACGATAAGCAGTCCTTCCCTGCCACCAAGTTTTGCAAAGAAATCCCTAGCGAATCAAAATGTTATCACAGATAAAATGTAAGACTTCTCTGTGTTGAAAATTTCGGCTTTTATTGGACTATTGTCTGCAAGATTTCAGTTTCAAGCTAACTTCTTACATGTAAAGCAACCTATAAAACAAATCGAGTCAAGAAAACACAGGATGTGACATGAGTACAACTAAAATACCTCAAGAACACAAAGCTAACAAAACCTATGAAGTAAAGTTACTTCCTTCCCCTCAACGATCAGCAAACCTAACATTTAGAAATGCTATAATTGTTGAGACTTGAAAGTAATTCCGTTTACCTCACAGATGAGCAAAACTGTTGTTCCGTGTGGAACTGCTGCAGACTCAGACATGTTACTTTTGGCAAGGGTAGAGATGTGGCACGTGCTATGTCTTGCAAATCATTTGACGACAGCAATCTGGAATGAGTTGTAACCTGCAAGGAGAAATAAGTTATCTCAAGCACTACACAGAGGTTAAGTGGTTAAGACAATTGATAACCTAACTGAAACAAATTCATTCATTATTATTACGTTTTTAATCAATAACCGAAGCGAGAGATCAAATCAGAGCTCACCTGAACTAAGCTTCCTTTTTCTGAATTTTCTCCCTCTGTTGTTAGCACATTTCGTAGAAAAGCTGTAAGACTTGAATGTTTCTGTACTGTAAAGTAAGCTGTCCAGAGATCGTCTGCTTGATGTTTAAGGTGTGTAGATGGCAGACGTGCAACAGCGTCAGGGGTCGCACATTGTAACAACAATTCTTTCGATTCCTGGAAGACCTGAAACGCAAGCGAATGTTAATCGATCATGCGAATAAGGTGAGTGAATACTCACTTTCCTAGTTATGAAGGTGTACTTCTACCGCTCTCACGAAAAAGCATGCTTTCCTGTGAGTTCGTCAACAGTTTTATAACACTTTGCTAACAGACAGATGGCTATGCTGAACGACAACAGTTTGGAAGAGAACTTAGCTTTAAAAAAATGTGCCAGAAACTAATGAGATCCAAACAAAGGTTAGATTAGAGGCTGAGCCCAACTGGCTCAAATTCATCCGAGTTACGCCTCACTATACCTTGTCTTGAAAATCTTTATTACTGAACTCGGTTTCTTCAGTGTTGCTAGTTACTTGCAGTACGACGGAAGCTGCTGTGTCAGCATGGTAACCGACAAATGCGTCACCAGGGGAGTATTTCCTGTCGAAAACAAAAGGACATCACAAAAGTCGGACATGAATAAAATATTACAAAAGAAATTCAGTATTTTAATTCAAGACATAACGCAAGAAAGTGTACCCTAAAGAGCATTTGTAAAGGGAAGAGTATTTCTTTCTGTGAAGTGAGAATTTTTTTTGCCATCTCCAAATTTGTCCCTAACCACATGCACGTACATATACATCTTGCTTCCGTCAAGTAGTTTCTTCAAAGTAGCCAATCTAAAAACTAACAGTGCAACCATTGCTCCTTCTCTTCTTCTTTCCTCCTCCCCCTTCTTTCTATCTACCCTTTTCTTTCCCTTCGATCGTGTGACTTTGGGCTTATCGGACGCAAAAACCTGCCTTTTGGCCCTAACAAGTACTAGGAAATTCCTGACAGACTTTCTGTCTTTACCTTAATTGCTGGTGACGAGGGATGTTGACATCAGAAAATCTTGTTACCCATTCCTGCAACTTGTTCACTAGGCGTTTTTGTGGAGAACTGAGACTTGCTGAAGTCACGAGGTAATGTTTTTCCAAGCGATTAATGAGAGGAATCGGAAACTTACTGTACACAACATTTTTCTCAGCAATGACAATCAATCTGTTTGGACAAAAAAAGAATTAGTAAGCGTTACTTACAGCACAATGACCAGACCTCATCGCATGAACCACACCATCCCCAACCACCTTTGTTAACAAGCACGGTAATTCAACGACCCGAATTCCTTCAGCGAAAACTTAAGAGCTGCATTTGCAGTAGTTGAATCGAATCTTTGACATCTTAACGCCATTAAGGCATTTCTATGTTCACTTGGCGTGGCAATGAAAAGGAATTATATCTAAGTATTAAAAGGGGAAATCTACAGCCTGTAAGTACGGTCTAAAGACGTTTCACCTGAATTCATTGTGGACGCGACATTTGAAACGGTGACTTCCAAGGCCAAGATCCACAAATTTCTGCCCTCCAAGATACACATAGTACTGGAAAAATGCAGATAAAGAAATATATCGCAAACATCAAAGCCATTATAAAGGTGGTCGATAAAGCTTGATATACGCCTAAAAACGCTTGAATGTATTTCCGGATTAAATGATCGAGTGATCGACTTAAAGGATCGGTTATTTCAACGCAATCTAACTAACGGCGGGTTAAGAAATCTTTGAACCTCTACGTCTCTTCCTTAGTGGGTGATGCTAGGAAAACAAACGCTTTTCTTGTCTACTTTATATGCTTTAATGAAACTGCTCACGATAAATGGTGTGGACATAAAAGCGTTTGCCAAACTGAAAATGGCTTCGCACGCGGTTTTGTTAAACACTGGCTAAACTCCGTTTAAACACCTGGCCCAAAGAGTTTAAATGTTAATAACAAGATGGAATTATAATGATTAACGTGTAGTGATATAATGTTCCGAGCCACTTATACCTGGTTTAGTGCATCATAAAGGCTTTCGTAGAGGCTCTCTAAGTTCAAGAGAATGACAGTTCTCCCTGTTTCCATGCACACTTTAATGCGATTTATGTCACGGCAGACCTGAAAAATATGAGACGATACCACAACTGAACATTCAAAAGATCGCTACATTTGTTGATAAAAATAAAGCGATCACAGCGATATTTTGAACAGTTTAAGCTGAAAGAACTTATGACTTAAGAGTGGTGATATAATGTTCTGAAAACGGCAGTAAGCTACCTTTAAAAACGTCTGTTGTTCAGAATATCCTCTAACGGCTCTATCTCTGCAAATACCACTTACATCGGTCCCCAGGTGGCCGTTAAAGACTGTAGTTGGTTAAGGGAGATGGTCCTTGAGAGGTAACGGGTTGGTCAACGAAAAGAGTTTGTCTTTATGGGCTGTGCAGTAAGATCTATGCCACCTATGCCTCATTGTGTCTTAGGGAGAGGGAACAAAGAAAGCGCGCGGGGACGACGCAAGGGGCTTACGGGCTTGTCGCGCGCTTACTATTAATCATTGCTATGTTTTATTTGATACAAACCAGAAGCCTGCGAGGTAGAGAGAGGTTACTCTTACCAATGAAACAGTGTAATTCACCGAACATCCATTTCATGAGAAACAACACTATTTTTTTTTTAATACAGCTGTTGGTACCTGAGTGTATTCTTGGTCCTTGGGGAAGCTGCTGCCGAAAATTACGACAGGTTCTTCGCCTTTTTTGTGTAGCTCCTGCTGAACAATAGGCAAGGCTGCATAGTTCTCTGTCAGCACCAACAGATATCGACTCTCTCTAATGAAATGAAACACGACAAATGTCAAGTGGGAATAAAATTGTTTATTTCGTGCATAAGCGCAGCAGTGTAATCTCTCCTATTAATTTTCATACCCTCCGGAGATTTTGCGTTCGAGGCTGGCTTTGATCAGGTTCACTGCAGAGAAAGCATCTTTATTTTGCTCCTTCTACAAAAAAGAGTAACAATGCAAAGAATCACAAAAAACACTGAAGAAATCTCTGCATAGTTTCGGAAATGTACTGAGACGATAACGAGTATTACTATTATATCCTTTCAAGGAAAAGTACATTTATACCCTGGTAACATTCTGTCCATTTTACGAGTTCGACAAGTCCTCTTGAAAGATAACTTACATTAAAAGACATACCGTAAAACCCTACATTCTACGAAATCAAAAAGGAAGGTTGATTGCTAACTGACGTAACTGACAACTCTGCTTGACGGTTTGCGCAAAGAATGCCGGTCCAACTTAACCTTGAAGGACTTGAGTGCACCAGCCACCTAGTTGTGAAATATGGTGGAAGCTTCGCAGGCAAATGTAAAACAACCAAATTTTTCAGCACTCCTACCTTGTCGTTTCTACTAAAAGGAAAGAACTTCCTAAAGATTTTCACTGGGTCAATCTCATCCAGTCCCCCGAAATTCCTTCTGATCGCTTGTTCGATTTCTGGCCAACGCGGCTCTCGCCTATGCTCCTTAGCTATTTTGTACACCATCTTAACCAGGCTAAAATCAGACATAAAAAAAAAAGATTCAATCGACTCTTGTTTTATCTGAACATTAACTTAAACGATGCACACTTTAGCTCGTGTTTATCTGAACATTTTTAAACCACTTTAATTTCAATTTCCCTACGTTATCTACGTTACAACGATGATCCGGGATAAAATGTCCAACAAGTTTGAAAATTGTCCAACTGAAATAAACTTAAATTCCAACACATAACCACTTCATGAATGAAATAGGCCATTTCCGACATTCTACTCTTCTCAAAAGAACCTTGAGCAGATTGTAAGAAGAGATTGAAATAAATGAGCTGAAACATTGTACTGCACTTTGTACATCCCTACCTGTAGAAATCACGAAGCCCAAAGAACTCCTCCTTTTTGGACTCTTGAAGAGCTTCCGACCGTCTCTGACTATCGTACAACTTACTGTAACCCTTCGCCAGTGGATTCATAAGTGGAGCAACAAAGTTCTGCACTCTTTGATCAGTTGCACAAATGCCCCTAAGCAACAGAACGAAGATGGATCACGCTAATCAAATTGGCCCATGATTATATCTACATGAAGTTTAGGTGTAAGCACTTTCCTCCACCCATGCCTGACAAGCCATAAATTTGTTAATTGAACCTTAAAATTTATATTTCAGCTACAAAAATGTCTTTCTCATTTGACGATCAACGTTTAAACAAACTGGTCTGCTTTCAACACAGTCACCATTTTGCTGATAGCAAATTTTTATAAAGTGAGACATCTAGTATGACAAGAACAGTAACAAGGAAACGGTCCTATAATGTCTATCTGGTAAAAAGTATTTACTCTGGTCTGCATCTGCCCTGTCTCTATCTTTACTGGTCCCTATAATCTGCAGCTCCTATTTTTAGCAGGGTTAGGGGCACTGTCAGGGACTTTTTTTTCGTTAAACTAAAGCGAGAAGTTCAGTGCGCCTTCCTTTACTTACGAATACAACTCTAAGTCTCAAACTAAAGGAGATCTTACATTGCACTTTCCACCAGCTCTAATGTGTCTGGAAGCCCACGAGAAAGCATGATACCGCGATTCATTTTTGCAGGATCAAGGGCCCAGTTGGATATTCCAACAAAGGCCACTCTTTCAGGAATCTGTTCTTCCACCTCTATGATGTCATCAGTGGAACTAACACCGTCCTCCAGAAGAGGATGAAGCGTTTTAAGAGGCATAAGAGGCGAGTCTTCAGCGAGGCCAACTTCATCTAAGACCACAACTGAGACGAATTTGTCTGGGTTTTTGTCTTTCTGCAGCTTGCTGCATTGACGGAAAGTCGCAACGATCCCTTCCGCAGTTGAGAGAGGGCTGCACTGATAAGACACCATATGAACCTTGTGGAACATGAATTTAGCATACATGAATAGCGAACCACAGAACATGACGGACAATGCTGGGCAATGTTGAGTCTTTAAAGATACAATACTAGGATTAACACACACGAAGAAGACATTAAGCTAAAAAGTCCTGCGGTGATCTTTCCTCTCCTCATTTCTGTCGTTCTTATAAGAGATACTTAGCGCTCTGTGAAATTCTAATTAGTCGACTATCAATATATACCAACAATAGCTCGTGATCATTTGTCCAAAACATTATCGTCACCTGTTTAAAGGTCTTAAAGAGATCAGACTTTGAAGCATCTCCTTCCATGTTAGCAGCCACAACGGTCTTGGCTAAAGATTTAGAGCTGCCTGGTTTACCAACCACAAACAACGGAATCCTGAGTTCAATGCACACCACCATCATAAACACATTCTCACTCAGTGCTGTGTTTCGTGCGATATTATGGTCCAGGTCTAGCTCGTTCAACACTGCTTTTTGGCATCTGGTGTCGACGAAAGTAGAAAAAAGCAGCAGTATTAAGCATAAATCCATTAAAATGCTTGCAGAAGCAATCATCAATCTTATTCATTTTGTAACCCTGCTAGCTGAGTTAGTTTCTGAGTAGTAAAGTAAGCATGACATTATCCATTTTTAGGTCAGGAATCTCATTAACTAGGGCAGGAACACATAAACGCCGATGACGTCATAGCCTTGTTGTTGCGGAATCTCATTAACTTGCAGTGGAATACATTAAATACATTAAAAGAGAAACGTGGTGATGGTGGCGGGGGAGAGAAAATAATAGAAATGTTGTGGTGGTGAGAAAGCAATAGAAGTGTGGAGACGGAAAAAAGGGAGAAGGGAAAGTTTAAAAAAATGTTTTTGTTTTTTGGTAGTAGAAAGAGCCAGTTTGCCTTAAATAACACGATTTGCGCGCCAAGAATCAATGAATCAAGATCAAGAATTAGCCCCAGCGTTTGTTCGAGGTCTCTGCGTTTATTTGCGGCAAAGGTAACAAGGTCCAGTTGCAAGAACAAATAATTTCTTGCATTGAACAGCACTGTTAGGACTTACCAACAACATTATAATGTTTTCAATTGGTATCTCAAAAATTTAAAAAAATACCGGCATAACTTTAGGATAGATGCTGCACAGCAAAATGTACGGTACCATAATACTGCAACTTTGGGTAATGTGCGTACGGTAATCATCCTCGAAGATCCAGGGGCAAGACGAAGGGAAAAATCGCCCCGCCCGCCTTGATAAACTACCCCTGAGTCTCCGAAGACGGGTAATGATAAATTAGCCTGAAAAAATGACAAAAAATTGCATTTGATTAATCAACGCCGGACCCCGATTAATAGCTGGCCTCGAAAAAACGCCGGGTCAAAACTGCTGATTTTTATATGAACGCCGGGAGCGTTTAATCAAGAAAATACGGTAATAAAGAAAAGAAAAATTAATATATAAAGCAAGAGAGATAATAAAAGGTGTTTGTTAAAAAAAGCACAGCTTGCCTCAACTCATTTAACTCTGCTTATTTCTTTGAAATATTATATTTTTTTAGCTCAAACAACGCGCAGATTGCAAGCTGGGATGGTATAAAGTTGAAAGGGTTGTTTTCACTTCGGCCTGTCTTTGTAGTGAACCAACTAGGGCAAAATCAAGCAAACGCTCAATACAGTCCGTCAGGTAGAACGTAGTAGTAGTTGTAGGTTCTTCAGTCGAAGACCAGAAAAAAGGCGCAAGAATGTTACAATTTACGTCATTTCATATACAGTAAAGAACGCTCAGGTCTACAACGTAGTGTCACCTTTAATCAAGGAACCAGAAAAAGTTTCGGCACTTTAAAGGGTTGGGGAGATAGGGGATTTGGAAATTTGTGAAAACAATCCTGGCTACGCCCCTTATGTATTCTTGCCCCCCTTAATGAGATTTCTCCCCAAAACAGGGATGATTTCATTCCTTGTATACTACTTTACTTAACTAGTTTCTGCCTTTTTCACACGATTTCTCTATTTATACATATTCTAGAAAGCCTCAAAATGTCACTGAAAAAAAGTCAAGACTTAAGCTAATAGAACTGCTGGAGACACCGCAGCCTGTCGTCAACGTATTCCCTTTTAGCGTAACAACCTTAAAAACAAACATTAAGGTTACAAGGCCAACCACTGGTTGCAGATAGTTCAGTGCAATCCCTGATGCGGTAGCTGATAAGGCACGTTCGGTACAATACGACTAAATAATACATTGAATAGTCGGAGAGTATTTAAACGAACTTCTACGATCTACCTTGTTATTTCCTGCAAAATACGCTCATGTCCACCTGGTAGTTGGCAAGGATGGGAAAAGATGGGCGCCACAGCACGCCGATAAGGTTCTCTTTCTTGAAGTCTTGCATGGTAACACACTCCAAGTGAAAGTATCAGGGCACGTGACACGTCATCAATGGGCTGCAAGAAAAAATTGACAGGGGATAGTTGAAAACCTGAAAAGCACTTCTTTCTGCACACAGAAGAATGTTTTAAGTAAAGAAAAATATATTCTTAACTGAGCGGAAAGTTGCCTTTTTTGATTCTATTACATCTCTCAAGAACATACTTAGAATTTGTTTTTTTAGTATTTCTACTACGTCTATTTGACAAATCCACTTTACCGTCTCCAAATCATCCTGCTCATACTCCTCCTCCTCATCAATGTCCTCATCTTCGTCTTCACTTTCCTCATCCTCCACGTCAATGTTTTCATCCATTAGAGGATTAAGAGCATCGCGATGGTTGTAGAACCACACCATCACTCTCATTGCACGTTCCACATCTCGAAGGCTGACAAAGCTACATTCATCCTACAAAATTGAGTTAAGCGAACAAACATTTTCCAGGTTTGTGTCCTAGAAAGTACTCACTTGGGCAGGTGGAAAGGGTGTAAAGTAGTAGAATAGGTAAAAAATGTAATATAGAACGAAAAAAAGGAGCTGTTGGAGTAAGACAACAGGTAATTGATTAGAAACCACGAAAAACAAATTAATGGCAATCGCACTCAAACAAGAACTGTTAAGAGATGCGAGCTAATAGCGACTCGAGATACCAAGAATTAACAGAAGTTTCAAAGAAATCTGCTTTAAGTACAAATTCAGGCGACATAACTGCACGCATAAATGTGCATTAACAAGCAGAACCGTTACAATCAGAACGCACGCATACTTTGTTAAACTTATATAGAATTGAACAGTACATTCGTGGAAACCAACATCAACAAAGAAAACAAACAGCGATTCTTTTACCGTTTGTTCTCTCATGTAACGCTGAGAAGCTGTTAGCACTTTTGTCAGAGCTTTAACCAGTAACTCATCCCCTGGAATCTGATTTTCTTGAAGAACCTTGCAAGAAAAAAGAAAGTAAAGTAAGTAAATGAAAGACAAAAATGAGTAACTGTCGGGAACATTTTAAAAACACCAAGGTCATTTTTCAAAGCCACAAGTATGACATTAATTGGACAGTATATTACTTCTGCCATGTTAATGTCGATAGCGACAAATGATAACTATGATTTTTCCAAGGCGTGTTGTCTAGAAATCGATTCCTTAATATTCAAGTTAAAAGAAATTTTACATATATATATATATATAAACCAACAACAACATCGGCAAAGAACATCTAAGTAATATTAGGGGAAACTACATCGAAAAGAAAGGCTTGTATGTACATTCCTTTATTTGGTAAAAAAACACTGAAACGCTATGTCACACGACATAAATTCCACTTACAAATCTGCTGACAATTTGACGCGTATAGAGCTCCTCGATTTCAGGTTTCAATTGCCCGAAGTCCCAGACTAAAGGACGCATGCTCTCTGGCAGAGAATGGACTCTGTAGACCAGGTGACGGAGAGGAATACGTCCTAACATAAACATAAAGCAAATAAAGTATTATTTTCTGAAAATAAATTTGACAAAGCAAACCGTTTTCAGTCTGCGGGTGAAATCTAATTCGGTTTCAGTTGAACACAAAACCTTTCTGGCTGACGTTAGTTTAACGTACCAAGTTTCTTCTATTAGCATATGTATTAACAAAGAATTGTTTATTATCAATTTTTTTTCACACAGTTGCATTTGACACAGGAAATTTGGTGATTTCAATTACGACTTGAATACCTGACAGTGGAGTATGACCCCCTAAACGTGAAAAAGGACCGTGTCTGTATGTCAAAAATGTGCTCAAAATGTTTTGAGTAGTAAAAACGCCATAATAATGCAGGATTTACAATATCTTACAAGCCATGCCGCGATCGGAATGTTTAATTTCTGTCTGTTATGTCTTACCAAGCCGATCTTGTGTTTCTTGAGTTGTAACATGGTAACCCAAGCCTGCTGATTCTAGTTTATGGATCATTTCATCTGTATGTCTACATGATAAAAAACAGATGCATTAATTTGTTGCGGGCGACAAGAGGAGCCCGCAATCCTATCTCCAGGTTGGTATTACGCATGCGTCGCGCGTATGTAGTCAGCATTTGTTTGGACTTCCACTAAGACTGAATAGAATGCAGAGAACATAATTTGATCACGCGCGTTTGGAGCTTCTATCACTCGTAATCTGATCACACCTGTTTTGAATATCTGTCAAGTGAAACTTACGGAAAGCACAGCGATAGAGCAAAAACGCTTTGACCTTCGATCGTTGTCGCCCGCACTCCGTAACCTTTGGTTATCACTAGTATATTTACTAATAGTAAGAGGATCGAAAAGCTAAGGAGTTGTACACTTACTTTCTGTAAGGATTACATGCTGCAATGAACTGCAATCTTTTGAGCCCAACTCCGATTTTTCTGCCATTGATTCTGCGATCCACCATGACCTCTTTGATCATCCCTAGAGCATCTGTTGTGTTGGCTTCATCAAAGAACAGCACTGTATCCATGTTAAGGCCTTCGTTCACTCTGGCCATAGCCTCAGCCTGTTCTACTTTCTTCTCAATATCTTTGTAGGATGTACCTCCATGAACCTGTCAACACATAATTCAACTAGAATTGCTGACTGTTCACTAATCTTTTTAATTCCTAAAATGTAAGAACAAGATACTGAACATCACAAGGGAAAGGGACAATAAAAAGGCGTCAGTTGTATATTTTATATGTTCCTCACTAATCCTGTCTAACAACTAATCAAGAAGTGGCGGAATTTCTGGACGAAGTAAGTTAGGAAAAAGCCGAAATAGAAACAAGCCCTGTTTGTTTACGAATCGGGTCTATTTCGCATTTGGCTTTCAGAACTACGGTCTTACGTTCTTACATAAAAGAGAATAGCATATTAATCAGAGATTTTTCAGTAATCAGATAAATTTTCGGCCAAAACCTTAACATATATGCAGCCTGTCTTTGTCGCGTGCAATTTTTGTTCGTATCCATCTTTCAAGTAGTCCATTATCGTACGAGCCACGTTAATCAGCTCGGTGAGTTTTATTGAGTTGGGTCAAACAATTCCCTCACTTTAGTAAAAAAAAAAGTCGAAAAAAGCCTGGGAACGTTGAGGTATTTCTGGTTGTTGCTTCTCTACACCGAAAACGTAACGTCTGCGAGTCCAAGCTGCTAAACATTTTCTGTCACGTAGAAATTAAAGTCACCCACAGGTTAGCTCTCAAACGCATTGGTGCGCGTTGATCCACATGTGTCTGCAATACCTTCAAGTCGTAACAGCAACGGAAGATTATGGAGCGTTAACGAAAGCTTATAGATGAAATAAACGCAAGGATGATTCCATAAAATATATTGAAGAAGAGAAGAGGGATACTTTCGTCTATTTGCCTATGGAGTTTAGAGAATCAAGATTGATAAGGTCTTGTTGTTTTCATCACAAGGGAATATTCTGGTGACGAAAAGTCGTTCGTTTACCTCGTACCAATGTTAATCGCCATTTGTTCCTTTTTTGTTTCAAACGAAAAAGGAAGTTTTGTTTTGTACTTTCTATTATGGTAAGATAGATGCGAGTCCGCACGCGACATCACATTATTTTTCTTTTCATGGTAACGATTATTGAGCACCAAAGTAACAGTTTTTCTCCATAGCTTTAGGATACGTTTCTCTACAAAGAAAGCATCACTGATTCACATTCGTAAATGTTGATATCAGAACGTTTCGGTCGTGGTCACAAAATTCACGGCCCAAAGCGTATTAAAACGCTCGCCAAATTCCTAGACACGCCAGCGCCCGAGGACGTGCAGGAGTCACTCGACCTGTAACTCTATTCTTTTATCTCAGTGGTAATCAACAAAACAAAAGGTATTACATCACAGAAATCCTTCGGCGGCTCAGGCTCGCAGATGTCACTGTTCGGGCGGACAAAAGCGACAACCGAAAATACGTCTGCGTTCCCGGCCAAACGAAAAAGGAACAGTAAAGAAGGAAAAAAAAAAAAGGAACCTCCCTGGACCCATACCCCACATGCACACACGCAACCATATACAAATAACAGTAAAAAGATATCTACCTTCATAAGCAGCATGTTTTTTGGTCCTCCGGGTCCTGACTGTAAGCCACACATGTAACGAATAAGGCAGGTTTTCCCACAGCCTGTCTCGCCCATTACCACCACAGGAATACCACATCTTCATTTGAATCAGTGCAAAAAAAAAAACCAAATAGACTAAGACGCTGGCCAAACTTGAGACTGCATCAACAGCACCCAAGCAGGACTAAGCATTTTTACTAGCTGTAGAATGGGTTGAAGATGATGTGAGAAAGAACGCACTTGTCTACCCACTCTTACCCGCTACTACAAATCTACGAAATTTCTATGGGCCTATTCAGTGGTTTAAGGCGGCCATAAAACGATCACAGATAAACATTACTAAGGAAGATCGTTTAGTTAATTAGGATTGGCCTAAATAAAACTTTCGCCGAATTCTTTTTTATATTCTTATTAAAGGCAAAGATAACTCGGTTCTATTAAAGTTAACTAAACAGCACAGACTATTGTTCACCTCTCCTGAGCAAGCTGAGATGGTGATGATGCGGGTGGTTGAGGTGGAAAGGCAGTAGTTTGAAGGTGGTGGTGGAGGACGATTAAATTGTGGTGGTGTGGTGGAGGAGAAGGATGACAGAAAAATTATGGTGCTCTAGAGGAGGAAGGAAGACGATAAAATTGTGGCGCTGGTGTGGAGGAAGAAGAAGGACTATAAAACTGGTGAAGGGATGATGACGACAATAAAGTTGTTGCGATGTGGTGGTCGAGGAAAGACAACAATAATATTGTGGCGGTTTAGTCAAAGAGGATGGACGACAAAAAAATTGTGGGGATGTCAGGGACGAGGAAGGGCGACAATGAAATGGCGTTGGTTATTGTGGAGTAGAAAGGAGGAGACCTAAACTGTGGTACTGATAGCGGAAAAGTAAGGACGACACTTACACTGTGACGGTCTGTGATGAAGGAGGAAGGAAGACAATAAAATTCAGGTGGTAGAGAAGGAGGAGAAAAATTAAATTTTGATCAAATTGTTTGTGAGTAGGGAAGACTATCTCATTTTGGTGATTTGACCACCTCGGAGGAATAACGAGGAAGGGGTGAGGGGCAAGTGATGATTTTTGTGCTCGTACATTCAAATGGTGTTTCATGGGTGTGAAGGTACTGGTAAAAATCATCGCTTATTCTTAACTTTTCACCCTACCTAAAACGCATATGGATGGCCAGAATTTTCTTAAAGTTGTCTGTGGTGAGCTCGTAGGCGTCATCCGGATCATAGGGCCATTCAACACCCATCACTCCACAAAGCTTCTCGATTTTGTCTCCCCTGTGTGCAATAAAACACAGCGTATGAACCTTATCACATCTTGCAGCGATACCACGCCAAAATGGTAGCGTAGAATAATCTAGATCTACAAAATCAAATCACAGGAGAAATATATTACTTACTTTCCCCAAGATTCGTAATTGGTTTCCATGTCAACCTTTTGGACAAACAGACCAGTGCGCAAGTGCCTTGACATTAAATTACGCTGGATGAGGTCGCCGCTGTCTGGATCAATTAAATTGCCATCTCGGTCAATATGGAAGCCAACAAACGTCATGGTAATGCCATCTTGATTAAAGAATATGTAGGGGTGTGAACTGTATTAAAACAATGAAATCCATGAACACACTTATAAAAGACAATCACAGAAAGAAGGAATTAAGTTTACAAAAACAGAAGGAGAAATTCAATTTGCTTTTAAACGTGTTTAAATTTTAGCAAAACGTGCACCCATTTTCCGTGAATTTGACTTAGATACAAACTTCATGGTTTACAAAGGACGTTAGCTTTAATGTGGAAATGATGAACTCTTACCATTTTGCGAACTGCACATAACTCAAAATTTAGGTGTGAAACACGAAACCGAACGTGGCAAGATACCACATGGTGTAACATCATACCTGGTTTCCCAGTGTCTTCTCAAAGACAACTGAACGACAGCTGTATCTTCTTCGTCATCATCGGCACCATCGTCATCGCGTTCAACACGGGCTTCGACAGGTGTATCACAACAGTTCAGAGATGGCGTAGCAAAATCCTTTAAAAAACAGCAGTCACTTTAAGGAACGCGAATATTACCGCTCCAAACGTTATGAAGGTATTAATACCATTGGAAAGGAAATAGAGACATTCATTTGCGAGGTTTACTCGGCTTTATATGTTCACAACGATCGATGCGAACGTTACGGTGGTTGAAGAGTTATTTCTTTTGATTACGGAGATCAGCGATCATTGAGTAAGCAGCAATTACAGTCAAACCCCACTGATACGGACACTGAAGGGGTAATAGAAAATAGGCTGATTTAGCAACAGAACGGGAATGTCAGTTGACGACGGCGCGCGTAAATCAAACAACTGGTTTGACCAATGGCAGAACGACAAATTGGACATCAGAACTAGAGTTTAGTCGTTTTCGCGCGCTTTCCCGTCGTCAAATGACGTTCCCGTTCTGTTGCTAAATCAGCCTAGTGTCCGTATTAACGGGGTGTCCGTATTTCCCTCAGGAATACACACAGTACCTACAAGGGTGGCGGTTAGCGACGCGGAATGAAGAAGAGAAGTGATGACGTCACAAAAATTACGGTTTGTGAAATGATGGGATAGGTTGGCATATCCAGAAAGAACAAGGTGAAAAATGTCCACTCGCTACAAATCAGCCTGTTAACGCAGATTGGTGGGAAGATACAACGTTGCTTATATCTCCCCACCAATTTGCACTAACAGGTTGATTTTTAGCAAGTGGACATTTTTCATCTCGCTCTTTCTGAATATGCCAACCTATCCCATAATTTTTACAAATTTTAATTTTTGTGACGTCACCCCTCTCTTCTCTATTGTGCCAGTAACATTACTGCGTCATGGCCACCTTTTACATTCTTCTTACCCGTGACATAAGGATCATAAATTGGACCACAAAGCTTCTAAATCCCTCAAGGGTGTCTCCCACAAGTTCCATGTTACAAAACGTACTTTCCTCGCAAGCTTGGAGCTGAGAATTTAGGAAGTTCACAAAGTGACGGAGTTCAGCCCATGAAGGGTCCTCAACACCGCAATTTCTAAAAGAAAATAAGTAAACAACGACTGACTTCCCCTTTTACTAGTAGTTGTGTCCCGTACAAAAACGAAAAATAGGAGAAAAGGCATTACGTAATTGAAGAAGATTAAGGTTGAGAAAAGACTAAAATTCTGCCGGCTAAATTGATGAGCCACTGACACAATTAAATCCTAATGCACATCCAGGCATCGTTTCAAGAGAAGAATAAACGGAAAGTACTCCTGCCATTAGCTGCTTACCAAGCTTAATAAAACTCATGAATTGCACCTATAAAAACTTTAAGGCTGTTGTTAAATCTCTAGCATAAAAAGCAATCCATTTGGTTTTAAATGGTAAACTACCAAGCGGTGACAATAAAAGACAATTTAACCATCTTCATTGCTCCACCAATCGGAAGTCTCTGAAATACAATGTACCTTACAAGCGTTTCTATACACTCTGCATGGTCACCCATCACCTGACTAGGTATAAACCAGAACTGATTCAGGTTCTCTCTTGCTGACTCCCAAAACTTAAGATACTGAAACGCCCGTTGAACATATGAGCTTTTAAATTCAGCATTGTCGAATAGAGGGTTGCGACTGTCATCTAAAATTTCAAAGAATAAAAAACATTTCAATAGACATGCACATTACCTGCCTCCTTTCTTTTGAAAACAATCAACATATTAGAAACAAAATCCTTACAAGCCATTTAGTATTAATGCAATTTACACTTTCAAAATTAAGTTACTTTAATGTTTAACACTCAAGGGGCATGTTTAAATGGCAATATTCATCGCAAAGAATGAAATAATACCCTCGCTTACCACCAGATAGCGAACTAAAACGATATTGAAAAATCGCGCAGTTATAGAACATTGGTCAAACGAAGAAAAAAATGCTGCTGTCAATTAACGATGGAAAACGCCAGCACAATTTCTCAGTCCAACCAACTTTTTCTAGAGTTTGAGTCTGTGCGCACAGGTCTGCTAAAAACATGTTCGAACGTGGGATTGTGCTCTAATGCAAAGTCACTCATCAGCTCGATGACTCCGCGAACAAAAAAAAAAGTATAAAGAGTATTTAATGAATGTTTTCGCTTACCCATTTCTTGTGTCCTTAACTTCTTTAATGTTTGTATTGGTGTTCCACATTCAATAGTCGGCAGCAGCCTGTAAAAAGGTTCTGCTTTGCCTTTTCTAGAGTCCACACGCTACGGAGTAGATAATTGATGGTGTCAACGCCTTCCAAAGATAACCTTTTTACCTTTTATTTCCGCTTATTCTCACTTTCAGAATCACTGTCTGGAGTGGTCTAATATAGATCGTAATCGACTCTCATTTCGAGGATAATTTGCTATTCATGAGTCGAGTTCCAACAGAATTTTGCAGTGGTTTGACCAAACAACGTCAAAATCGTCTTGTAGCATCCGAAACATGACGTATAAACTAAAAACCGCTGTGTACATTAAATCCTTTGCTTATTAATGCACCACCAAACTAAAGAAAAGAATTGAGAGAAAGAAAAAAAGTAAAACAAAATAAAAAGCACCCGAGGCAGGTTGCCTCCTAGAAAGTGATAAAAAATCTGTGCAAAGAGGATACAAATACAGTAGGATAAAACTCATAGTCTTTCACAAGAGCACTTGCACCGTACTGATGACGAATGCGTTTTCTGGACGGCAACTTACCTTAGGGGTCTTCAATTGCCGTTGAAAGGTTTCGTTGTCCACTTGTGTTGGTCCCGTGGTTAGTTCAATCACATACAAATCAGATAGTCTACGTCTCCAGACCTGACCACTACCGCTCTTCAAAACACCAAGGATCAGCAGATTGAACAAAAGAGAGTCAAGACCACTCTTTACCTATGAAAATATATAACGAACTTTTTTAAATTTACATAGGTGCGATCCCCATCTGGACATTTATTAATTTTAAGTGTATAATCACGTAAATATAAACTTTTTGCTTATCTTAGTGCTGCACAGGGATCGCAAAAAAAATTGCGTTCCAACTTGTCCTTCGGGCAAGCATCTCTCACATTTGGCTTGCCTGGGACCACTTCTTCCTCGTCTTAGTTTCGTCTATGATTTAGTTAGAGGTAGACTTGCTTGCACCCTTATCCACTGGGCAGGTGAACTTTAAAAGTTAATTTCCCCAGCAAAAATGTCTACTTGTCCCGGACAACCGGACGGGTCTTTTTTCGAGCCCTGCTGCAGACACATTGTTTATTCAGTGTTTAAGAGCTGACGTGTTTCGTGTTGCTGTTTTTTTCTTGTGCGATTCAAACGTTCTAAGGTTGTGTCCTATGAAGGGTTCATACAAAAAATTGCAACTATTTTTCAAGGACTTTTCAAGGGCCACATTAGATTTTTAAGGACCACCAACTAGGAATATAATTTCACAGAATGTACATAAATGCACATTCCCAGTCTATTCTAATAACGCTTTAAGGCTTGAACTGTTTGCTTCACCAAATTCTCTACAGTTTTCAGTTCACTTCGTGTAAATAGCCTTTTAATTTTCTGAGCTATGATTTATATTCTGTGTTGGACAACCAAACAGCATCAAAAAACACTTTCCAGGCCACTACATTTAAAGTTGAAGAAAATTCAAGGACTTTTCAAGAACTTGCACAGAAATTTAAGGACTTTTCAAGGAAAAATGGAATTCAAAGACTTTTCAAGGACTTCCTCTAAAATTAAGGGACTTTTCAAGACTGTGCGAACCTTGCTTTAACACACATTAAAACGTGAAATATATTCAGAGACCGTAAAAAATTCTTCTTGTTTATTAATACTGTAACAATTATTACCGACGGATGGACGTCGAGATGAAAAATTCGGGAAAGTGGCAGATCAGGAACAATCACGTGCGGTAACAATGACTCTACAACGGCGCACTGATCGACAGTTGGTCCATAAATTGGGACGCTGATACACATGGGCACATCTGCCTCCATATCTCTGAGGTAACTAGTCACAAGGGAGTTGTTTGCAATTTCAAGTAAGCTTTCACTTAGTCGCCGAACCACCAAGCTCTTGCCAGAACCTGCTCTTTCAGAGGATACAACTCTTACTGACAACCTATAAAAAATAGATAGATATTTTATCTTAGAAAAAAGCAACTACTTTCACTCTCTTTATTAACCTCCTGGATATTAAAACTGGATTTCGGTTTGGTGTCTACAAGAAACAAGAATGGTTTTTTAATACCAAAAAGGATGCAATTCTGACTTGCAACTTTGGCATTTGCAGTGGTCGCATGCATCTTAAAACTTCAGTAAGATTCAAGTAATGAGGGCTGAATTATGTTTAGCACTGCTCAAGAGGTGACGATGGGGGATGTTGACCGGTGGCTGGTGATAGTGTTCGTGGTTCAGTTCATGGTTATGTGAGTGTTTCTAGCTGTAGTCTAGCTGTGGAGTTCTAAGTCGGAAGTGTTGGTAGTGGTCGGTGCTGTTACCGTTGATATTATCGTGGTTGTTAATAATAGAGGAGTATTGCTAAAGTCAATGGAACAGGCACATTATTGGTTTTCCTTACATACGACACACCAATAAAGAAAGCTTTAACAACCATTATGCCACGAGGATGAGACAAAGAAGAAATCCTTCGTCCCTGATAGAAACCAAGACTTATGACCTCCCGGACACTGGGCAGGCACTTGTGAATAGCCAACTGGTTTACCCAGTTAGGATTCCTACTTTTGTTATATTAAACCACCACCACCACAGCCACATCATCACTTTTAGTATTATTATTTTGCTGGTAAGATCGACAATGAAATTGAACTACTAGATTACCTACCATCACTAAACGTAGAGAGGAAATCCTTTTTTACGATCGCAGATATCAGAACAGTGACAACAAAAGGTGAAACCAAACGAAAATCGTATTCTCTTAACGACACAGAACGTATAAGGTTTTCCTCTTACTTTTGTTTGTCCAATATTGCTGCAGGTGCCCATGGAATGACCTTATCTTGAAACCTTCCTTGTGTTTGAGGACACGACTTGAACTGCGTCTGTAGATATTGCCTGATATCCTTTGGTGCAGCACAATGTGAAATAGTTCCAAGTCTGTATTGATCAAGCGCTGCAGCCATATGAGCTCTGTCTTCATTCTCAGAACTACAGATAACCACAAGAGACAGCCCTAACACGAAAATAAGTGGATCAAATGCTTGGCCACGAGGAAAAAAGAAAGCGATTTCTGGCTTTTGTCTGCAAAAATACATCACGAGAGAATTTATATAACCCTCTAAGAATGAGCTTAACAGTCATAACAATCGTACTTCCTCTTTGTAATGATTCATTTTTAGACACTTTTTTAGTGTAGGTATCACTGAGGCAACTTGTTGATATCATGAGCCAACCTGAGGCCAGTTGGCTGTTACTTAAAACAGAGGCCGTTTGTGTTACTGTGGCCGTAGTTAAAGATAATAAGACTGTCTGTAAACAAACATCTTCCCTATTACATTGCCTTTCGGGGAGAGTTTGGTCAACTACATGCATATTTATGTATTATATACATATATTCTTTGCACGATATTATATCAGTTTTTCCGAGTATTTCAGCCAAGAAAAGACTGTTTGTCACTGATACTGTTTTTACGGCAACAGTGTGGACCTTACTTTGGCGTTTTCACTTTATTCAATAACACATTAAAAAATAACAAAAAATAAAAATTATCGGTTACAACTTCCAACTGGCAGGAGACCACCGAGTTGGATATTTACAAGCGTGGCCGAGGAGCTGATCTCAGAACTACCTAGACACTATAGACACTTAATGACTGGTCCCAAGGAAAACAGTTAATTTTGTCTCCCGAAAATCTCAGAGTTTCCCGAGGCGGAGCCTATGAGGAAAACCTTTTTTGTGTACAAATATACGAATATATACACACTTAGTGATCTTGGTGATTTATGCAATCTGATTGGTTCGCTATCTCGGACTATTCAACAATATTCACCTCCTAGCGAGTGGATAATGTGTGAGTTCGCTGTATTTTTCCATTTTTTTTAGAGAATGATCTTTTAAAAGTCGACAAAATCCTAGGGTTGACTTCTTTTAAGGCAAGAAAAGACTTCAAAGGATTCAAAACGGTGTTTTTCCATTTACTGTAGCTGAGTTTTGTGCTCGATGGATTGTTTAAAACTCCCGTTTATTCGCGTAGAAGAGACCGTTTCGTGAACTCAGCGTTTCCTAACAAGAAAAATTTGGCCCAAAAATCAAAGTATATTTATGACAAAAAATTTGACAGCAAATATTTGCAGAAATTCTACGTTTCAAGTAAATAGGAAAAAGAATGCTCCAGGAAGACGACGTCTTACCTCGAGCAACCGAGCCGCCATTTTAGTCAGCACTTCATGCGAAGAACGACACAACAAACCTTTTTGACCCTATAAACTTCGCGAGTCAACAGAAAACAACAAAGCTCTACTTTTCTTCTCAGGTACTTAATAAGGAAACAATTTAAACTTTCAACGGTTCCATTTAAGCCATTACGCTGTTGTTTGCGAAGTCATAAACTTGTTAATTGCCATGTTTGAAAATTCTGCAAAGATCTATTTTTAAACTTTCGCGTGATTTGATCCGTCAATCAAATCGTACTTTGTTAATGGTTTCCTCGCTGATTTTGTTGAGATCACTCCGTGTGTATATACTAAAACAATTATTCTTTTCAATCTCGGTGAATAGTGGCTTTAGGGATATTTACCTCGCCGCTTCGCGGCTCGGAAAATTTACATATAGCACTATATAGCACCTACACTTAAAGTGTAGGTGCTATATAGCTGGAAATTAGTTTCCCAACAGCTTCTGATATTTCGCGCGGTCGCGGAGCCGCGAAATTCAGGTAAATCCGCGAAATCCCACGAAATTCGGTAGAAATCTTATCAAATACATGTCTGCACAACATACTTGAAACTTATTTCAGCTATTGGGGCTATATACTTGCCGTAAACTTGCAAATTTATGTCAGAACTTCGTCACTGAAACGTGCAAACAACATCCCGAAACTACCAGACGTAGAATGTGTTGCGAAAAACTGGGCACTAGCCATGATGTTAAAGGCTTCGCCATTGGTTCATTTCTGGAGCGTATTGTTGTTGAAAGAGCAAATGATGACCTCTGTTAGAAAAACGTTAAAAACGCTGGTCTGATCAGCGCAAAGCTGATTGATTCCTAGCGAAATTTGCCTTGAAAATAACGACAAAATCGGCCGTTTTTTACCGATTGCTTTTTGGTGAAGTTTGCCCCGAAAACCCCCGCGAAATTACCGCGAAATCGGCCGATTTTTCCGCGAATTTGCTCCTAAAAATCCCGCGAAATTTGACTTTTTCTTCCGCGACCTGTCAGAAGCCCTGCACTTTGTAGGCAGAGCGAGGATTTGAACTCGTGCTACCGCCTTAAAATTTAGCCCCCTTAACCACTGGGCCAAGCTGCATAGAGAAAACATTACGGTAACTTTAAATACCATCATTGCGATTGTATTGAGGTTCCTGCAGTAAGATTTCCAGGCTGTCAGCAGCTTTCTGGGAAACACTGTAGTCAAGAAGGTCAACATTTACCAAACAGAACATCTGACCACCACTGTCACCAAGGGCTCGTCGCCAAAGAAGCTCAATCTGTAAAGGAATCAGTTTTAACGCGGTTGTTGCCAATGGGACTTTTGAGAGAGAGGTCTACACATGCATTTTGGCCAAAATGTTATATACTGATAACGTTAATCAGTCCAGATTCAGGTCAGGGGCCCGGATTGTTTTACGTCGTAATTATGCTCTTTCAGCTCTGTTTACCAACAACAGACATAGGAAAAAAGGCCGCAAAGATTATATGTGTAACGCGTTGAATCTTCTATGAAACACAAACTTCCTTACAAAATGTTTTACCCCGAGTAGCATGTCTCCTTCAACAACTTAACTAAGATTCCCATGACTACACGAAATGGAAGTTCTAAATGGAGACGTGTCTTTTTAAAAAACCCTTACCTCTTCTGCAGTTGTATCAGAAGAGCATATCAACACTTCTTCAGAACTTGGCAGAGATTGTGAGGTGTCTTGCATGTACAAGGACAGCACCGTTCCTAGAATGTCATCTACAATGGGAATGTAATAATTATGTTACATGAGGTCGAATAAGCGCAAGAACAAAGGAAAGGGGTTAAAAAGAACAAACGAATTTGAAATATAGGTCTAAGTACAATTTTAACGACAAACCTTTGAATCAATAATTAAAGAAGAACACAATCCAAACAGTCATCAGAGGGAGAAAAGTAGAACGAAGGGGAGAGAGGAAGGAAGAAAGGAAGGAGAGACGAAGAAATTCAACGACAGAATTATAGAAAGAGGGTGGGAGGGAGGGAAGAGAAAGGCAAGAAAAAGACAGCGCATTTTATAATTATAAAGTTTCCCCCTTTTTCTTTACCTTTAGGAACAACCACAAGATTTGGCTTTCCGCGATTAAGATATTTTGGGTGACGTCTTTTACGTTTCTTTGAACCTGCAATAATGAAACGAAATGTTTTAGTTTTAAAGAACCTATCTTCGAATTCCTTTAGGCCCCCTTATGAAAGCGAGGCGGCCAGTGCATGAACAAGAATTTCATTTGCACGTGAATGAAAAGTTATTTTCATACGATAGGATGAGAAACAGGACTCGCTTTAAAAAACGTGTCTGGCCATTTTGATAATTACAAATATGAGTGATAAGTGGACATTTTCTAAAGGTGAATGCTGAATCACACCTTGCAAAGCAAGCTGTCTTAGAACTTTTCCCAGCTCGTCAAGGCTTAAGAACTCCCCGCCTGCTGTCTGGTCAGAAGTAAAAGTAGTTTCCATGGGTTCTGGAACTTCTTCGGGCTCAATCATCATATCCGCTGCAGAAGAACTTAAAAGAAATCGAAAAAAGTCAAATATCCAAGAACCGTAAATAGTTGTAAATACATCACTGGATTTCCCTATCTCTCATGCCATGATGGCAGTGCCACTGCTGGTCAAATGTAGTTTTCGAGTTTTGAGGAACCACACCTTAAGCCTGGTTTTCGTATGTCGGAAATTTCCCAGACGATCGGGGATTTTACTTTTCGCCGACCATCCCAGAGTTTGCCGATATATCAAATAATCGCCAGAAGTCTGTCCCAGATTCTCGAGAGACGCCATGTTTGTTTGTGATAGGGGGACTGGAGCCTAGCAATTTAGGGGATTGGTAATGACCGAAATTCATCGCTGACGTCCCCCGACGGTACAAATTTGAGTTTCATTTGTCGGGAATGATCGCCGACCATCGCAGAAATCTGGGACGCGTTGGGAAAATAGAAACGCTCCCGATTCTCCAGACTTGTCCCCGTCCATCCCAGACGATCGGCGATATCTATCATTTCAAGTTTTCAGTAGTAGGCAAAATCTGGAACAGTCGGGAAACAGTAAAATCCCCGATCGTCTGGGATTTTCCCGACATATGAAAACCAGGCTTTAATATTAGCAACGTGATCACAACATGCTATCTGTTCCTCGATGGTTACAGTAGTAGGAAATTTAAACGTCGTAGGATAACGTTTGATTAAACAAAGAAAATTGTACCATCCGTTTTCGCCTAAAGTGACAAGAATGTGCTTTTATTCCCAATCTGCCTTTTCAAACGTGAAGAAATAAGAAAGATGCTTATTGGTTCAGTGACACAGGTGGCTCGAAAGCAATCTGGTATGTAGTTCGGGTGTCCTACCACTGAGCTACAGGGGACTCGTGGGAGCTAAGGCCGCTTAAATAGTTTCATGTGTAGATTTGTATAAAACATAAAACCTAACTCACCCTTCCTCTTCTATAGATGCGGTACTGTCTTTATCGATAAGTGCCAAATATCTGGGGTCACGAAGGGCTTCTGAGTAACTAGCATCAATTAGATCTTTGTTCCCAGCGTTTTTTACACACCACACAAAGAGATCTAACTCGCTGGCATCTTTGCATGATATCATTGATGCAATGGCAAATCTCTCAGTCTCTGAGTAACCAATCGATTCCAATTTTGCTACGAGCGTTTGAAACACTTCTTCATGTGATGATTTCGACCTCGGCTGGTGCAATAGAATGCTGGGTTGAACTGCGCCGGTCGCACCATACGATCTGACGATACTGTCGCCGGTTTGTTGGCTGCAAATTCCACAAGAGATAAGTACAGATTTAAGGATGGCTGGCTCAACCCCAGGTAAAACACTCTCCAACAGGTTATAAACCGCAAGAGGAATGTTATCGACAGCCCTGGGACCTCTTCCCTGAACAACAGCCAGCTGTTTTCGAAGGAACAACAACTGACGGGTGGTGAAATGATTCAGTTCATTGTACAGAATACGCTTAGTATGCAGCTCTTTTTTCCACGACTCAAGACACTGCTCCATCTGGGCACTTTGTTCTTCCAAATCCTGTGTAAGGGAGCGGTTGGTAGAGAGCCGCGGTGTACACTGAAATTCATGCCTCCAACGGAGATGGCTTACTTCTCCAGATTTGCAAAGAGCGATGTACACTGTAGCAAGTCGCTGAACACATTGCAGGATCTGTTAATTCCGAAAGAAAACAAAAAATGAAGAACCTTTAGAAGAAAAAGTATAACGAAAGTGATCAGTAATTCCAGGAACAACTAAATAAACGTTGTGGGCTATCCTAGATGCCGATTGTCACAATCCATTTAAGGAAACCATGTACACCTAACACTTTACGTTCAGCTGTAAGCAATTGTAACCCTATAAGATTAAAGTATCCTCGAGCCACGAAAGGAAACGTCAGGCAAAATATCACATCTATTATGTTGCAGAAAAATTCACCCCATATCGCATTTAAACCGTTTCAAATTTAACTGACCAGAGTTAAGAACTACCTAAGGTTGGACTTACATCAACAAATCGGTCCACGTCTTCTTTTCCATGTGAAGCTTTGGCCGCAATAAGCATCAGTTTACTTTGTAAATCCTTCAGGTTGTCAAGAGTGAATCTTTTCTTATCTGGGACTACCGTGAGTTCAATCACAGCATCGAGTGACAACGTTTCCATTGACGTCCAGGCATCCTTACTGGGACAACCAACACGGTATACACCCTTTTCATTAATAGCTTGAGCTTCCATCAGAGAGGACATTGCTACTGAACCATGAGACTTTTTTACCCCCTTCAACCACTCTAACTGGTCACTTGTGGCTACCTGCATAAGGCCAAAGCAAGCAAAAAGACAAAGAAATAAGCTGAATTACTACATGTGGAAGTTAATGGTAAACAATGCAAAATTGATGATACTCATATGTAGAAGTGCAACCGAAGTTTCCTGAGTAGTCCCGTTGACAAAGCATCTGAATACAGCCCATTTCTAAGTTACAGTCAGCCTCTCTATCAAAGCGAGGCCTGGTAGACAAGCGACAAGCTTTCAGATAAAAATCAGCTTAACCTGCATTTGTAGCATAACTTCTTTTTAAACGAAAAGATGTGCACCAGTACTCACTTTGAAAAAGAGGCTTAAGGGAGTACGGAAATGGCCTATTGTGAAGTTTAAAGTAGTCATCTTTTGTGTGACTGTCCTGTTTACATTTTCATTTACATTTACCATTTAGGTCTGTCACTCAATACTGAGCATTTCAGACCGCTCTAAAAAAAAGGGAAAACAAAAGTGACTGAAAAGGCGCTTATGAGCGCAAAGGAGTAAAAGTGTTGATAAATGTTTGAAATTGCATTTTTTAAAGCAGCCATTGAATTGGACTAAGCTATATCCCTTGGGAGTTCATTCCATTCTGTAATTGTCCTTGGGTAGAAGGAATACTTGTAGTAATCCCTAATGGCTGTCCTGTTAAAGAAGACTTAGGAAATATGGCATTTTCACGCAAATCTATCAGACTATGAACAAGGACCTAACATTTCATTTGCAGCAAGATAGCCAGATGCAATCACAAAATTCTTGACTTTACGTTAGTACGCTAGGAGGTTAAGGCGGCAACATCAACGTAGAAAGAATTAACTACTTAAACGGAATTTCAAAATGATCCAAACATACCACTAAGTACAGAAGTACTGGACGTCTGATATTTTACTTTTACTTCTTCAAAAATGTACTACTTGGAATATCTGTATTACCCTTTCAGGTAAATTAAAATTCCATTCCCAAATAACACGCTATCAACCAAATAGATCGCTACTCAGAAATGATAGGTTCAAGTCCCATCACATTTGCGACAAAATGAACATTTTACCTATTTCGCCATACTCTATGTTAAACAAGCCTACCAATTTTTCTGGGAGGGTGGGGTCAGCATCCACAGCATTCCAAACTGGTTCACAAGCTCTCATCAGTTTCTCAAATCCAAAGGTAGGTTTCAAATCAAAGATGAGGGGGGCAAAGCCAAGGCAGCTGGTATGTAGACACGTGATCTTGTACGTTTCCATGTCTGCCTCCCCAGCTGAGATTATCGCCAAATCCACAAGGACCTTGAGTTCTTGGGGGCCTAAGAAAAAGTTCGACAAGAAAAGATAAATCACAAGATCTTCTGACAGAGGTGGCCTGAGTCGGGAAAGACGACGACGAGAAATGGGCCTATTTCATTTGGGGTTCCACAAGCTTTTCCCAAGGGGAAAAGTTCCAGTCACGGCTAAATCCAGGCCTTCTGTTGGATCAATCGCCATTTAAGTTGTCTGCCGGTCTGCGTCTGTCTCAACTATACCTACCTAACTATCTATATATTATAAGCTAAACATTAAGTGACTATCATGATTAGTGGTAGCGTTTTTAATGAGTCAGTTTTGAAGACTCTTTACGACAGTCGAGAATCCAGTAAGGATGGTAAACGCCCCCAGCGAAATGCCGACAAGTAGTGGTAGCAATGTGGAACTTTGGCTTAAGAGGGTCGGACCAACAACATTTTGTTTCTCACTCACTATTTGCAGAGCAGGAGTAACCAGTATACGTTGACTCGCTTAGTCCATAGTTCAAACGTTGAATGTCAGGAATAGAAGGTCACAATAAAAGGTCAAAACTCATTGTCCTATCAACGGTTATGTAGCAACACAGTTTAGTCATCGCCGCTTCCGTCTCTTTTCAATAAACGCAATGTGAAAATGGCTAAAGTAACCGCATATTCTACCTTTGATCGTTTTCCTTATCCAAGATATGAGATCTTTGCATTCAGCAACAGCTTCAAGACAATCTGCACGCTCAGGCGTTATCACCGACAATAATCTGCCTGCATGTTGTAAAGCTGCATTCATGGTCGTTAGTGGTTTCTGTTTGAATTCCTTGGTCATCTGTGTAAAAAGGGTAAGAAAATGTTAAATATTTTACCGTAACAAGTGACATGAACCAGTCAGGCGTTAAAATGCAAGCAGGAAATTCCAAGGTTTTCCACACAGGGAAGAAAGTTCAATTTTATTAAGTGAAGGTTAATATGAACCTGGTTTTGTAGATCTTTTACTGCCTGAAAATCTCCTTGAAGGCCCAAACTGTCTTTAAATTTCAAAATATTACCAGCGGCGGCAGTGCAGGTTTGCAATTTGTAGTATTCATTTATCTGCTCAATGCGAGTGTCGATTGTCGATTCGCGGGCTGCTAATATATTGCCATTTCTTGAGGTGATAAGCTTGAATTCGTTAGCGAGGTCTTGGTTGCTATTGAAAACCGTAAAGAACTTGTCAATCTCTCCAAACGAAATGGTACAGTTCATAAAACGATCTTGCAACGACTGCAGCTGTTTAATTGATGGTGCCCATACCAACTCTTCAACATCGTCGACATTTAGTAAGCCTTTATGTCCTTGCCTTTGTGCAACGCGTGAAAGTGCCTTTTTGCCATTTTCAATCCAAAATCGTCGAAGAAGTGAACTGTTGCATAGTGTGCTGAGCTCTGAAATCATTGCCTTTGCCTTAGGCGAGAGCTGAAAGAACGTTACCACTGGGCGTACTTTACCATTAACAACTGTTGACCGTGCCAGGTCTTTAATCGGCAAACAAGAGGCGTCCACTACAGTTTTCCTCGACAATTCATCTACATTTACTAGAAAAAAGAGAAACCCAAGATTTAATCTATAAATGCGCCATTAACCTATCGAGCGCAACGTCATAGTTTATGATATATTTTAGCTGTAAACTGAAAGTGTAATTAGTTTACCCACAAAGCACTTAGACATTTTTAAGAACTCGTTGAAACGTGTCCGTGCGTTGACCAGATGGAACTGGAATTTAGTGTTGGTTTTTAAGGAGTGGGGAAAATCGGAGCGCCCGGAGAAAAACCTCTCGGTGCAAGGGAGAAAACAAACAACCGGGCCACATTGGTGGGAGGCGAGTGCTCTCGCCACTGTGCCACCCTTGCTACACACTTTGTCTCTGATGTCGACCTCCGCAAGGATGTCGAAACTTCAGCCGATGTTACCAACAATCCTATTCAGGACTACACTCACTAAAATGATCACATTCACCATATCTTCACATGGTTGGGAAACCGGAAATCGTCAATTGACAGGAATTTGACCGTTTCGCCTTTGCCAGGTTTGATGTCATCCCTAAGATTCAACTAGTACATAACTATGGTGTATAAAAACCGCGCAACGTTCGTTGTTTACCTTGTGTGATGAGCGCACACATCCTGACAAAGGAACCAACTTTCTTTCGTTCTTCTTGAAATGCAGTTAGCTCGATGATACGTTGGTTTAACAGTTGTTCCAAGTATTCCTTACTCCTCTCTTTAGTAATCTGTTCCATTTGTCCGCAAAGCTCCAGAAATCTTTCAGAGTTATCACTTATAAGAGTTAGCATTTGAAAGGTAATAGATTCATCCTCTAGGTACATGACTGCAGCTTCAATAGATGACACAGCCTTCATCAAAATCTCCTGTCCATCTGGATTAAGTACTTGGCGAAAATCAGACTCTCGACCTGATGAAAAGCAAAGAACGTCTCCTAAAACAAAACTTTCTAACTAACCCCAGAAACGATTCTTTGTAGTTTTCTTTATAATATTGCAGCATCAAATGTATTTACAGATAAGTTTGTGTAACATATTTAAAGTAATTGGTCAACTGTCAGTGTTTTATAATTTTATTCAACCGCGATTCATTTCTTTTCCATTTATACTTATATTTTTGTAGCACTCCAATTATAATGACGTCGTCATTAACACCCAAAAATGCAAACAACGGGCAAAAATAGCAGCATGCTTTTATTTCCTTTCTGTTCTCTTCTCACAACAGTCATTTGCGTTTGAAAATTGCTGGAGCAATGAGAGACTTCACAGCTTAAATGTTACTGAAGAAAAGTGAAATTTAGCTCTTTATCTAGGATCCAGGTCCCTTTCGATATGCCTCTAGTTCTACTAGGTGGGGTACCTCCTTTTGAGTGAGCTGCTTCCTACCTCCAGGGGGAAGCATATATCCTAAGAACCTGACCAAATCGTTATTTAACAGAATGGGAGCTTGCTGTCATAAAACGTCCCAGTGATAACGAATCTCGTGTTTTGCCACGAGCGAAATGCTTGATTGATATCGCTTTAAGGTTTTCAGGCTAGCTTTCATAATGCTTTCTTCTTTGAATTTTTTCTCTTGAAACGTTGAAACGATGTTGGTTTATCAACCAAACCGAAGGGAAACACAGGTTCCCCAGAGCAAACACAGAATAAAAACAAAGAATTCGTAAAGCATGGAAGTCCAGATAGAGCTAGATCATGCAGAGCCTTTTCATCTAGTCACTCGAATGACGTTTTCAGAATAAGAACTTTTGCATTACTATGCATTAGAATTACTACGCAGTTTTTGCATTAGAATAAGCATGCAGTTTTTGCAGTTACCTCTCTGAAGAAATCACTATTATTTTTATGCCTACAGAACTCCTTGAACTCGACAAATTAGAAAACAACATACGATTTGCCACCTAATACAATGGAAACATGGTCCCGTGTGACAAAAACCAAACTCATAAGCGACTACTGTAACTCTTTATAAGAGGTAATAACACCTTACCTAACAGATATTTCAACCGAACACAAACTGAAAACATAGAAACGTTCTTAGCAAACAACATGTGGATGTAAACGAAGAGTACACCAAAGTGCCTTCACACGTCTTATGGTCAACTTTGGCACCAATAAACGCATATACTGACAGTTAAATCGGACGCAGAAAAGGTCCTCTACTAACAGGGATTTCGCAAACGAATCCAGTTATAGTCTTACCGAATCTCTGGAAAAAGCAAGGCCATAACTTCCAGGTCAGTACTTGCCGGAGAATCATTTTACTGGAGCAGGGAATGCCTCCTTGTGGTTCAGGCCAACAATGGGTAAGCATCAGTGTTAAGAGTTCACCGCACTTTGAAGCTTGAGGAGATCCAAGGCCATACTCCGAAAGGTTCTTAAAGAGCTCCTCACGCTCAGTTCCCGTCTGAGAGAAGAATTGAAGTAAAATGCATATAAATTACGTTAAAACTAACATGTCACCATAATATAATGGTATGTGCCAGCCGATTCGTGAAATATCGTGAGCAACGTCCTTTGAACTGTTGGGTTACCGTTCATTCGCAGTAACCCTTTAACCGGCGTACAATATACAGTTGAACCTCTCCGTAACGGTCACCTTTGGGACAGAAACAAGTGGCCTTTGTAGAGAGGTTTAAACAAGAGCCAATGTATGGAATGTCCACCAAAAAAAGTGGCCGATAGTGGAGGTCGAGTGTATATCGGTTTTAACGAAACAGGAGAAACTTTTAGTTCGTCTGCAGTTGTGTTTTCTGGTTTTCGTTCTCCCCTGAAACTGTCACAGAACCTCTGCTGCACTTCCAAACCAAAGTTTGCTTTCTTGGTAGTATTTTCAGCTCATAATTCTCCCATGAACTGATGCGTATTTTCCAGCAAAACGACATTATAAGAAAAACTTGAGGATGAAACTAGCATTCATCACGAAAGCTTTCATTGTCACTCATTGTAACGAAATACTGTAATAGTCATTTGCCTCCAAATGAATTGTTTAAAAAAATGGTTTTCCCATTTTCTTATTTATTCATTTATTTTTTTTTTTTTGCAAAAATGAAAAAACACATTAAAAAATAGTATGAAAAACTGTTAGATTGTTTTGTTTTTTTTGTGGATAGAGCTGCGCGCGAATCGGGGCCGGAGTCTGGATCGTAGAATTCCGAACCACTCGCGAACAAATCAGGACACGTGATTTAATGGAAAGAAATACAGTACATTAAAAACTGTTATTATTCATTCAAAATATTTCCGCAATTCTGATTGGCTAAAAGCACACGCATAATTCACCATAACCAGTTACTGATGACCTAATTTGGAAGAATTTTGTGTTCAACGAGGAAATGACGTCAAAAATGCAGCCTTTTACAGGTTAACCGAGAAGAGCTGGGGACTAGACTGATTTGTTTTTCGTTGCAAAAACTAAAATGGTGGACACTTCATTCGTTTCAAGAGTAAGAACTACAGCTGGAACTAGGCGAAATAATGGCTAAAAACATAGCAAAAACAGCAAGAAGGCAACTCGGAGGGCGACATCTGCTATTTGGAGAATATTTGCGGAGCTGGACAAACCTAAACGTAAACTATCAAAGATAAACTTAACATCGATGCAGGTAAGCTTGTTTTAGCTATGTTTTTTAACTAGGAATTATTTTGAATGAATAATAAAACAATTATTGAATTCGGCTTTCGTATCATATGAAGAATTATGGAGATCTCGGAGGGTGAATCCTTCGTAAGATACTCAGCCTCATTCATTAATTGTTAAATTTCTTCTTTCACAGTTAAAAGCGATTTACCATTACCTTGCCTGAGTCAAAATCACAGTTCATACACTTAGTCAAAAAAATGGAAGCGAAAAAGTTCATTACACGTTCCGCTGACGTAAGCTTCAATACTTTACAGCCTGGAAATGTTATAAATTTGTTCACTGAATCGCTCAGTTTTCATCAGTCGCAAGTGCGTGGTTGCAAAGCAGTCACGTGACCTTAGTTAACAAATGAATGTTGGCGATTTTACTGAGTAATCAAACACATTTTACCTGGAGCATACCCTCCACTTTTTGGAATGTCACTTCAGACACCAAGTCTTGTACACATTTGTGTTGAGCAGCCATATTAGTTTTGCTGAAGACTTCCACTAGACCGTTACTGTCACTCTAAGAGTCAGGAAAAACCAGTCCATATTAATTAACCGGTTTTTATCAATAAAGTCGACACCTTAAAAGACCAACAGGACCAGTTCATAATTGTCTTGCATACACAGCCAATATGAGGCTGCAAAGTATAATGAATGGGAAAAGCAGGTACCACAGCTAGAGTAAAGAGGTTACATTATAACAGCATAGATTACATTTCTTTCATATAAAAAATAACTGTAAACCTACCACTTCCAAGCGCATTTTCAACATCTCTAACAGGTGACCTCTCCAAAGCTCTTCGCATCTTTCTTTCGTCCATTCCAGAGACAGCAGGTCGGTCCAGACCTACAAATCCATCCGTAAAAGTAACGGGTAAATTTTTTGTCATGACATCTTTCTAACCCTTAGAAATGCCGAAAAACAAACTTAAGTTGGCCTTTTCCTTGGTCTTTACCTAGCCTTAGAGCGGCCTTAAGCGTTTTTCTGGTCGATATAACGGTTTAAAAAACTCTTCCTGTTTTGTTTTCCTCCACGGTAATCAGCGCTAGGACATTTAATTCTTTACAACAAGAATCAAGTTAAATGTAAATTGTAATTTTCGCTTTCAACTAAAGATAATGTCATTGTGTTAAGTGTGCTATATTTTTAAATATACCTTAAGTTCTTTCTCTGCCGCATCTTTTAGATAGCAAGGAATTTCACGACGCAAGTTCTCCTTCAACCACTTATTGATGATTTCAAAGCAGTTCGCCAAAAATTTCTTAACTTTATCAAACGCTTCCTCTTCTTCCTGCTCTGTCATAGCGGTCTTCAAAAGCATAGAGATGCAAGACTCAAGGCTATGTAAACCATCACGAAGCACTTGCATACTGCATTTAGAGTTGCAAACAGCCCTTAGAATACGTAGGCAGGAAATGCAGCAGAGAACAACTTCTTGATTGTAGACGACGTTATCACCTGGGAAGGAAAACCTATTGAAAAAGAAATTTAAAAATTTACGATGCATAAAGATCAATTTAACATAGTAACTTGCCAATCACTCCATTTCTAAAAATACAGTCAATTCTCTCTAACACGGACACCTTCAGGACTAGCCCCGACTGTCCGGCTTATAAGAGAGTCAAGGTAACGTGACACCATTAAAAACGTAAGCTCAACCCATGCGCATTGAAGACACGTCTGTTTAACTTGTGTGAAACAGCTAAAACTGGAACACTGTAACAGAAAAGTGGAATCATTTTCTTATTAAGCCATCAAACGTTTATCACGAGCAAAAGTTCACGACTACAAAATATAAGAAATCTTGCAATTTACGGTGATGTAGAGCACCTACATTTCCGTGGTTGTGAGGTATTTTTTACTGCGTAGAGCACTTCTCAATAGTCTGTTTACGGCTTCAGAAGTGTCCGTTGTCCGTCTCATAGTTACAGTAAAATGACTCAAAAACGGCAGGGACCAACACGAGGTGTCCGTTAAGAGAGAGTTGACTGTAATGAGTAATAATTTAGAGTGGCCTTCACACAAACGACTGGTTCTACTGGTTTGAAACCAGTTTGAAATTCACTAAGAAGCATAAATCAATCAGTCTTACTCTTTAGCTGTCATTTTATGGACTGTCTTGAAATCCATCTTAAAGCTGTTGGCAACTGCCTCCCACTAGATGAAATAGAGAGCGTGAGTTTCAAACAAAAATTAAACAAAAGCCATTACAAAAACTCTATATTTTCACCAACTCACGTCGCACTGGCTAAACCGAAAGAGACCATTACCAGAAAAAGACTTGAAAATTTTAGGATTATGTTATTTCCAACAATTATAAATTACATCAATGCAGTGCTGTCTACATAAAAAGCAGATCAGAAACGGAGCCGGGTTAAAATATTATCCTTAACATTTAAAAAAAAATCTTAAGGATAATATTTTAACCCGCCTACGCTAAAAAAGTCAATGTTCAAGAACTACAAAGTTATCGAACGCATAACTTAAAGCAAAGACGGTGGTTCGGCAGTTTGGCTCGCTCTTTAGGGTGGTTTCCACTGTTGCGTAATGTTTACGTGCATAAATAAAATAGAGGCAACGTATGAAAGGTCGCGCGTAAAGGTAAAAGTTGAACCTTGTTCAACTTTTAAGTTTACGCGCGTCCGCGAACGCACCCGAAAATGAGATTGCTAAGTATTACATTCTATCGTGAGAGATTAATTATGTTTTCTTGCTTCTGTAATATATGCTACGTAAAGACTTGAAATAAAATAGAGATCAGAAACTTGCCGCTTATCGATATGTAAACTTGGACTAATGCTAAATTTCAAAGCTCGTAAAAGTGATACCTCCTTTTCCATTAAGTAGCTCTTTTCAAATAAGATCTTGCCAAGCGTGGTGTATATTTCAACGGATGCAAAAGCCCCCGAAGAGGCAATTTTACCAAACACATGAACAGGAACTACTAGGAGAAACGTCCTTCTAAAAAGAGGATCCAGCTCAAATAAAGGAAAAAACCTTTCAATCCAGGACGAAAGGCATCTGGAAAACGAAAATAAATACGACAGTCAGATAACAAAACTACTAAGCCTACTAATAAATGAATTTCCATTCACATATTTTGCAAAGAAGTCCTCTATTCGTTCATTTTAGTGCGGGAATATCTTTACCGAAACACAATAAATGAGGCACTCTGCCTTTACTGTAGTCTACAAAAGTTAACTTTCATAGTAGTTTTTTCGCTACGCTATAACAATGGGCTAGTTTTCCCGACGCAAACTGAGCCCTTCCGGCTCGTCACAAATGCCTTGCAATCTCTTATTTACACCATCAGCTTTCCATGGATCTGGCACCTCGAAACGGCAGCCACGACCCCTATCGCAATCACCATCACTACCACCAATACTGCTTTGAAGACTAAATTCTGTTATATACAGATCAAAAACTGTGTGTCGCTGTTGCGTGCAATGTTGCAGATGGAAACATACAATGAAACTGAATGCACTCGAAGAATGAATGAATGAAGGAAGGAAGGAAGGAAGGAAGCAAGCAAGCAAGCAAGCAAGCAAGCAAGCAAGGAAGGAAGGAAGGAAGGAAGGAAGGAAGGAATGAATGAAAACTTTATTTACGAGTCAAAGTTTAAAGTTTAAAGTTAATAATACCACTAACAATAACAATCATCATTAAAAAAATATATAAATAAAAGTACAGTAGGTAAAGGAAAGCAATAGGGGCACACTGAAATCCAAATTTAAAACTGCACTCAAAAACTAAAAGGTGATACAATTAAAACAAGAACGCTCTTACAGCGGAGGTCCCGCTCGCTTGCTTGTAGATTAGATCCAGAAATGAGGAGGCGATTAATTCTACACGAAACAGGACTAATATTCCGGTTTCGAATTCGTCGCGGCCACTGAATAGAACCACTCAAGACTCATTCATACAGGGTTAGCCTCGACCTAAAGTAAAATATTCGCAAATACCGGCGAGAAGGTGCCTGAATTTGTGTTCAAAACAATACACACAGGTACACTTCTACACAGGTCTTCTTCTCACTGGAATTTGTGACTATATCTACCGTAGGTCGAGGTTAACCCTGTATAAATGAGCCCTCAGCGCTTCCATTCAGCGGCCGCGATGAATTCGAAACTGGACTATTTACTACTTCCTACTTTATCGATGTCGATACGTTTTATTTGTTTCTGTATTGATTTAGTACGAGTGTTAGCGACGACATGAAATACGTCTGCGGTTGCGGGCTATACGCGTGTATAAAAATACGAAAATTCAAGGGCCTCCATTCCAGAGAAATTACATCATTGTCAGAAATCAAAAAAGTGATTTACATGGCACGTCACTTCAATCATCGCCGAAAATAGACCGCATGATCATCACAAGACTCATTTGCATACAATGAAAGTTTACAACACCCGACCATCGCAGTTTTGCTGATTAAGATTATTTTTTTTCCACCACTCAGTAGTGTTCATTGTTCCAAAGTAATCAACGCTTTCAACTGATACAATTCGCGGACCGACATGTTTCGGAAAAGCTCTAAATTTAATCTTTCCTAAGCTTTGTTCGCAAAACATGCATGGCTTCGATCACACAACGATTCTTAGTCCCAGTTTCTAAGGTCTCCGCAAGGAACGCCTGGCACAATGAACCCCCTTTTGTGTCCTAAATACGACGAAAAACGCGTTGCGGATTATGAGTCTCCCTGCTTACGCAAGCGAGACTAAATAGAATAATATAACTGTACATTATGTAAGAAAAAAAAGAAACAAGAGGAACTACTTAAATGATTAACAAGAAAAATAACATCAAATGAAGTAAGAAATAATAAAATATGACTAATTACAAAAATAATTAAGTAATCGAGTTTTAAAAGAGTTCAAACTGGAAGCTGACATAATAGAGTAAGGTAAATAGTTCCAGTCATTAACGTAAAGGTTAAAAAATGAAAATTTAAACAGTTTGGCCTTGCTGCTGTAGGCCTGATTTTAAAGTCAGTGTTACTTTTAGTTCTTGTTGAGCCAGTCAGATCCACGTATGTGGAATGTGGTATAGTCAACATCAAGAATTCCCTAATTTCATACCGCGCGGGGGCCTGGTAGTACCGCATTTTCAAAATGGCGGATGGCTGCGGATGGTCAGACGTGACACGTCAGAGTAAAAACTCGAAAGAAGGCATATCTTTTTGGAAGAAATATTGATCAATACTCGCTGGGAGAATCTGCCTAAACTTAGCAAGGAAAGGCTGCAGTATTTGCGCAGTTCTCTGAAGCTAAACTCATTCGGCGAGAAGAAAACGCTTGTTCGATCTGACTAAAGCCAGCACTCGGCAAGTGCAAGCAATTGCTCAATGAATATTGCGCTCGAACCCACGATTGTGAAGATTATAAATTTTCTACAGCAGAGGATCCTCTGTTCAATTCTACCCGCATCTGTAAAGTAGAGGATCCTTTGCAAGGACACAGATGTTATCGTGTACGTACCGATCGTAACTTTAGCATGCTGGAAGAAATTTTAAAAAGCAGTACTGAAGGGCTCAGCTGGATTATTCCCGTCGAGAAGAGTAATGTCCATGGAAGGTACTGAGTGAAGAGAACTTTCTTGCGTCATGTATGTAAAAGCTAGTGTTCTTAAATCACATGCAGGGAGAATAAGAGACTTGTCTATACTCAGTGCATGTTGGCCAAAAGGCAGATGTAGGTTGCATTCTTGGTTACGATTACAGGGTGATTGCCCAAATGGTAAGCTAGACTTGCCTACAAGTCGAGCTCAATTTTTTTTCACGAGCGCGAAGCACGAGCGGTAGATTTTTTTGGAACCGGAAATGAGAAGTGAATGACTTATGAAAGTCTAGCCTTTCGTCTTAAAATGGAGTAACGGACTTGACTCTGTTCAAACCCTTACGGTAGCACCTCTTTGTCTTCTCGAAATGCCGGAGATACAACTGGTCATTCAGCTAAACCTTTCGTATCTGGGCCTCGCAACTATTCCTGAAACAAGACTCCGCGGAATTCCAGATCTTCATATCGACAGCTAAACTAATCCGGAGATATTCAGCATCTTGTGACGCCTCCATAAGATAGATCCACTAAAAATAAGAGCTCTATAGGCGCCTAAAAACTATTTCTAATGATGGGTTAAATGAAGTTTGCTATTGTAAATGCTTTTTGTGTTTCATAAGTAACTGGTTCATCGTTGAAAATAAACTTAAAGATTTTTTACCTGTTTTCTGTCCAACTTCTTTCTCTCACGCATTTCGTTTCAAAGCCAGTGGCACCCCACCAGGTCTCATCGTTACGTTTAGGTTCCTCCATGAGCAACACATCACTACTAAACGGTTCTGATGCCTGGGTCAGAAAATGGACCAAGGGTACGGCAAACAACCACTCATGAAGGCTATAATATTCCTTGGCAGCATGCCTACAAATTGCCTGAATGGCTTCACCCAGCTTCCTAGCATAACATAAACGGACACTAGTTTGTTTGCATACATGAAAAAAAAGCATAAAGAACATCATTCAATAACTGCTCGAGTGGATTTGCAAGTTATTAAGTTGTAATCATGCAGTAATCTAAGATGGCGTGGGCTGAGTCGCTCCAACAAAGATCTCACCTTCTCATATAATGCAACAAAAGTTTAAAAAGAACTGAGGGATGAGATGCGCGTGACAGACCGATTGAGCGGGTCAGTCCGGCTAACTAGGCTGCTTCATCTTATATAAACAGGCCCTTAGACAAACTGAGATATGAGCCTTTCACTTTAAGGTGTTTCGATACAATTTTTCAGAGGCTATACCGATATTTTTAAATCGCCTTAAAAGTGATTTTTTCCTTGTCCGATCGCTATGAAATTTTCATCAGTAATTGGCTATGGATTGAAATTTGTCAAAATGTAGTTTTAAGTAAAATCGATATTACTATGACAACAATAAACAAAAAACTTTGAAATTGATAAAAGCCGAATTTTGAGCGATCTAGACCAGCTACTGGAAATCTAACACTAGGAACTTAAAGTTTGGTGTTTAGCAAACAACCTCCGTAAGAAGTAAAAAATTCTGTATGTTTGAATTCGACTAAAACGAAAATATATTTCAGACCTTAAATTTTCAATAGCTGTGATAGATTATTTAATAAAAGCGTTATAAATGACTCAAATTATTCTTAAGTAGCGTCAGAATGCTGTTTAATATCATATTTCGATGCTAGGAAATTTTGGTGCATTTTCGTCCTGGCGATCTTGAAAACTAACCCGTTTTTTCACCACCTGTCTAAGTGCAATTTAATTCAGAATTTGGACTTCTGGCGCTTTTTTGTATATCTCTGAAACAACTCGAACATACTAAAAAAAACTTCGATAAAAAGTGTTCGGATTTATCATATAAAATAATACTTATTGATTAAGAGGTGTCCTTTTTGTCTAGAAAATGTCAATTTATGTACAACATAGAAAGCAGTTTTTACAGCCCTCTGTGATTACTTTTTCAAGATCCACCTTACGAATTTTCTTTTTAAAGCTGTAAATTGATTCTGCGTTTTTTACATCCTTGATTAATTTAGACCATATTACTGAACCCACATATCTTAGGCTATGTCTCCCGTAAGTTGTTGGGTTGTATCGAGGGATAAAAAGTCACCAGAATTTCTGAGCCCATAGCGAGGTTTATCGAGCTTGAAAATGTCCTTTATGTACGGAGGGCATATATTGTACTTTGCCTTATACATAATTATGGCTATATCCTGCAATCGGCGACAGCCTAGTATCGTGAGTTTAGCTTTTCTCAAGAGCTCATCGTATGAACTTCTCGTATCGCAGTAGACGGCTCTTAACGCTCGCTCTTGTACTTGCTCCATCTTTCTGCTATCCGACGCCCGACAGAAATGCCACAATGTATGACAGTATGTAATTTGAGGCATTATGAAAGAAATGAAAATCTTAAGTTTGGCAGATGTTGTTAACATGTTTCGAAGCCTCATCAAAACACCAACCTTCCTAGATTCGTTTTTACATACCTCTCCAATATCCCTACTAAAATTCAAATGCTCGTCAATGGTCACTCCCAATAATTTCATTTCAGAGTGACTCTCAATATCATTGTTCATAACATCAATTTTCATCTGTTTATTTTTATGCTTCGACCCGAGACTGAAATTTTTCATGATTACACATGAGTAGATTGTCCTTATACCAGTTTGAAATTTCCTTCCCCTCATGGTTCAAAATACTCTCAACGTCTTCGAATCTTTCCCCGAAAGTATAAGCTTGATGATCATCTGCATACATCGTTACACTACACTTAGGAACTTTAAGTTTCAATGTTTTACATGTAAAAGACGCAATAAAATTGTCACTGAAATGCACTAGTCATGGTGGTATGTATGGTGGGCATCATTTGGAAAAAATAGCAAAACGTCAAAAAAGTGAATGTTGTATATTGCATTACTATTCATTCAAAACATTTTACCGTCTCTGATTGGCTCTAACCCCCCCCCCCCCTCCACCAGTTAATTCTTTTGATCTATAAAAATTTTGATAAAAGAAAAAAACTTACGGCAAATTCACACCAGGAAAGTGTGTTAAAAGTTTGTCATAGGGAGTGCAAGTTTGTCCATTCTGGTCTCGCTCAAGGATGAGAGATGGAAACAGCTTCGCATAATCCTCTCTATCGAGCACAACGTGATGCGTATGAATAACGTAAGCAATTGCCAACGATGAAACCAAGCGACGAATCTTTTTGTTTTCTTCTACGGCTGACTGAAGTGAGGCGTTTTCGTGAATCTTCGGTTGAAGGAATTTCTTCAAAAGCTAAAAGGGACAAGAGCGAAAGAGATAATCGAGAGAAAAACAAACAAAGCACTAACACCAACTGGTCAACAAACAATCACCCCTGCTTCAGGTAGCTAGAAAGCTAATTCTCTTCGATGTCTTCAGTGATCAAAGTTAAAAGACCACATATCGAAACCAAGGCCACGGCAGTTCCAATAGCGGACTTTCAAGAGATCTTTTACCGATACAAACTGAATCTAGCTTCCAAAGCTGATTTACAATACAGCACATTCTGACCTAACGGCCGGACCATTAGAAGAGTGAATAGTGGGCGGGTGGAAAAAACAAAACAGAATCCAAACATGAAAAAAAAAACCTGAAAAAAACATGCATACAGCAAGAAAATCTGAAGAAAACACATATCAGCTATAAAAGAGAAAAACAACACCAACAACAAGAAAACGAGGTACATATTGCGAACGGAAAAAAGAAGGGTACAAGTAAAGCAGAAACACTACCTTCCCCTCTTCCCTTTCATTATGGTAGGTCCCTTTACATACACATGTAACTAAGTTCAAAAGGTTAATGCCGTTCACCAATTAAACATGAACATGTACCTATCCGCAATACCACTACTGTCCTCCCTTATTATTCACTGACAACAATTCCTGGGACATCTTAGTGTTGCACAAAAGATTGACGTAACTGAAATCAATTTTATCTTTGCTAGCTACACTTGTAATAATGTAAGTACATACTCCACTGAAGTCATACAATAGCGGAACATTCCTTTTCCAGTTGCCAAGATCTTCCACTTGTGTTTTAGTCATACAATGAGCTAAATCTCCGACAGCTGTTATTGCCTCCCAAGCAGTCATAGTTGTGGTTGTTTGGCCTACTGTGAATCCTTCCCAAAGAGGCAACATTGCCCTCGTCGCAATGTTTCTGCCTTCAAGAGGGTCCGATTTGTTCCAAAATTTTTGCAAAAGGCTTTGTTGGCTAAAAATAGCATCATCATACTGGTGCCAAACAGCTGAAAAACAGAGAGCGTCATTTTTCCTTTAAAGAGAGATTACTTAATTTAGAACTGGTGAGCTCTTGTATTTGTAAAAGAAGCAAAAGCTTGATACAATAACAAACGTGAACTTCTTGAACTGAATTATGCCGATACAATCATCTCTCAAAGTGATGAAAGTCGTAACCTGCAAGTATTAAAGCTCTCCATTTGGGGGATATTGAGAGAGTCACGCGCGATCGGTACGCGAAAGGGTACTCTAGAGGAAGGGGCGAGAAAAGAAAGGAAGGGCTCTCCTCTTCTCCACTCCTCGCTCGTGCGTTCCCTCGTGGCTCGCCTACTCGCAAATCGAAATAGTGGGCTCTCTCGCAGGCTATAACATTTTTCAGCAATCGTCCGTATTCGCTCTACGGTAAGCCAGTTTATGATGGAATTCTGGGTTCGAGTCTTCACTTTGCAGCAACGTTTGGTGAGTTGATATACATTCCACTATAACAAATTGTGTAATATGAGCGTTGGCACTATTGCACCACCCTCGAAACATGAGGATTCGTACGGGGAGAAAAACAATTTCCTCTTGCCAGCATAAATTAATTTTTGTTTTATTCTCAGAGCCATGTTTTGTGGTCTTATTCGGCGTCGGTTGTCTGTTCTACTGTCCTCTATTTTTGCAGGTTTTAGTTTTCGTTGATAGTTTTTCTTTTAAAAAATGTATAAATAGTCATTAGAAAAAATTCAACTTGTTAAGGACACTTCAACACAAGAAAAGGTTTAAAAAAACAATAATTACCTCCTGACTCACGCCTGGCCTTTGGAATTTGAAGGGATCTGTTGCATTTCACTCCAAACCCGTCTAAGTGTTCCCACATATGCTTGTCTTTTCTGTTTTCCTTCCTTACAACGTACTTGTAACGGAGTGTGCGAGAAGCGTACTCAACTGGTAACTGCAGCTGTGCTCCAACCAGGATGAAATCATTTTCTAAAGGACTACAGTTAAATAGAATCTTGTTAACTTCTTAATTCCTCTTGAAATTCCAATAAATAACCAAACTTTATGCTATATAGCCGTCTGGATCGTCTCAATCGCACAAGAAGTCGAGGCGATCCGGACGACACGGACTTGCCTATTTCCTTTACCGCTTTCCACCGGCCCACACGGTTAATCCATTTTGAAGACATAACCTACCCAAAAGGCCGGGGAAACGAGAGAAATTTGCAAAGTCAAGCAAAGTACTTCTAAGCTAAGGTTGTTACTCTCACTCAGTTCAATGAATTATATGCTGCCAACACTCTTTTAGTTCACTAAACGTTTTGAAACTGCTGATACTTTTGGCGTTGTTTGTTCACATGACTTTAAAGGAGCGTGAAGTGCTTTCAACAAAAGGAAGCCAACTATTTTGACAAAACTTCGAAGAAAGTTACATTAACTTGTTATTGTTAAAATTCTCCCCAGGGTTTCCACGTAATGCCTCATAAAGTAATACAAACTAAAACACCTCAGACGTTTGACCGCAAACCTCAGTTCTACGTTGAACTTGACCGATCCGAAACGTAACTCATCCGAAAAGCGTTCAATGCGAAGCGAACTTTTTGAGGGCTGGGAACTAGGAAAGATCTGGGCGATGACATGGAAACCAGGCTTAAGGAGTTTTAACTCCTTGTTGTCATTTAAAAATGTTGGATACTACTTCAGTAACGTAACTTGGCTGCGACGACAATAGACAATACTCAGACCAAGAATCACGTTAACAACTGTTTTCACAGAATATAGCGGTACAACAGAATTTGGATTTTCGGCACAACATGAACTTGAGGCAAGTAAAACGAATAATAAAGATCGAAGGAACTTTTGAAACAATACAATAATTAAAACTAACATATGACTTAAAGTAATATCACCTCGACCCTGCTGAGGTACTCGGGCCATAAAGAGCACAGTTGTGTTGTTTCAGTTGCATATATTCACTAAAGCATCCTTTTTAAATACCTAACGACATTTACTGTACCTTTCGGGATACACTTCAACAACATCAGTATTGAAATCTCCAAAGACAGGGCCACCAAACCTCATGAAGATTCTGTCACCTTGCTGAGCATCAAACTTGAAGTTAGGGGCAAGAACAGCATGAAAAAAGACCATCATTTTACTCTTCTTGTTTCTAGAAAAATATTCGGTGTTGTCTGTATTATCTTGATCATCTCTATCACTTGTGCGATTATCATTTTCTTCCTTGTTTTTTGACTGTTGGCCTTGAGTTTGCTTATTGCTGCTGGGTTGGTTTTTTTCATTTTTCTTGACTGCGTTTTGTGCCGACGCTCCTTTGGAGGCACCACTTTCTTGTAATTGCTTCCTGTCAAAACAAGACCGGCCACAAGTTTATTTAACCATCAAACCAAAATAGCTGAGATAGTATTTCCCCAAGCACCAATGTTGCAAAAAAACGTCGTTGCGAATCGTCCTGTGTAACTAGGAAGTTTCACCTTGTAGTCTGCGAAACAACAGCAAAGAAATGTACAAAAAAGGGTGCTGGACGTGCAATTTTGGCTTATTAAGCAACAATAAGGGCCTGTTTACATGGAGGTGGGGGACCTCAGGTAGGTGAGGTGATTCGCTTAGGTGAGGTAGTAAGGGCTAAAAGCAAAGGTCTCGTTAATATACTTATTGGTTACTCAAACAAAAAACAAAATTGTGTTATGCTAAACGGTGACGGTAACGAGAACGGCAAAAAAATCAATAGGTCTAAAGGCACGGTAAAACGGGCAACAAAAAACGTGCAACTCCTTTTGCAACATTGCCCCGAAACGAGTTGAATAGCGATGTAGCGCGTTTTACCACCCACGGAAAAAAAAAACCTTGCAACCTTATTTGTTGCAAGACAGGTTTGAACGTCCGTGGTAAAACGCACAACAGGACCATGCAGGCAAACCAGGTCACTGCCCTGGTTCGAGTCATCAACCCCTAAGACGACATTGTGAACAAACAATAGGTTTTATGAGCAAAACAACAGCTCTTTACGTGCATCACGCTTTTCAGTACATTTCTTTGACGTCTTTGACACCTCCTAATTCAACGTTTAATGTAGGACGTGAACATACGACGACGAACTGGACCAGGCTCTTTTTTAAACTAAACTAAGTTCTTACGAGTTCAACTCCAGGAGAATTCGCCGACATTTGACAAATAAAAAGAGACCAGATAAACGCGATAAAGTTTTAAAGGACGCTTATCTATTTTTTTAGCGAAGTTACTACCGTCGTCGTTGTCCCTTAAGAGGAAGAAAGCAGTTGGTATAATCCGAAAGTGAAGGCAAAGTTGTACATGTATCTATACGCGGTAGTAATAAGTTCATGTAGCAAACGGACGAAATTTCTCGTTATTGTCCGTTTGTTTGTTTTCTATGCTGTAAAATTGAAATTTCCAAAATAAAGTGATTTGAACTGAAGGAAGTACTCACTGCGCTGCTAGTCGTTTTTCTTCTTCTTTCTTCTTTTTCTTCTCTTTCTTTTTCTCCCTTTTCCTTTGTTTCCTTCCTTTATTCTTATTGTTTGTTGAAGTTGGTTGTAGTCCCACTTCTTTTTTGGGGTCCGAAACGACCTCCTAATGGAAAACAAATGCAAATTACCGGTCAGGAAAGGTGTCTTTCTTACTTTCTTTTGCTCATGCTGTTTTGTTGTTGTTTTTGTTGTTGTTTTTGTAGTTATGCAAATGATTGTCTAGTATGCTAGCAAATCTATACAAAATATTATCCTAAATGAAATTTATATTATTAACAAGAGCATCGTAGTAATAAATAGCCTGCGTAACAGGCTGGGGGCGCCACTTTTTAGGGCATGGGAAGAAATCACGAGGACGCGACATGACCGGCGCTTGCTACGCAGGCTAAACACAGTGTAATAAGTGAAGGAACTTGAGCTAAAATTACGTGGATTGGTACCTCTTCTCGCACATGCAAATGAGATTTTGTTTGTGATAGTTTGATGCCCCTGATATAACCATTTCCTTTACCAACACAGGTGGCGAAGATGGAAATATGTGCACAGAAAAAATCAGTAGACCAATAAACCCGGTTTTATTAACCAAAAAAACCACACACGGGGCAAACGTCGGCAAAGAAACAGAACTACGTTAGGTCACTTTTTTTCGATGTATTAATCACTGAAATTTACTTATAACCATAACGTAGGCGGACGCACATATTTAGAGCTTGGGCTGCCTGGACTAGTTCCTTAAATTCAAGATTTCCCCTCTTTTGTACATAACAAAACATAATAAACTTCCAGTTATTTGAGTCTGAGGCCAAATCACCGTAGCACTAGACTGTAAGTATTTAACCTGGCAAGTCTAGTTAACACGACATTACCTCCTGGTCTGATTCGTTTTCATCGCTGTCATCATTAGCATCCCCATCCTTTTGAGAACGAACACCTCCTTGTTGTTTAGAACCTTCTATAGCATCGCTCTCCTCTGACTGATCCTTAGCGTCGCCGTCACCCGTCTTGACCGGAGCAGGATCTGCATCTATGGGACCATCGCCAACTTTGGAAGATCCAGGTACCACTTTGTTGTTGTCATCATCTTGTATGGTTCCATTTAGGTCAGGAGAAATGAATTTCAAAACACGGGCGATACGTCAACATGCACAAATAACAAGCAGTAATAGAGAGCTTAAGAATACGACTACCCACAAGGGGCTGCAGTGCCTAATGATGGATAGGCTTATACCTGTGACTAGACCTACCCTGAGGACCAGGGGGGTACTCTGGACTTCAAGGGAAGGGGATGATGGAAGGATTTTTTGGGTTCGAAATTTTCAATTCCGGAATTTTTTTAGCAGGAAAACTTGGCAAGTATGTTTTTGGGTGGCTTTATTTAAGTAGGGATTTTTGGGGGGTATTCAAAACCATCTGAAGATTCGTGGTAGGGACGCGGCGTATCGCGTCCACGTAGTTCTGCGAATACAGTACAACCAAACTTTTCGTGTTACATCATTTACTGCTTTCTGAAAAATTTTAAGGCTCGAAAATTTGGCGTAGGATTTTTGGGGGGTTATTTTTTGGTCCAAGGATTTTACTGGATTTTGTTGGAAGCCCTAGGGGTTTTTGATTTTTGCCCCCATTCGATTATCCCTGTTACATGAAATCCGGAATACCCCTCCCCCCCTTGGCCCTAAGGCAACTGTTTCCCTCCTCAAGCCTAATATGTTCTACCCTAGGCAAGTGGGGGAGAGGCGATTCTCAGAAATGCATTGCAGAGCGCATTAAGCGCTAGTATCGTGGTCATTCGTTGTGCCCAACTCCGACCCCGCGCAGCACTGCCCTGCCTTGCTGCTGGATACAGATGAGTTTTAAACGAGTGGATAAGGACAACCAACTGTGCAACGCTTTCTTACGTTAATCCATTAGTCACCGCGCAAGTCACTTCATACTCATTTTTCCAACCCATCTCGAGTTTTCAAATCCTGTAGCAACGGACAAAAAATGAACGGGCAGCTGTGGGTTATAATAGCCGTAGCAACAATTAATCTACACTCAGGCAATGTTGTATTGACAAATTCTCCGCTGCCTGTATAAACGTCCGACTCATTCTGCCGTTGTCAGCACTAAGAAGACTGAGGTTCGGTACATTGAGCCCAAAAGCACGGTCAATGGCCCTGTACATTTATAAGTACTTTTGAAGCACATTGCCCCAAAATAGAACCTTTGAAATCATATTTTTGGACTGTTTACAAACCAGCCTTTCAAACAGCAAAGGCAGAAGCGTAGAGAGAATAAGTACGGAAGACAGTTGTGCACAAGACAGAACGCAAGACAGTAGGGCGGAATGCATGTGAAACCTGGAAGGTACATCAATACCATAAAAAACAGCTCAACCACCTAACCCAATCAGCTTCAAAAATCTTCCAACCTCAAGTGGTGAGCCAAAATTTCGAACATTGAAATGGATGCCCATTAGCTGGCCTGCCCAGTACTTTGCACCATCTTGATCTCTCACCTGCATTTACCAGGTCCTTGGAAAGACGTTCACGGAACAACCAACACGGTTTTTACTGCACGATATTCCACGACACCCTACAGTGACCCCATGGAAGACCTACCAACCCCTCATGACAGACATTTGAGGGCAGATTACAAATTGGACTCGGACAAAACAGTGCTGCTTCAATACTTGCTAATTACTGAAATTTTGTTTGTAAATGATATATTTCATAAAAGTTTTTAAAAAGATACAAAGGTTGCAGAGTTGTCGGCCGCTAGGAAAGCTTGATAGTTTCAACCAAAAAACAACCCCTAGATAATTAAAGTGAACTTTGATGGACAAACACAAGTTTCGTATTTTGAAGCCTATTTGTAACATTGCTTGCTGTTCTTAGGTATTAAATGTGGCTACTTTAACTTGAGAAATAAAACATAGTCTCTTCTTGTATAGGACAAGTTATTTATATAATAAGCTGCACGCAATTTGCAAGGCATATGTTACACTTTAATTTATACTAAGCAAGCTATGAATTTTTCCTCGATCAATCAAAGCAAATTTAATGAGTTGCTAATGGACTGGACAGTGTACCTGAAAAAAAATTAAATCCACATCTGGACGCCATAGATAAAACCAGTAAGATAATTAGAGGTTTCACTTAGTCTACCTGATGGCTGGTCATTAGTTGCTTCTTTTTGGTTTTGCTCTGAATCAACACTGGCATCAGTGGGTGCTTTAACACATCCTTCACTAGCTTCATGTGGGACTCCCCCCTGTTGTTCATCTGCTTCCCTTAACAGATTAAGATTTTGTAAGGCAGCTGCTGCTCCTTCTGTGAGCTCGGGTGAGTTGGGTTCATCCTCAGCACAAAAGGATGTTCGCTTTGCTGGCTTATCTGGGTCCTCACCCTTCCTTTTCCTTTGCCTATCTTCCTCATCTATTTAGAGAGGGTGACAAAAACATATAAGAGCAGACAAACAAATATGTTGCGAGTAATACATGCAATGCATGCTTGCATACAGTATACATATACAACACATTTTGTTATCATTATGTAAATTAATTATTCTGTACATAATGACGTAAATCCAATTACATTTTAGGGAAGTGATCTGATACAGTACCATCTCCAAAAAAGAAAACACTAAACGGGTCTGTCATAACTTACTCCAATCCACCAGGACCAATTAAACAGAGGATTAAAAATATAATGTGCATATTATGTACTGACTGCCTGTCTGTCATCTTAAATGCATTCTCAAGAGAACCAAACAGCCACTTCAGAATTAGCATCTACAGGAAGCCTCTATTATATAATTCTGAATCAATTAATTTAGACCATAATGCACAGCAGCATGCTCCAGTAGAATGATGTTTGTAAATGAAGGACTTTGTCCCCAGGGAAAGCTTCTTCTGATGAAACCACTACAAACGAATCTCTCGAAAAAGAGAGAAAAATTCATCAGTTATGCACCTGTTTCTATAGAAGTCCATAATCCTTTGTAATGAACAATAGCAGTGTTTAAATCCATTCCTGTTGCATAGATCAGAGTCAAGAAAGCTATCATCACCCAACCTAATTCTGCATATTTTTCCTTTTTTCATGTGAAGCGCAGGAAATAGAAGCCGTCTTCATGCAAGCTTATGGAATTCACAGAAGCTAGCAAATTCTTCTCAGTTTCAAGGCATATTTCATGAGGTCTTTGGAACAGATGCCAATTCGGAAGTAAGTTTTTATGTCCACATCTGGCCCCCATTAACATTAAAATCAGTAAGATGAATGCAAAGTTAATAGAACCACCGAGAAATTCACTTGGCCTAGTGAGTCTACACGTACCTGCAGGATGGTCATTAGTTTGTTCTTGTTGGTTTCGGTCTGAGTCAATGCTGCCATCATTGGGTGGTTCTATATATCCTCCAAGCTCACTACCTTCATATAGACCTTCCATCTGTTGTTCATCTGCCTCCTTTGGAAGATTAAGATTTTTTAAGGCAGTCGCTGCTCCTTCTGTGAGCTCAGGTGAGTTGGGTTCATCCTCAGCACAAAAGGATGTTCGCTTTGCTGGCTTATCTGGGTCCTCACCCTTCCTTTTCCTTTGCCTTTCTCCTTCATCTATTTAAAGAGGGTGCCAAAAACACATTAAAGCTAACAAAGAAACATACGCTGCACTTACAAGTGTGTATACATACGGGCATGTTTGCATATATGCATACATAATATTATATTTTTTTCATTATTATTATTATATTATTATTATTATTTTTATTACTATCATATATTTTTATTATTATTTACAATTTGGGCAGTTTGAAATGTCTGGATGCTAGGTCCAACTAAAAATCACAAAGGCTAGGCAGCGAACCATGACCAACCTTTGTTTTTTTTTCTAAAAAAGGTAATGATAGTTTATTAACAATAATTGTTTAGAAATGTAAAATATCACTTTAAGCGTCCATCATAACGCATGCAAAATTATTGTAAAATTATATTACTTGTAAAATTGATATATCTATAAACAGAATAAGTGGCTCAAAGTGGTTCCCAAGAAGACCTGTGGGTCGTTGTCTAAGCCAGCTTTAGTGCTCTTGGTCACTCCCAGTGCCAGTAAAGGGACATCCAATGCACCTATTCCTTCTGTCTTTTTTAGCATTTCGTCGAGCCGTCCATCTTTTGCAAGGACTTTGTTGTTACAGGTGTAGAATCTGCACTGCCTAGCTTCAAGGTAGTGGCCACAGGCCAGTTCAGAGTCCTTTCGCAGCTGTCTCATTGCTTTGGCTAAGAGTTTTCTTTGACCAAGGGCCACATCCAAGTTTGCAACATGAGACGTATATGACAGGACTATGAGAGGATTAATGTCCACGGTCTCTTTCTTTTAACATTATTGGTGTCACGCCAGGTCTTGAAGTCAAACATTGTCATTATAAAAATCAGAACAAAAAAATACAGAGTCGATGCTCATACTTACTGCTCGCTATTTCTGTTGCTCGCCTAGACTAACTTAAATTATATTCGTTTACCCTGCCATTTCCCACTCATTTCTTGCCTTCCCCAGTGTGACCAGATGCTGTAGTTTTAGATCCATCCCTAGCTCCTCTGCAAACTTTTGTGCATCATTAACAAAAAAAAAATCATTAAAAAAAAAAAATTAACCAGAGAGTGTCTTCCAGCCCGGCCAGGCTGCTTTCTCTTCAATTAAACTCTCTAATTAGAAAGTCCTATTGTAGGATCTGAGTTTCCGTAGATATTCAGTACTTTTATCTTTGTGATCTCATACTCTCCTTAATCAAATTCTCTGCTTTATGATTATCATTATTATCGATCATTATAAAAATTATCATCATCACCATATACATAATTATGTTCAATTTTGATTTAACAACTCCAAAAATCAACTAACGGCAGTGTATTTTATTGCACAAAAACACTACAGTAAGCTGTAATTTCAACAGACAACCTTTTTAGCTTTAGGAGTCAAGTGACTGGCTTGGTTATGATAAACTACATTGATCATAATAAATTAAAGTAGTCGTGTAAATTAAATTTAGACCAAGGACACGACAGACATAAAGCTAAACAGCCAATTGATGAACGGGACCATGCAACATCATTAAATTCATCATGATGCATAATATTGATTGCTTATTATTGTTTATTGTTTTGTTTGCCATAAGATTATACAAAGCAAAAAAAAAAATCTAATTACCGGTATTTAAACTCCCATGGCAAGGAAGCCCAAGGGAAGCCACTGGGCTTATAAGGCTCCCTCAGTTAGATAATTAGAACAAAATATTATCAATTAATTACACATTGGAAAATCAATGGCAGAGCTACAGTAAATCTTAAAATAAATTTATTATTCATTCAAAATATTTTCCCGATTCTGATTGGCTAAAAGCACTCATTTAATTCACCATAACCAGTTACTGATGACCAAATTTGGAAGAATTTTTTGTTTAACGAGGAAATGACGTCAAAAATGCAGCGTTTTCGCAGGTTAAGGCACCGTTAACCGAGAAGACCTGGGCAGGAGGTTGAGTTGTTTTGATTGTGAACTTGAAAATGGCAGTCATTTCACTCGTTTCAAGAGTAAGAACTAGGCAAAAACATAGCTAAAAACATGGCAAGAACAGCAAGAAGACAACTCGGAGGGCGACCTCTGCTATTTGGAGAATATTTGGGGAGCTGGACAAACCTAAACGTGCACTATCGAAGATGAACTTAACATCGACGGATCGATGGAGGTTAGCATGTTTTGGCCATGTTTATAAAGTAGGAATTATTTTGAATGAATAATAAAACAATTATTGAATTCGGCTTTCGTATCATACGAAGAATTATGGAGATCTCGGAGGGTGTTATCCGTCGAGGCCGTACACTCTCCTCGATCTCCATAATTCTTCATAAGATACTCAGCCTCATTCATTAATTGTTAAATATTAGATAGTCGTACTAATCATAGTTCTAGGCTAAAAAAAGCGAAATGACAAAAAGAAAAGAAAAAAAATGAAAATAAAAGAGCAAAGGTAAAATAAATATATATATACACACACACACACACATATATATATATATAAATTACTATTTATGATAAGAGGAATGCTTCCAGCTTACAGCAAAAGGAAGCGGTACTTGTTGTATTTCCAATTTCAAAACTAAGAGAGTTAAAAAATTTAGGACCTTGGAAACTGATGGAGAACTTTCTTATATTAGTCCGCTTTCAATCTGAACTCTGTACTGTAAAGTTTTGCCGGTTTAATAAGCTTACGGTTATGTATTAATTAGCTCAGCTCGTTTAAAGTTTAAATTCTTGTATTTTATTGTTAACCATCGAAACAACAAAACAGCCAAAATGGTTACTTTTTCAACCTTGAAGTTTAACTTTTCCAGCCCGAAACAAGTTATAGGTTGTGGCTACCTGCTGGTTACGGGTTTTGATGAAAAATTAATGCAAACATCTATATTCCTTGTCTCCTAACCCTAAATCCCTAGCCTGGGTGGCTTTATCTTCGTGTAAAAAGAAATCTAAATATGAGACAAATGCATATCGGACAGATAGTGATTTGAAAACGTTCATACGAGCAGAAAGGCTGGCGTCATAATGACAGATCTAGATTGTGTATATCGGTCAACCCCGGAAATCGGCAATGCAAAAAGCAAGGGAAGAAAATCCACGGCCTACATTAACCGTGAACCGCATTTCTAATATCCATTGATCCATAAGCTGACTGGTAACCCACCGACTGAATCATTTCTTCCATTATTTACAACGTTCTGACCTTTTTGAGTGGAGTCTGCAATCGGGTCTGTCGACTTCTCTGAAGCTGGTAGAGGTGATGTCGTTTCTTCTGCAAATAAGCGCAAGACCATAACACTGCCACATTTCAAGCATTTGAACCTTCGTTCTTGCCCCTCTTCAAGGGCATCGCTCTCACAATGCAAGCATTTCATGTTATGTTTCTTTCGGGAATTTTCCTTTCCCTTGGACTTCGAAATGTACGCATCTCAGGCAGACTGAGACAGCTTGGTTCTTGGAAAGGCGGAAGTGGGTTTCGTGGAAGCAACGCCTGGGTGATCTCCCAAGGGAGGGCTAGAAGAGGAATTTATTCCAAGGGAGGTGGGTTTAGGAATAAGATATAACTGGACAAATAATTTCCATTAGGGGCCGAAGGGTGATTGACGAATCAATTTTGGGGATGAGGCGATGGATTTTTTCAGTTTGTTGTAATTATGCAGCGATTTCCGTACAAATGATTTCGCACAAAAAGGCGGGGAAGGACAAAGCCTCCCTGGCCCCTCCCCTTCTGCGGTCCCTGAGAACCTGATTTTCAGGGATAAGAGGCATATAAAGCCAGCCAGTGGCGAGCGACTGGTGGTGAACTGCAAGGGACCATGGGAAGGGCACGGACGGCATTTTGTTCGAGAGAGAGACGTCTGGATGGTCGTCTGGGTACGAAGCAGAGACAACATTTTTGATATTGTGCTCAAAAAAGTGGTAAAATATACTTCTAGCAGTAAAAACCTTTGAATGCAGAGGTCCACTCAAAGCGTAAATGAAACCGACTGGTTAATTCTTTCTTAGCTCTGGCCCTGAAAAAGGCTAATTTTACTAGCCAAAATATTGGCCTGAAATAAATCAGCCCTTTGTCGTATTGCCAGCCTTGCATTCAGTTTTGTTTTAATTCCCACTTGACTTCTAGAAGTGCTCGTATATTTCTAAATTTATGCCAAAATTATGCTAATTTTCGTCCACGGTTTTTGCAGTTAATTTAATCCTAGTTTTTGTAAATTATACTCATTTTAGCAAAAAAAAACATGCAGAAATTATGCCTCTACTTTTTAACTTTAAGTTTGGCAAAAACGTAAAAAAAAACAGATCGTGAAAAAACAACACCTCAATTACTAAGCAACAAGTTACTGAAAAACGCATTTACCCTATTTACATCTAAAAACGCTGACACCATCTTGGCTTACGGAGCCAAAGCTATTGTAGTTATGCCCTGGTTTGAATCCTGTGCCGAAAAGATTAGCGGGTCGCAACGCGGGTCGTAGCGGGCAACGTAGCGGGTCACTTCTAATTTCGTACCCAGATTTCACTCTGCCTTTCCCTTGGCCGCGGGAGATCTGGATACGAGACTAGGTCACTTCCCGTGGGAACAAGGTCCATGAATGAGAAAAACTGATAAGAAGTTTTGTTACTTAAATTTACCTGTAACCACTGACCTAGGGCCAAAAAATCTAGTCAAAAGTGCAAATTATGCTGGCAGTGCATTTTTCGGAAAATAGATGAAAATTATGATCGAGATGACAAATTATGCCAAACATTATGCTAGCACAATCTATCAAAGCCTATTTTTTAGGAGTAAGAAATATTAGTTCTAAGAGTTACAGGGATAACTGGGAAGATAATCAGCAGTTCGGTGGTTCGTTTCAAGCCACAGCCTTTTCCGTCAACTGCTCTTCACGGTCCGTAACAGTGCGACAGTATTGGACATGACTGTCATATTCCATTGGAGGTTTTATAAAAAATAAAAAGATGTAAGTTTCTTTAAAAAATGCACAATACATGTCTTTTCAACCATTTGAACTCACCATTTTAACGTCATAAAAGGGTTGGAAGTTTGACGTCTACATCGAAAGGGGATTAAATTTGCAGCAAGTGATAGTACACTAAAGCAACTATGTTTGTAACCGGTAACCGAATGAGCACCGCCTTTTTTTTGCGCTGTCTTCTTGCTAGGAGTTTCAACATATTCAAGCTTAAGGGCAGGGTTCAAGGGAAGGTTAGCATGGTTAGCAAGCGGTGGCGTCATACCTTCTCAGGGAGACGGTCTCTGTGGATTACGGTGTGTATGCAAACTTTATTTCTTTTCAGCTCTTTATTGGCAAGCGTTCGCGGGCGTAACGTGAGTTTTTAGAGGTGTATACAAAGGAAGAAAAGTTCTAACGCCGAAGGCGCCTCAAGCTAGTGTGCTCTCCCACAAAAATTTTTAATTCAAGGAATCGGAAATGCCATTTCCTGCGTTTTCCACAAGACATTTTCAGTGAATCAAACAAAGGAAAATGCATCATTAGTTACAGTTTCAAGTCTTTTCCTCTTGGTTGTGTTCTTTACCCATCTCTACAGGTGTTCTCTAGTGTAAAGTTATCAGTAAGGTACATTATGATTACGAAAAAAGGGTAAAACAATAAGGAGATCAAGGAGGTAACGTCTACCCTTCAGACGAGCAAACTCTGTTTGAACCCCATCAATATCAACGTCGTCCTTGTGCTTGTGTATGTGCAGACTTGTTTCAAGAGAGTTTTATCAGTCACGGCCCGATTTAATGATACAAACGCTCTCAGGAAACTGAAAAATACTTTTTTTTCAGATTTCAGTTGCACATGTACGCAGGGGCGTATGTGCGTAAATACACGCTACGCCCCTGGTGTCTATTACATTGTTTTCCTTGTAAAAGCACACGTCCATAAACTGACTATGGCACCAGTGTCATAATCGTGCAAAATTTATCGTTTGATTATCAATAGTGGCCAATACGTACATAGATCTACGGATCTCTGTACAGACGTACAGCTTGATACACTCGCTCTGTCCTCTGTAGAGGTAGCCTGCGTAGCAGGCGTCGAAAAGGGTAGAGGATAGGGAGGAAGGGAAAAAGGGAGGGGGATTTCACCCTTTTCTCCCTCTCCCCTTCACCTCCTTTTTGCGCGTGCCACGCAGGCTACTGTTGAGGTCCCCTTCGTGTCGTATAAAGAAAGTTATTTTTATTGGAATACCAAGCGTGGAGCCACTGCGGAGGAGAGAGTTATCGGCGGGCGGGCGCGCGCGTGCACGAGCCCATGACAACCACCTGTCACACACTTGACCCAGCGATTTTTGGGTCTTTTGTTTAGCTTTGTCACGTGATAGATGCGGTTTCCTAACTTCTGATAGATTTGTTTGGACTGAGAAAATGTAGCATTGTGTAGTGAATGATATTTACCGGGACGTTCAAGATCTTGAGCAGTATGGCATAATTGTCTACTGAAATTACGGGCGATTTTACGGAATGGAGCATATTTCAGTTGAACGGACGCCTCGAAGGACCTCGAGGAAAGTATCGGAGAACGTTCGCGAACTGCACAGCGCGTTAGCTAAAGTGCTTCATAACGAAGATCGAGCGTTCTTAATTCAATCACTAAACCAATATCAAAGAAATAGAGATGTCAACAGTCTAGTTGTGGCTCTTAAGTCGGTACTCAACACACCAAGGAAGAGAGAAGTCTATCCGTTGTTATGGCAAATTATTCCTCACGGTGACCAAGATCTTTTTCACAACCTTTGGCATCGCGATGCAGAAGCTTCGCGCCAACGTAATTTGAAATCACCCGCTAGATCGCCAGGGAACCTTCGCCGGTTTCCAACCTCTTCGAGTTTGCCAGACAATCTTCATCGACATGCATCTGACTCGGGTATAGATCTTCCAAATATGACGCAGTTTCAATCCTCGAAAGAAACAAAATACCCCATTAAACGATTAACTGTTAAGCGGCCTTCAAACTCAGGGTTTGGGTTCTCAATTCGTGGAGGAGCCGAACATGGCGTTGGTTTGTATGTTTCTTCTGTGGATGAAAACTCCGTGGCTGAAAAAGAGGGTGTTTTACCGGGTGACCATGTTATTCAGGTCAATGGAACGAGATTTGACGGGTTAACGCACGAACAAGCCGTCAAGGTAACGAAAATTTTAATTTCACTGCAAACCATAAAAGCTTTGTTTGGCTTGATGCCTTACACTGTGTGTCATTTGTGAAATTTCTCTATTGTTGAAGTTTTTTGTTTTCTTGTTTCACAACTCTGTGATACCCGACGGTTCTACTGTCTAGGATTCTCTGGACAGTAAAATTTGTCGGAACGATGATTTAAATGACTCACGATTTCGAAGAACACACAAACAATTATCTTTATTCACGTTCTGAACACAAGCTACGACCCTTTTGTTCTAAATAGCCGTAGGTGGTGTTATGTTTGCATTAAAATGAGTGGTTCGTACACTGTGTGTTCGATGTGAATTTTTAAACCGGCAATTTTCATGAAATATCGCAGATACTTCACATCTGTTGCAACCTCTGAATATTGTTAAAATTTTATCGTACAGACTAAGTGTTAGAGTTCGACTTCGATTACTCCAGGTTGTGTTTATTTTGATGCACAAGTGAAGTGAAATTAAAAAGCCATTTCCCTTTCATCTCTGCAACCATGTCATACCTTGTTAAGTATTTCATTATTTATAATACACCAAAGTTCAGACGATGACAGCATCTGTCGTCTCGTAGTATTCATAGGGATTGTATACGTTGTGCTGTTGCTAAGAAAAAAGATAGCTTGCGTGGCAGGCGTTTAAAAGGGAATCAGGGAAAGGGAGTTTCGTTCGCAAATTGCAAGTTTGCATGCATTGAAGGAAAGTGTCAAATGGTTACGTTAAAAGTCAAAGTGTTTTCCTTTACAAACAATTGATAATACATTGTAAGTCAATAAGGCTGAGTACAGTATGAAGAAATTACGCAGATCAAGGATCATAATCCATGCAGGGCTGCAGAGGTGGAATAATTGTTCATGTCATTTGAAAGCCAAATTCAGTAATTGTTTAATTATTCGTTCAAAATGTTTCCAAGTTCTTAACACCCTTACCTCCTTGTAGACTTATATCAAGAGCCCTGACTAAAGTTCAAAATATTTTGAATACAAGTTTAAAGATGAAAATTAAACTTCATTAATGTACAACAAGTTGCTTAGTCCTTGTTTTATGTATTTCTTTTTATTGCATGCAGATTATTCAGCACAGTAAAAAGCTCTATCTGATTGTCCGGTCAGTTGGTCGCATACCTAACAGTTTTGTTGCGGAGTCCACATGTAAGTGGGTAGACATACAAGGTAGACGAGTGTCTCCGCCCCCAGGATTTGATGACAGTGGACATAAATTAACTGCGGAGAGCATACACAAGAGTGATTTAAGGCTTCTAGGGGATGACGATGAGCGCAAGGTTTGTCAAAATAGACCTTAAGATCAGACAACGGGGACAGCAATGAGAATGTCAAAAAGGAAATAGGTTTAATAAACAAAACAACAACTTTGCTCTTGCATCGCACTTTTTTTCTGCATTTTTTTTTTTTGGCATCACTACATGACCATGACATAAAAATGCATGACTTCCATTTTATGGTGGACATAAGGCAAAAAAATGAATTTTCTTTGTCTTTCTCAACTTGGATATGGTTCTTAGGAATTCAACTCCAGGAGTGATTGCCTAAATTTAACAAAGTGATTAGTGAGTGGGAATAACCCGGTGAAGATTGAAAGGTGGCAAATTTACTTTTTCAGCAACATTTTTGCACCCTCTCTGTCCTCAGTTCTTAAGGTCCCTAGCTAATGTGATCTTCTGATGGCAAATGTTTTAAGAATTATCAGAACAATGTTTGACTGTTTGACCTCAGGGCTTTATGGACTTTGAGTGACTGATGTATTTGATTTGCAGGTAAACATCTTTGTTGAAGATGGTGAAAAGTTAGGGTTGATGATCCGTGGAGGTGCAGAGTATGGTCTTGGAATCTTCATTGCTGGAGTAGATCGTGATTGTGCTGCAGAATATGCAGGACTGAAGGTCAGCTCCCATTGTAAAATTATTGTAATATTCAGTTTTATTTGTGGTTTTATAATTAACAATTAATGAATGAGGCTGAGTATCTGATGAAGAATTATGGAGATCGAGTAGGGTGTTATCGGCCGAGGTGGATAACACCCTCCGAGATCTCCATAATTCTTCATATGATACGAAAGCTGGATTCCATAATGGTTTTATTATTCATTCAAAATAATTCCTAGTTTAAAAATATTGCTAACTGAAACAAGCTTACCTGCATCCATGTTAAGTTTATCTTCGATAATTTATGTTTAGGGTTGTCCAGCTTCTCAAATATTCTCCAAATAGCAGATGTCACCCTCCAAGTTGTCTTCTGCTGTTTTTGCTATGTTTTTAGCCATTATTTCGCCCAGTTCCAGCTGTAGTTCTTACTCTTGAAATGAGTGAAATGTCTGCCATTTTAGTTTTTACAAAGAAAACAACTCAATCTCGTCCCCAGGTCTTCTCAGTTAACGGTGCATTAACCTGCAGAAGGCTGCATTTTTGACGTCATTTCCTCGTGAAACACAAAAGTCTTCCAAATTTTGTCATCAGTAACTGGTTATGGTGAATTATGCGTGTGCTTTTAGCCAATCAGAATTGGGGAAATATTTTGAATGAATAATAATATAAATTAATGACTGTTAATAATGTAATACTTGTGGAAATGGGAATCCCAGTTTCTAGTTCTATTGTCTTGTTTTAGTACATATTCATGAGATAACATCAGTACTAGCAGTGTTTGTTGCAGTTTGAACTATTAGTCAAACAATTTAGGCAAACTGTAGGGTACTTAATACATAGAGATAATTTTTTTCACATTTTAACCTACTTAAAACTGCACTCCTTCTATGTCATTTTAATGCTTCACTGCTTTGTGTTTGCTGTCAGTATTTCTTCAGTAGCTCATCAATATTTAGAAACTTTCATCTGCAATGCTTCCCAAGTCAAAACCCATGGACAATAAATTATTGTACAGTCACACCTTGCCTGCGCCGCAGACGTTGTAAACCCTCTGTATAGAGCGTCTGCGAATTAGTGCACAATATCGTGTTCGAATCCCGCAGAGTCGCAAGGACATATGTCGGCGTTTTTGGTTGGCTAGTTTCTTACGCAGTTATTGATTAGTCCGATTTGAATGAAGTGTTGAAAAGCCAAACACAACTAATAGCTCGTGACAAGAGAGATTGAGCTCGTGATAGTGTGAGACGTGACCTTAGAGTCAGCTTGAACAACAGAGGTTTTTCTTGCTCTCTTTTTGCGTAGTTTATGCAGTGCACGGAGTATTTTACACTTTGACTGAGCAAATTTTTTTTGCCTCTTTGAGTCTCACATTTAGAGGTTATGAAGCTGGTCTGTTCCATGCATATTGAATAATTAGTTCCTGTTGTTTATGTTTCGGCAAATGCTTTTTGACAGGATTTAATCACAGCAGCAGTTTTACCATTAATTGATTTTCTTTTACCTTTGTTTAAGCCTCAAGCTTTTTTATTGCGGCTAAATAACCTCAGTTTCCTTGGTTTTCTTCGAATAATAGCTACATGTGTGTAGTTTTTTTTTGGCCGTGAACATCATGATTTCCTGATTTGTTTTGACGCTAGAACTGTCGGCTAGATTGCAGAATACGGGGCAGAGGATCTGCAGCGATTGGAAGACGCTGGAAAACCAGTCGACAAATTTACAAGCAAATTCTGTCCTTGAAGGAATTCTCTCAAAGCATTTTTTTGTTCAGAAGAAGACTTTAAAGTTCGAACTGCTGTTACATTGTTTACTGTAAGCGATCCTTGCCAACTCCCTTCTGTCAATTTTGACATGTCACTGCGCCCATCCGGCCCATTAGGCCAATCGTGAGGTACATAAGAAACCCGTGAGAAACCCGCCTATCAGAAACGCTCACATATGTCCTTGCGACTCTGCAGGATATTAGAACGAACTTTTGTGCACTAATTCGCAGACGGACTATACAAATGTTTTTGACGAGTGCGTGGGCCGGCTGCAACGCAGGCTATCACACCTGTATATAACATAGTACCAATTAAGCCCTCTACATAATAAAACTAAAAAGGAAAAAAAATCACTTTTTGAGTGTCAATGTATTCATCGTGAAAGTCCTAATTGAGGAAACTATTTTTACGACCCTGTTGTTGATAGGACTGTCATTTAAATGGCCATCCAAGCCTTATGAAGGTCTAGCCATTTGCCGGACAAAGGCAGTACCCTCATTTCTCACTCTTTTTAAGGCCCTGAATATTAGTCCAGTCCTGGGAATTGAAGCTGCAACATCCTACTCTGCAGTCAGATATTCCCTCAACTCAGCTTGTCCTGCCACAGTTATAAGTTGATGAATACTACTAGCAGGGGTATTTTGCAGAATGCCCAACTCGAAATTACCATTAAGTTAAGTGATTTACATGTAGGTTAGGTCAGTTTTCCCTGTATAATGGCCATAAGTGGATCCTGATTCACTTAGTTTCCTGACCCTAATCACTAAATTAAACTTCAGAGTCATTTGGTATTCAGCAGCCATTTGGCATTTGCAATATACCCCTTCTGGATGAATATGGGTACTTGTGAGTGTGAATACAATAATTGTTGTACAATGCACAATTATCAAGATGTGGGTTCTGTTGTTTTTTAACAAATACTATCAGAACTCCAAACCTACTGATGCTTGATTGAGCAGCAATGCATAATTTTAAACATACATTGTATGGTGAAAATAGTATTGCTGATAATGAAGTTTGTCTCAAAGGCTGGTGATCAAATCCTGGACGTCAATGGGCAAAGTTTTCTGAACATCACTCACAAACAAGCAGTTAAGGTGCTGAAGTCAACCAAGAACATGATAGTTACACTGAAAGATATCGGCAGGTTGCCATTCACGAGGGTGACTCATGATAAGACAAACTGGATAACAAGATCAGCTAAAAATGGCCAGATACAACGGTTAGTTGCATTATTTAATGATACACCTGCAATATTATTATTTTTATTATTGTGTTATCTTATTTGAACAGAAAATAAGGTAACAAGCTGCTGGCTTGGGTGCCCTATTGTTGCTGGTGATAAAATCTGTACCCACTTGTGTTGTTTTTTATTAAAGCTAAAAGCCACTGTTGAAAGCCTGACATAATTTCCGTAAAAAACTGTCAACGAATCAGATTTTAAAGCTTATATGGGCATTACAAGCTAAATGCTGAGTATTAATTATTGATTAAAAAAAAACATTAGCAGAGTGGAATTGCAAGACCACACATAAAACATACATAATTCTATGATAATCTTTCTAATCTGTTTCTAATCTGTTCTTCTGTATCTCTTACAAGACTAGTCACCTACCTTGTTAAAACCGCTGGTTTCCTTTTTTAATGTTATGTACCTTGTACATTATTCTGACAGTGTTTACCGGCTATCACATTGTATTATGAAGTGGCTTGGCTCTCAAGGTAGCCATTTTTGTCATTAAAATGTTTAGGAAAACAATTTTTTTTCAAGTCAGGAAATTTTTCTATAAGTAAAAAAAAAGTCAGGAAAAATTATAATTTTCAGTTTTCAGTTATCACAGGGCTGTGAAGAGTATAAGTAAAACATTGTAATCCAGAAAAGCCATCTATTGTCAATTAATTTTGATTTTATCTGATTTTCCCATAAATAATCCAAATGCTTTGAAGAAAATAAAGAGAAGAATATATTTTGTGGTCTACGAACAAAACTGTGAAAGCTAATAGAGCGGTTTTCACTTGACTGTCGAAAGGGATTGGTTTTGGTTTTACTACGCCCTTTGGTTGGCTAGTGTATTTACTTTGGTTTTGGTTTTACGACAGTCAAGTGAAAACCGCTCTAAAAGATGAAAACACAAAGCCAGTCAACCTATATCATTTAGATGCAGGGTTTTAGCCAAAATGTCGTAGCTGTCAATTCACAAGTGATCCCAGTGGAGGCACACCCTCAGGGCAAGCAAATTTTGAAGCATTTAAGCTGGTTAGGTTAAAGACTTCTAAATTTGGAGAAAAAAAAACTTGCAACCTCTCTACTCTCTAGCCATAGAGCTCGGTTATAGGCTAGAGACAGTTCCACTTGTAACAAAAAAAAAATTGTTTCCAAAAAGGGGGCATCCACAAGATACCTGGTTGCCAACCTGGCTTTGAAGAATTTGTTTAGATGTCGGTGAAAAGTTAAGGAATTTGTTTCTCATCTAATGAGTGGCTACCCTGGTACTCACATTTTCTCCTCTGTTTCACTCTCTGCACATGTTAGTGTTCCTGAAGGCACTCACATCACTGAAGTTGAAGTCCATGCACCCTCTGCTCGCTCAACGCACCGAGGCCAACCTCCTCTATCTTATAGGTACACTATCTGTTAGTTTAACGTTATTTGGTTCTTTCCCTTTGTGATTATGGCTGGCAAATACTTGTCAGTTTGACATTGCTAATGATTATTAGATTTAGAATTTTCTATGTTTTGTTATAATAATATCAGGGCTCAAAATTAAAACTTGCAAACTCCCGTGTTTTCGGAATTTGCAAGTCAGAGGAAATTCCTATCCTGTAGCAAGCATTTGTGAGTATACACATTTACACTGCACTTTTTCACTTTGTCACTTACCTGTACCCTGTACTCACAGAGAATGACTTCACATATTTCGAGCTGCTTTTTCAACTCTTTCTTTCAAGGAATGTCAAAAAAATCTTGATTGCAACAGCCGAGTTGGAGATAAGATGCTAGAAATAAGTTTTATCGCCTCACTTGTTATTCTTTTCGTTTTGTTTTCCTAATAAGTCGACACACAACAGCTGGCCGAATGGGATTTGAACGCGATGGAGAGGTACGTTATCTATTTATTTATTTATTTTTAAGCTTCTAAATGCTTCAGGGGTAAGTCAGTTTATTTGCAGCTTTTGTGAGTGATATGCTTATCATCAAACGCAAATCAGTACAATGCGGTGGTAGTAAGCTAAATAATAGTGGAGCTCCGTGCGCACTCGAGCGTAGCCCTATACCTAAGAAAATGTGGTAATCTACCACAGAATTATGAATTACGGTTGCAGGATGTAATAAAATTGATTGAGGAGGTCCAAGGAAAGCTGTGCCCGAAAACATTAGGACATGATAGAGGGGCACAAATGCTTAACCTTGAAAGCAGTTTTAATGTCAGCACGAGTTACGTTTGTGTACAGCTGTATGTGAGAAGAATTTTGATGAATTCGACCTTTTTTTGTCTACGGTATGCCTTTCTTCCTAATAACAATTTTTGTTTCTTTTTTAGATGTCCATGTTTCACCATGGCATTGCGGGATCTCAAGTTTTGTACAATGGTGGCTTCCCTACTCAAAAAAATCTCATTACTGAACAAGCTCGGCAAATCCTGAATGAAAATGAGCTGGGAACCTTGGATTACTACTTAGAAGAATATAGCCAAGGATATATAACAGTCAGTGCTTTTGCACTGGCATTGTTTGATCTGCTAAACACCCCGGCCAAGGTATGTTTTGTGTTCTTGTGTTCTTGTTCTCGATGCATTTCCTCTCATTCGTGCAATCACGCCTTTGCCGTACAAACTTATAGACGGTTTAAGAAGGGGGAATTTCGTAGTATCCCATGATGCATCGCTTCATACTATATTATCAAGCTTCCGAAATCACGTGATCCCATCAGTTCAACAGGGACCCGACAGTTGATCAACGGGTGGAAAGGAGCCTGCGTAGCTAGCGTTTCCGTTTGGTTTCGGAGCAAAGAAAGACCGAGGAACGAGTAGCCTGTGTACAGCCGCAGCGGGGCGGCTGTACACAGGCTCAAGAACGACGAGGAACGGGATTTTCGGTGCCCCATTTTTCGCGCGGCTTTTGATTCTCGTTCCTTGTTCTTTGCTTCGAAACCGCACGGAAACCACCGCTTGCTACGCAGGCTACGATGGGAAGCGACGTGTTTCGCTGATAAAACCGTCTGTATCTTTTCCTGTCGATCTATTTACGGTTTTCGTTTTATTACTATTCAAAATATATCTCTTTTTTTGGTCTAAGGGAGTGTTTTGGCCGCCGATATTAGATAACTTGCCGTCCGATCGCAAGGTAGTCTACGCAGATGTTCTGTGATGGTGAAGCTGTCTTTACTTCTGTACGTCTTGTTTTAAAGTGTGTTGATAAAGGTCTCCATGGATTAACAAATATTTCCAAATGTTTGTTTTCAAATAAACATCTATTCCAGGTGTTGATTTCTCTTTGTTGCCTGTTTGTGATCGGGATGCTCATTGTCAGTTCAATAATTCATCAATGCAGTGAATACATCAACCGTACAGGGACTGTACACGGTCAAGAAGTTCACGCCGCGCCAGTCAAATTTTCTCCCGCACCGGCTAAAAACTTGACCTCAATTTTGGCGTTCAAATTTTTGAATGGCAAGGCGTCTTAATATTCGTACGGTTAGCGTGGTTCGGTGTGAACGGAGCAGCTAACGAATTTTAACCGGTTGAGAATTCGTCCGGTGCTGTGTGAACATTAACCTGCGTGCAAGCTCTCCGGGGCGCTTTGGCGGCGGGGCGGGAAAAGGAAGGAGAGCTTGCAACTACGTCTCTGGAATTTGAATATCTGCATCGATGCGAAATGCTGATTGGCGCAAATGACATTAGTAATGATGTCATTACCCTTGGAACATGTTTTTTAATGTTTGTTTATATTCGCGCTCGTTTGCGCTTCGCGCTGATTGGCGGAAATTCGGTAGCTTAGTCGACGGGGAACCACAGGGGAATTGGAGGTGGAATTCAAATTCCAGAGGATGCAAGCTCTCCTTCCTTTTCCCTCCAGGCCGCAAGAGCACCCCGGAGAGCTTGCTCGCAGGGTATGTGAACATAGCCTTCGAAAGCTACAGTAGGCGGTAACTATGTTCGTTGAAGGACTGGAAAAAGGTACCTTGCGAGCAGCCAGACGATACGCTACGCGTCCGGTCTGGAGAAACCACTGCTCGTAGGGTAGGAAGAAAAACCCTTTTTAACTTAACAGTCTCTGCGGGTGTTCTACAGGGACCTCAGGCATATATGAGCAAAATTAGCCTTTTGGTAACTTGGAGTTATTTCGAACTTGCGGAAAAAACTTTTGCTTTGGAAACCCTTTTGTCACAAGAACGTTTTAGTAAACTAAGTACCATGTAAGGCGCTTGCTAATTGAGCATTTTGTGTTTTGTAGATGTCGTTAATACAAGAAATACGAAGTTCTGTTGCGCCAAGAGACATTGATAAATTCGATGACTTGGTTCTCAAAAAGGAAGTAGAAATCATGAAGGTATGTAGAATACAAAGGTAGCAAACGAGAGAGTTATCCCTTAGTGCAACTTACTAGAGACCTTTAGATTCAAGGACGAGGACGACTACGTGTACGAGATTTGACTTAAAGTTTTTTCGCGTATTCTCAAGACATAGACTTCCAGGAAAGCTTCATTTTACCATTTTTCACTAGAAAAGTTAGCATTGTTACCTTTAGTGAAGGAGATTACACCCTCTCCTGATAGCAAAGTGATAAAACTTCTAACATTTGATACCTTGTTTCTGCCACTTCGACTACCACGTTTTCCCGCCAAAATGACGCTGGTTCACGCGCGCGCATTACTTACATTTGTAGTATTGAGAAAAGTCGTATTCGTCGTAGAATCTAAAGGTCTATAATGTTGAATGGCTGTCTTCAAATATAGTAGTTATATACGTGGATTCTACGTTGTGGAGTGCGGACTCCTTGCCAGTGGAACCTCCAGATGCTGTATTCCTGATTCCACGTGCAAAAATTTTCCGATTTTGGATTCCACAAGCTAAAATTTCCGTCTTGTAACTTGCGACCACGACGACGACAGCGATGGCAACGAGAGCGGCTAAAAGGAAAAAGGTTTTGGTTAGCAAAACAACAACTCTGTGCGTGCATCACGCTTTTTTTTTTTACATTGCTTTGCTGTCGTTACACAATTACGGCGTCAAACTTTCTTCCTGAATTCGTAAGTTTTCGTTTAGGGAGGATTTGAACACAGGACAACGATTTTCTTTTCTTTTCTTTTGTTTCTAAAATTTAATTCATTCCAGAATTTAACTCCAGAAGAATTCGCCATGATTTGGCAAATTGAACGAAATGTAATGAAAACGATGAAGTTTTAATTCACTCTTTTAGTGACGTCTTCGCCGCGGCCGCGCGCCTTCGCCGTCGTCGCCGCGGTAGACTTCTCTTGCTTGAGAGAGTCAGCTCCTAGGTCCTTGTTGTTTAAGTTTCCAATTCCTTTTTCAGTGTACCCAGGTACATACTACATTATGTTAAACCCTGCTTTCGCAGCCCATTCGCTGATTCAGCTTACCATACTTGGATTACTTGAACCTTAAGATAGTATATAACAGTGGCAGTCATAATGAACAATTTTTTTTAACAGACTCGCCAGTTTTTTGGTGACTACCTGGATGATGACCGGCACTCCGTACACTCCTTTGTAAGCAGTGTCTCAAGCTTCTCTGGAAAGGGATCCTCGAGCAGAAGTTCATTAAAAGTAAGTGCGTTGAAATTTGTGAAAAAAACTCTTCATATTCTACTGAACGCTGGAATCACGGAGTTGGGTAGTTTCTTGGTGTTGTTGCCTGCATAACAGGCAGTTTTTTGCCTCAGGTACTACCTGCAAATGTTTTCGTTGTTTCTAAGGTTCCCTAGATGTGTACTGTTTCACACCCCATCACCCCTCCCCAAGTGCCTGAAGCACGTACTCTGTCTAAATATTATTTTGTTTTTAGGGTTCCTTAGATGGTAGTGGATCACGCCCCATCACCCCTCCCCAGGTGCCTGAAGTACTACCTCCAAATGTGAAGGTAAGAAAGAAGTTGAACGATTTCACATTCACGATAGAATTGATCATACTCTGGCTGCTGTTTTTTCCACAAACATTTAAAGTCGTTATCATTTTTAATCCAAATCTCATGAATCTGTTTTGGTTCAATTTTATCCTAGGTTTGAATTTTACTTTCCTAAGTTTCGAACTCATTATCTCGCGTCACTGTAGCTAGAAACAATTTTCAGTCGAATTTGCCGTAAACGCCCATCCAAAATGATAACATCATTGATAACAATGAAGAGTCAGTGGTCGCTCACAAGCGTCGAACCACGACAAATAAATTTA